ATACTATGGCGTTTGCGTTTCACGCCAACCTCTTCCTCCCTAATCAACGCGGCGCCACGGTTTTCACATGCTACTATTTGTTTCCAAGGATTTAAAAGTTTTGAATTTTTTGTTATATTTTCACTTCGCCCACCCTTGAAAGTAAAATACTCTTACCAGGGAAAGTGCTTGAAAAGAAGGTTTAAAGTTGTTGTACTACTCTAGAACATTGTCACGTTTTATCCACATGTTTTTAAAACAATTTCTAACACTCACGACTACTTTAAAACTTTATGCACTTTAGCCTACTTTCATGGAGAAGTGTAATCGCCTTTTCATTTTGCTGGGTCTGACAAAACTGCATTTTGTCAGCGACTTCTTCAAGCCAAACCACACTATATCAAAAATGCGCTCCCGCCTTTTTTGTCCCCACGCAGACGTTATTTGCCTCGTCACGCTACGCTCCTCCCTCTCAAGTTTAAAATGTCAGCCGTCCCTTCGTCCCAAAAAATTAGATGAAACTTTCCTTTAGTGATAAATACAGCCACTCGAAAATGACAACTTGCAGTAGTCGAAACCTTATGATTTTAGCGTTAGTCTTTCTTAAACAATGATGGAGATGATACTAGGCAAATGTCACACCATCGTTTTTTTGTTTTTATGGTGGGAGGGTCGGAGGTACACATAGAGACCACCATCACCTTCGTGGAGGGGGTGATTTTGTCTTGGCACAATTAATTTAATCATTTTCCTTTTTTCTTTTTCCTTTCTGTAGTGTGAGGTTCTAAGAAAAAATGATACGAGTTCTTCAAGTGGTTACAGTTTTAAGTTCCTGTTTTCTTCTCCACTTCAAAGTGGCATTTAGCAAGCGTAAGTCTGCTATTAAGATATTTGTTTTCTTTGTTTTTTTTGTCGCTAGTTTTAAGTCTTGATCATAGGTCAAGCATTTGAAAATGTCACGGTGTATACTACACTACGGTTAAAAATGTGTCAAATATGCAAGGAAATAAACGATCGAAAATGCGTTGGTTCCAATAATGTGGAAAAAAACGTTACTACTTTTCTGTTTGTTTGGTTTTAATTGTAGTTTAGTCCATTTCTGGTTATCGATGTTTCAGTTTTTAAAAAACATTCTTCCTCTAGTTGATCAGTTCAAATCGCCCCAAAATATATTTGGCTTAAATTAACTTCATTGACACACACATAAGAACATCTAAAATACTTTGATTGGGCGTGATGCCCAACAAAGGTGTCTTTTAAAATGACTGTACATTCATTTTTTGAGCGGAAACTAAAACTGAACATGCAAAATCGCCAGACAGAGAAATAACCCTTATACAATTATATTCTCTTTTAGTATCAATTTTGACTGTCTTCCGCCCGAATCGTTTTCAAATCCAAATCCAGTTTAAGTTTATTTTTTTTTTTGGCCTTGGTAAAATTTTAAAAACTCAGGGACGGTCTTAGTTATCAACCTGCGCACTTACTTTTGGCAAACGTTATCTAATTTGGCAACACGAGGTGTCAACTCGATTATGAAAACGTAAATTGTACGATTGTATTGATTGATTGATTGACTGGCGGTATGATTAATCGATTGATGGATGAATTGATTGATGGAGTAATAGATTGAATGATTGATTGAGTGTACCATTGATCGATTGATTAAATGATTGCCGATTGATTGATTGATTGATTCAATGATCAAATATTGATTGATTTTCTTTTTATTTAACAACAGACCCTGGAACAGTTTTTACTAAAAAACCAGGCACGGAAGGCACGGTATATGGTATTCAAGGCTCCAACGTGACTTTTCACTGGACATTAGCATTTGGCAACAACTCTGATGACTGGAAAAACTTTAATGAATTGGTTTGGGGAACAACACAGCACAAAGATTATGACGGAATTGACAGCCGTTACATGATTGTCACAAAAAAAAAGAAATTGAAGAATCCCTACCTTGATGCCTCCGTCAAATCAAGAGTGGATGCGACTTTGGTGGATTGCAGTCAGAGTGGTTGTGATGTGATATTTGTGATACGAAGCGTAACGAAAAAAGATGCAAAGTATTTTTACAATTGTATAGCAAATATTGATTACGACGACGTTGCAAGTGGCCCGATATCACTTGTCATTTCAGGTAATAGTTAGTTTAGCCTGTACACAGACGTGGTTTTATTTTTCTTTTCGTTCTTTTGGAAAACATCGGCGAGCACGAGAGCGAGAGCAATCGCGGAGCGCGAGAAACAAAAATAAATAACTTCTTCTTCCCCCACCCCTACCCCTTTGTGCTGGCGGTCAAAAAATCCCCCGCGGTTTGTTTTTTATCAGGCGAGCTCGACGGACTTTCAAGAGAAAATAAAGGGTCTGTGAACAGGCTATAGTTAGTTTTAAACAAATAGCCTCTGTAGCAATAAAAAAATCTGAATTATGAAACAGGCCAATGAGCTGTGGTTAAAACAGATCGCAGTTTTAAGCACACACACCCTTAACTGGGACCATCAACCTTGTTGCCAGTACGAAGCTTTGGATACAAAGATTACTGCCGCTCTTAAATCCCCTTACACTTTTGCACGAAAAGTGATCGGAACTATTTCCATGAAGGACAATTCTCGGTGTTGATGAAGTGTAATTCAAATAACTAACGTGTTAAGATTAAGCGTGAAAGAGTATTTCCCATGAAGGATAATTCCCAGTAATAATTGTAATTCGAATATATAACTTGTAAAGATTTTTGGGTGAGCGTGAAAGAGATCAGTATTTGTAAACACTCGTGACGCTTAAAAAAGTGGACCAATGTTTCTACGTGAAAGGAACCAGTAACAGAGGGGATACCGTAAAATTCCGAAAATAAGCCCCGGGGCCTATATTTTTCAAAGGCCCTTTTTGAGGCCCTTTTGGAGGGGCTTATATTCGGAGGGACTTATCTACGGAGGGAAATTTGTGTTTCAAAATCGATTGGGCTAGCCTTATAGTTGCAAGTAAATTTACTGTTTTTGCTTTGTTTTACTTTGTATTTCGGAGCAATTTTCCAAGTACAAGCCCCCGAGGGGCTTATATTTGGAGGGGCGATTTAACGGAGGGTTTTTTATGTTACCGGTTTGGGGAGCTAATATTTGGAGAGACTTATATATGGAGGGCTTATTTTCGGAATTTTACAGTATTAACATTTTTTCTTTGCTTTCGCTAATTCAGGAAATCCAAGAATTACAAAACGATCAAATGCCACCATAGACCTGGAGGAAGGCGACAAGGCGACTTTACAATGCAGCGCTACTGGTATACCTTTGCCTTCCATAATTTGGACAAAAGACAACAGGGAACTGCTAAACGAGTCGACGACACTTGTGGTTCCAAATATTGAACTTAAGGATGCTGGGACCTATATGTGCAAAGCGAAAAATCCAGTAGGAACGGCTTCTTACAGTGTTCACGTGAGAGTTGTGCGATGTAAGTTTGCGGAATTAAGAGGGAACAGTATACAACGATCCCCTGAAGGGGAGGTGAATAGTGGTGCGATATACACCGACACGCAAAGCGTCGAGGTATATATCTAGCGCTATTCTCCTACCCTGAAGGGGGATAGTTGTTTTAGTATTTAAGTGACAAACTTTGTTTACAATTTACAAACACTCCGGGGATTTTGACAAGTGCATTTTTAAGTTTTTGTTGCAAATTCCGCATGAAAATCATTTTCTACCCACCAGTAAACACTGACAAGCCAAAGTTGGTGGCTTTCTTGGTATTTGCTTGTACGACTGCTTGATTTATCGCTCAAATTTCGTTTTTCGAAAATGTCTCGAAACGAGGCGCCATCTTAGCTCAGTTCGCAAAACAGTGAATAGCCAACGGGATATTCCGAGTTAAGGGAGCCAATCAAAACGCGCGAAAATTGCTATTCACTGATTTGGTAAATACTAATAAAGTATAACTAGATATATAAATGTGTATGGCGGCTGAAGGGAGGACTAACTAGGGCCCTTACCCTACCACACTCTTACCAAGAAGGCGCCTTATCGGGAATTATTACTTAGCCTCACCATAGTCAGCTAACTATAGCCTGACAAATTAAGTCGTGTTTCTTATTTAAGCCTTTTTCTCTATCTTTGAAAACACTGCTTTAAATGACCATTGGAAACATTTCATACGGGCCAAAACTAAATCCTTTGTAAATTGTAATTCGTGGAATTATAAAATAACTAGCCATTGATGCAAAAAATTTTGAATTCCCAGATCGACCCCACATCAACATGAATACCTCTTCGAGGGCTGTTGAAAAATCCTGGCTACACCATAAGACAAGTTTAAAATGCGCAGTGAATGCCAATCCCCCGGCAAATTTTACATGGTTCAAGGATGACCGACCCATCTTAGACGGCTTCAATTCTTCTCAAGACATAAGCACGTTAACGCTGACGCCTAAAACCGCGGGCGACTTTGGTCTATACTCATGTAAAGCTACAAACAACAAAGGAAGCGCGTGGCACAATATCACACTGGAACGACTCTGTAAGTTTGATTCGCTCTGACGAAAGGCTAGCGCTCAAATCGTCAACTCGCAGGTTATCTGCATTCCGGGAAATTCTAGAATCCTTGGCTTTGGTATATAGAATTCAGCTCAAGGAATCCGGAATCTCGGAGGAACCAAGCTTTTTTCACAATACACCGCTAAAGTACAGTAACCACGGTGCAATGCGGAAATAAGAGAGTTCTGAAACTTCTCATTTTGTGATTGAATGTCTTGGCTATGAGCAATACTGAATGGGATTTGACCAAGGGAAAAATTTTACTCTTAAGCACTTGTTGTTGCTTTGAAAAAAAAAATAATCCAGACTTTTTACAATTTTTACCAGACTTTTTCCAGGTCTGGAATATTGCTTTACTAATTTCAAGGCTTTTCCAAGAATTCAAGGCTCTGTATGAACCCTTTGAACTGGTACCCTAAGAAACGTTTTACTTTTCGCCATATTTTAGATCCACCTGGTCAGCCCATAATAAGCAAATTAGTTCCTGGCATGCTGTCAATAAGTGTACACTGGAATAAGTCACGTGACAACGGAGAAAGCGATATATTGGATCACAGAATAAGACTACTTGATGCCGAAAACAAGGTGCAACAAGTACACCAAGGAAAACGAAACAACTATTTTAGTAGTCGAAAACTGAGGCGAAACAGAACTGATGTTATAGTTTTGCAATCTCGAAATGTGATCGGCTACGGCAAGGAGAAGAATGTTACTGTTTCAACGCTCGAGGGGGCTTTAATATTTTCTTTTTGTACTTTTACAGTTTTATATTATCTCATTCATTCCTTTCTTCAATCGATCAATCGTGAACTATATCAAGCATTCAATTAATGCGCAATCAATCCATCAAACCATACGTTTATCACTGCTGATTAATCAGGGAACATACATGATTTTTCTTCTTTCTTTTTCCTCTATAATTCTATGTTTTCGATCTCTCTCTCTCTCTCTCTGGTTTCCTTAAAATTCGTTAACCATTTTGTGTGAGTTTGGAGACCATTTAATAAACAATTATTGGATGAGGTTGAGCATGATATCATGAATTATCAAAACCGAGGTCTGTGTTATCTGCCGAAGCCGAAGGCTGAGGCAGATAATGCAGACACGAGGTTTTGATAATTCATGATATCATGCGAAAACCGAATTCAATAATTGTTTTATTTCACATTTTTTAAACAATAGGCAAAAGAAGACATTCAGCCATTCTGTTTCTGAGGAGAACACTCCAAGGGGCTTGATAACTAGGCAGACGTTGAACTTGAAATGATAAATGCAATATCTGCGGCAGATATTGCATTTATCATGCCAAGTTCACAAGCTATTGTGAATTGATTGAATGCTCTCGACCAATCAGCTTTTTCATAGTGAGTCTGATGTATAATAAAAGCACGTGATTGCACGCAAATTGCTCTATGTTAAATGAGAGTCTCATTTTTTTCAGATCCCCCAATAATCCTGGGCGTAACCGCCGTTCCGAGTTTACTTGCAGTGAACATATCATGGAATTCGACAAATAACAATACAGGAATAGAGATTTTGGATTACAAACTTGTGATTATAGACACTAAAACGCAACGGAGGCGGGAGATCTTTGGAATAACTGTTTCCAACCATTATGTCACGAGTTTAAGGCATAACACAACATATCTTGTGATGGTACAAGCAAGAAATGAAATCGGCTACGGCAAATCAGTGAGCAGGAATGTAACAACGCTAAAAGCAGGTCAGAAAATAGCGCAGCCTGAGAAAAAAACCAACATTTCTAGACGCCACTACTGGTTTCCCCAGAATGACGACTGAGAGACGAGCCAAGAAATTTCACACTGGTGACATGTCACTGCCCAGTTCTGGATAGATTTGAGGACGAGAACGAGTACGAGTACGAGATTTCCGAGATCTTTTTTTACGCGTGTTCTCAAAAAAAGACACCCTGGAAAGCTTCATTATAGTTTCTTTCACCAACAAAGTTAGTAGGGTTATTTATATTGAAGGAGGCTAAGCCCTCTCCCGATGGCAAAATGATTAAACTTCTTACATTTGATAACGTGTTCCCGCCACTACGACATTCTAGCTAAACCTCGTGGTAGAATGACTACGGCTACCACGTTTTCCCGCCAAAATGACGCTGGTTCTCGCGAGAGCACTACCCAGTATTGAGAAAATCTCGTGTTCGTAGCCGTCCTCGTCTCAGAATCTAAAGCTCTCTAATAATCCCCCTGCAAATGTATTTGAAAAGAATTCCATATTTTTATGACGTTTGACCCTAATTAAGAATCAGTCAATGCATCGAAGCACTGTTTCTATTCTGCTTCTACTCTTGGCCCCTCCATTTACAAGATTTTTACTGTACATTTACAGTCAAAGGTCTCCTTTTGCAATAACAGGTCCACCCGAGGCTCCATTGATAACAAACATTACTGTAAATGGAATTCGATGCATTTTACAATGGAAAAAACCGTACAATGGAGAAAGTCCTATCCAGATGTATTCAGTATCCGTCTGGATACTTCTATCTGCCAACAATGGCTCAAACTATAAGAATCGCCTAGGTTCCTGGAACACAAACGGCACGAACTTCACTTTAGATGTAGAGTGGAATCATAATTACACGACGTCTGTCTCCGCGTGGAACAAGCATGGTCAAAGCGTCTCTAGTGCGGAGAGGCAATTCAAAACAGGTAGATTCCCTCAAGGTATAAAGAATTCATCACGTTGATTGAATGTAATTAGTTTGTTTGTTTTCCGTTTGTTTTTGTTTTGTTTTGTTTGTTTTGTTGTTTTCCAACGTCAGACCAACAAGTATATCAGTTAACAGCAACGGTCAAACGAACAACTACATCGGCTGGTCAGTTAATTTTGGAATATGAAACAGTCGATGAGATTCCGAGTTCATAGTCCATTCATCAGATTACTAGATCGCCATTCGCCCTAAGAATGTCACAAATGATTAATCTGTCACCATTTAACAAGTTCTTAATGTCGACTTCTTTGGGAAAATCCAATGCGGATCCTTCAATCCAAAAACGGACTTTAAGTTCTTTTTGGAAAAAAAATCACGCTGCAAGTGGATTCATTAGATCAAATCTAAATCCGTACACTGGTTAAAACCACGTCCGTGCATAGTATTTGTTCACCATCAAATAACACGATTTCAAATTTGTCATGCTCCAAAAAAGACTTGAATTTTGCTTTGCAGAACCACGAACAACTCCGAGAAACACAGAAGTATTCTCAACTACCCCATCTGTGATAGATGAAGGTAGGTATAATAAAAACTGTGCCATCAGTGTAATAAGTAGAATATTTCACCCTGATCCCCTACACTAGGGAACCGGTCATTATTTATCGCCGGGGGGGCGCAGGATATTGGGGGGATCACTTGATTTTTAGGAGAACAAAATGGGGGATCAGTCGCAACTGAGAACCCAAAAGGAGGGATCGCTGAAAACTTTGGAGGAATTCAGATGGGGTACCACTCAAATTTTCTTGGAAAATGAAGACATGGGCGGGGGGGGGGGATCGCGAAAGTCATCAAATGTTATTAGGGGGGATCACTTCAGTGAAGTAACATTCAAAGGGGGGATCGGCTAAATTTCACCTTGTTTAGCCTTAAATCCTCCCCCCCCCCCCCCAGGCGATACATAATGACCCGCCCCTAGAGCTACACCCCATAACTGCGATTTGTGTTAACAGTCTTCCCAACAAAGGTAAAATCGTAACTTGTAAACCTATAAACTGTTTATCCACGGAGCTCTTAGAACATAAGAACTCGTTAAAACGTGTCCGTGCGGTTTGTTTTTAAGGAGAGGGAGAAAACCAGAGCACCCGGAGAAAAATCTCTCGGAACAAGGGAGAGAAGCAGTAACAAACTTAACCCACATAATTACGGCGTCGACGCCGGGAATTGACAGCGGGCCACATTTGTGGGAGGCGAGTTCTCTCACCACTGCCCACCGTTGCTCCCCGGTGACTAAAACATTGTAGGCTTTTCCATGACGTTACGAAATCTCATAGATTGTTTGATTAATTTATTTTTTTTAGATACAAGTTCCACAGTGGAGGTCGCCTCTCAATGGACGAAGCACCGTACAGTTTTTAAAGGTACTTTATCTACTGATGTCACTTAGCCTAGGCCAAACGTTGAACTTTCCCGAGATTAACCAAACGTAGTGAGTTAAGTTCATGAAAATTTCGACGTCTTGCTCAGTCAAGTTCGCCTGAATGAGTTTGGATCGTCCAACACGTAACGTCTGAAGATCGTCTCCCGAAAACTTGAACCTCAATCTTCACATGCGACGAACTAAACTAATAAATTAAAAATTTGTATGATAATGTATATTTAGCCTTGTTCGGCTAAAATTGTTTTCTGGTTCGACGCGTCTTAAGGTTGACAGACGATCTTATGAAAAGTTGGAAGTTTGGCCTAGCCTAACTCTAACGGAAATTCGACAACATTATTGCAGCAGACGTTATCGATCAAAATCACTTTTGCATTCCTTTTCTTTTAATCTTATTAATGTTCTCCTGCTTTGCTCCTTTCTGACTTGATAAAATCAAAGATGGTGGCCATTTATGGTCCTGGCGGAATTTTTGCGTCATATTACGTCATCAAATGACATCCTTTACTACCCTAGCCTAGAATTTATCCGATGCCCTATGGCCCTTTACGTTTCCTTTTATCTCAGAACGTGAAAAGATGAGCTAGCTCTTAGTAATAACTTAACGCCGTTATTCCTTTGTATCCATTAGTTACGAAAGATCGATCAGGCGCCAAAGAAGAAGTCAAGACAAACACTTTTACTAACCTAGCACCATTGTGGATTGTAATCTTGGCTTTCGCGGTCCCTGCTGTTGTGTTCATGCTGTGGAAAGGAACACAAAAAAGTAAGTAAGAAGGTAGTAGATAAGCACTGATCCCTAACTTAGACGCCGAATGCAATGATCAAGGCCACGCATGCGCAACTGTGACTCCACATGCTTTTTTTCTTTGCTTGATGTCTCTTTGAAATGCTGTCTTTAACTCTTAAGGGGCAAGGCTACTTAGAAATCTATCAATTATATAGATCCAGAATGACCTGATCTTGTTAAATCCTTTCACTCAAAACAGTGGCCAAAGTTAAAACTCGCAGAAATTTAAATTTCTTTTCGTAAAATCCTAAGAAATCAAAGGATCGAATTGCTCCACGTTAAGGCCATACAACCCGACGAGGATTCCGATTTGTTACAACACTGTTGCCCTAAAAAATCGTGTCGTGTAACATTACCTTTAATGGAGTGGAAATGAAACCTATGAAAGTCTACGAACCGTCTCCAAAACATCTTTGGTTTTGCATTACACAGAATCCATCAGAGTTGTGAAACGTGAGGCAAACATCCCAAAAAGATGCAATATCACTGTAACATGGCTTTATGCCATTTTTTAAATAACTGTATATGTTCTTTCATAGTTATGCAACGCTGCAGAAGACCTCCATGTCAAAGGCGAAGGCAGTTTCATAAGTGAGTATGATAGAGAAATGCCACTTGTTCAAAGCGAGACTAAAATAAAATAAGAGGTCTAACTCACAGACTGTCCCTCTGATAGTGGTTGCAGAAAAGGGTTATATAGTATAAGTGTTTTGTAGTGTCACCGTGTGAAAATTCTGTCTACGCCTTGTAACGAATTCGAAGTGTTAGTGCGATGCCGCTCGTTAATCAAGGAATGTTGTTCTACCTGACCTCCATACATGACTTTTCGCGCTTTCAAAACATCACATCTATTTTCTTTCTAGCAGAGACAATGAGTCTTCAGCAACAGTGATCTTGGATGAAATGCAGGCTAGAACGGTATATACTTCTTTTATCATAATCAGTCTTACTCGCTATCGTGATCGTTATTATTATTATTATTATTATTATTATTATTAACATTATTAATATCATCTACAATGATACTCTTCACATGAGAAAATTGGTCCTTTTTAGATGCAATATGCTGAAAATAGCAAGAACCACAAAAAAGGGTAGAATAATTTTTTTTGGCTTTTTGTAACATCCCCTTATTCTTCTCCGACCTGAAAGAGAGATGTTCTGTTTCTACTGCCTTTTTATAATGATTCCGTTATTTACTCTCGGCAGTATTTATAGCACTAATGCTGCCTCAGTTTCTCGTTTCTCCCTTTCAATTGACGATACAGTCGAACTCTGCTTAACGGACACCCACTTAATACGGACACCTTGTTATTACGGATCACTCACCGTTTCTGGGCAACGTGTCGTAAAGTATTCTCTCGATTTAATGGCCTCTCGATTACGTTTCCGGCAGTCGAATCGAAAACGTGAAATCGAGACTCGTTTCGAACTGTCTCGATGATTCATTTCACAAACGGGGCCTAAAACGAGACTTTATAACGGTGAGTGATCCCTTCCTTTATTTTTCTCGAAAACGTAGAGCCCAAAACGAGACTCGATTTTTCGTTTTCGTAGAGACTCGTTCAAAAACTAGAAAAGGTATTTGCCAGGAGAAGGTTAAGTCCAAAAAAGTCAGAAAAACATCCCCTAAAAAAATAGCCATGCAGTGGCTTCAAAATATCAGAGAAGGGAAATAATGTGATGCGTTTTTTCACTTGTAAGGACAATGGCAACGAAAGGATTGAGCGTAGATAATATTTCTGGGGTCGTCTGGGGTAAATACTTTATTTGTAAATGGGTAATCCGAAAATCAAATGGTTCGCGCCATTCCGCTTGGCAATCGTCAGATTAAGACCGAGTAACCATTGTGAGGTGATTCAAATTTTCAGACAACTCTTTTAAATTTCAGCAGGTCGTTCTTTACTATGTGAAAGTTAATAGTCATATTTATATTTGCAAGATTTTTGAAAAGTTTTTTGTTTTTTGTACAAGGTAGGCACCTAGATAGAAAGGGTTAAAGATGGAAAATAAGATAGAAAAGACATCAGCAAATAATTACGACAACAACATTTTCGACAAGAAAGAGAAAAATTCTATTTGCATTTCAACTGCATGTGTATAACATTAAAGGCTCTCACAGAAATCAACTTAGCCAGCGGCCATACAAAAGAGGATAAAAATAAGGAAAACTTGATAATACTAACAAAAAAATCATTTGTTGAAGCTTTTATCTTAAATATTGTATAGCGGCTCATTATGGGATGGTGTGGCTTCGACTAATGGTAACCACTCAATAAATAAAGTTGATAATTTAAAAAAAATTACACTGCTCTATTAACAACTGCTATTTTCAAGAAACACATTATTTGTACACGACTCTAATCAGTTATTATTGTTGATGATATTAATCTGTTTTTGATTTTCTTTGCAATGTTCTTTTGGAAATATATTTTTGTATTCGGGCCTTAACGAAGCACTTGCATGACTAATGAAACAGAAGATATAATGATTCAATATTATTATTCTAATTTTAAACCTATAACGAGGGTAGCCTGAGTATCAGGCCATCCTTATGGGCTACTGGAGAGGAGATTTTAGCTCTCTCCCTTTTTCGCTCCTCTCTTCCCCCTTCTCACTCAGAAACGCCTGATACACCGTAATTTTTAGGGAGTTATTATAACTCCAAAAATGGAGTAAAAATTTTAGGTACAGGATAACCCCATTTTTGGGGTTATTTTAACTCCTAATTTAACTCCGAATTTGGGGTCATTTTTACTCCTGAAAAAGAGTTCTTTTTACTCCCAGTCTGGAGTTAAAATTACTCCGAAATGGGGTTACTTGTACTCCTTACATGGGTTGTTTTTACTCTTTTTGGAGTTAATTTAACTCTGAAAGTGGAGTAAAAATTTTAGGTACAGGATAACTCCTTTTTTGGGGTTATTTTAACTCCTCAATATCTGGGGTCACTTTTACTCCTGAAAAAGAGTTCTTTTAACTCCTTTTTGGAGTTAAAATAACTCCACGAAAAATAACTCCACTGTCAGGAGTTAAATTAGCCCCACTAGAGGAGTTATTATAACTCCCTGAAAATTACAGGGTACTCAAGCTATAACGAGGGAAGGCAAAAACGTGCAACCAAGGGCTAATTCAGTTGCCTTTTAAAAAAAGGCCCATGTTCACCCAAGCGGCTTTGCTCGCCCTGTACTACAGAAAAATAATTTCGCGAAGTTGAAAGTTTCTGCCTTCAGTGTGTGTAGAGTGACGCTTCGGCCATACGTGAAAAAAACGAACACTCTGCCCAATCAAAACACCTTCTGAATTTGACAAAGGAAGGGTTTCAAAACAAAAACACCAGCTCACAAAGTCACGTTGGTCAACATGGGCTTTTAAGAGCTAAATAGTTTACTCCTTTATATACATGTATGAACGAAGATAAGCAACATCTACTCTGTTCTGAGCAATCCAAACCGTTTGACCCATGGACACGCTCACGTGAGCTTTTGGTTTTATTTTTAATTTTAGAGGCTCAGAACATTTTAAGCAAATTTAATTCCAGTTTTATCTGTCAAATACGCGATATCAAATAGTCCCCTTTTTGTAGACAATATTAACTCTACTCATAGATCTTGAGTACTAGAAATACGAATAAAAATAGTAAATCTTATAGCGTTGTTTTCACATGTTAAGAAAATACCCAGGGATCATCCCAGTTTTACTTCTTGGTTTAAATATAACTTTATCTTTAATGTAGGAACAATTATTAATCACTAAGGAAAACAAAATTAACCAAAAACAAAATTAACCAAAAAACTTCAGATTGAGTCACTTTGCCTATCCATGTCTTTTGCAGCTGGCGACTAGCTCCGTGTGACGCAACAAGTTGATGTTCAGAGGTTTTTGCACGAGTATTCATTAGTGGGGGAGCCCTTACGACGTCTGCGTGCAAGGCTAACCTGTGCCGAGTTTCGCGGAGGCACTGCGATTGACACATATTTCTAGTGTTAACCTTCAGTTGTAATTTTCTTTTTTTCCCTCCAAGACACCGTATCCATTTGTTTGTAATTTTTTAGAATACTATGCAGTCATAGGGCAAATGATTTCAGGATGATATAACTTAGTCTTGAATAGTTGAAACTGTTTTCGATTTAAGATGATTTAATTAAAAAAAAAAGGAAAAAAAGAAACGAACTACCACATTAAATCTAGGATGAACATAGGCCTTCAACTGACACCAGAAGTAAAGTGCGTTACGTCCTAATTGTGTTTTCTTGTGCCAAATGTTAGTTTATTGTTGATAATACTGTAAGTATTCTCCCCACGAAAGTACAACGAGCATGTCCCTCTGTGGGACAACTGTTGTCGTTCGTGGGTAGAATACTTCCCAGAAATGCCAAATAGTGGGCCAAACAACTTACTAACAGTGCCTTAAATTCCACCTAAGTCTTGACACTAAGATAGCTGCAGTTCATCACCGAAAATAGCACAAGGGTCTATTCATATTCACTTCCCACGGCTTTTTACATTTTATATTTGGAACTCTGTTGTCGAGGTTGAACTTCTCAAGAACCTGGGCCCGGTTGCATAAAACGCCCGTAACAGTTACGGGTATACGTACGTGTACTCGTAACTTAAGTCAGTTCCATTAACTCACTTACGTGGTCCACTTAGGGATTTCACTTAAGTGGCTGCTCTTACGATTTTCGTAAGTATCCACTTAAGTGTCATTTATGCAACAGAAATTGCGGGTGTTGCATAAAACCCTTTTCACGGGAAAATTAGCACGTAAATTTACGGGACCTATGTAGGTCCCGTATCCTTATTGTTTTTACTAAAGTTAACGAGATCTTTTACTGAGAAGTGAAAAAAATTGTATTTTCTTTACGTAATTCCGTTCTAATGCGCTTTGTTAACCTCTGATGTACATTTAAAGCCGTCGTTAAGAAAAAAGAAGAACAACAAACATTTCCAGCGGATATTGAAGTAAAATAACGATTTCATGTAAACTTTATTTGAATGAGAGGCTTAAAAAGGTGTTCGAAACGACTTGACACTTTCTTTACACTCACCGATGGTTAACTTAATTTAAAAAAATAGAGTGAGTCAAATTAATAATTTAAAGTACTATAACAAAGTTACGTGTGCCCTTAAGTGAGCCCGTAAGTTACCACGTAAAACAGAAACTTACGAGAGTGCTAAGTGTGTTCCATGCAACACCCGTAAGTGTACCCATAACGGATTCGTAAGTGACATACTTAAGTGGGCACTTAAGTGTAAGTTTTATGCAACCGGACCCTGGTCCCAAATGTCGTGGTTTGATGGAGAAGTCTGTTGCAAGTCTGTCATCTGGGTAAAAGTTTCTAAGAACATTGGGGTCCTACGCGTCCTGACTCAGTTACAGAGGTTTCGTTTGTCATGGGGGATTTCTTTTCTTTTTCCCTAATTGTCCCTTTTTTGTTGTTCTTTGTTTTCAGTCAATTGTTCTTTGTGGAATACAGTGCCTGTTTTCTTGTTCCAATTTCAAAAGGGCTTTTCTTTATTTTTAAGATAGAACCGATGACAATTTTACCCTGGTCCTGTATCGGTGGCCCTTACTCTCGGAAATTGACACTACTACGTTTGTATTACTAACTGTCTTTACTCTATAGGTGTAGACAAAACCTCTGTTCAACAATGCGAAAAATCCGCTTCTGTCTACTTTGTATTATAAAGATCCTTTTCATTGCTTTTTGTATTAGCTGTGCTTTTGTTGTCGACAGAACACGATACATTCTAAATTTACGAATTATACACGAATTATGCATGGTTCAATTCTACCTGTTACCACCCCTCTGGACACATCCCCAGGACTCTGCAGCTTTCCCCTTACATGGTGGTCTATTGTTTACAGGTAGAATCGAACCATATATTACTGTGTTCTTTCTAACCTCAGAGGGAAAAGATGAAGTCACTTCCTCTTCGTCCTGTGTAGAAAAATTGGGAGAACAATCACCAAAATAAGTTCATATATGTCAGTTATATTTTCTCTGCTTTTGAATCTTACAGCGTCATATTGGAATTGTTCGTTTTGTTGTTTAGCCGCCTCTCTCGACATTGCATTTCAGTGGTTTCCCATGTTTGACCTAATAAACATTGTATGTTCGTTTATCCGCCTCATATTATTCCTGAGCGAGAGATTGAGATTGCTTCCCGCATGAATAAAGTGCTTGATGATCGCAAAAATCACCTTTTCGGCTTTTCACAAAACCGAGGCTCAGTTATTTGACCATAAAATAACTCCATCAGTTTAGAGATGGGGCTACACAAATTCGGCCTCCAAGTACTCTTTTTTGTGAGGTCCAGAGTCTCGTCCAAAGTGCCAACCCTCTCACGGTGGGTAAGTAATGTTTCACCCCGGTGTAACGTAAAACTCCAAGGGCATGTCTTCCACAGCACCAGCCCAGTCGTATACCTCCTGTCATAAAATTATAAGAAATCCATATTTTTTTGGAAACATTAGACACGCGACGAAAGACTGTAAAGACTAAATGAACGTTGGTGTTATTCTGTGGAGCTGAGGACTTTATTTCTGGGATTTTCGTTTGTCATAATGTTTTAAGATGACGTAATGAAACCGTTTTCTAATCTTTTGCAAACTGGAGTCTTAGGCCCTGGATTCACTGGCGATGCAAATACAAGCTCAAGCATAAGAGCGCAGTTAACCACGGGACTCTTGTGTCAGTGAACACAAACGCACACGGTAGCATAAATAGGCATGCGTAGAGCCGTTTTCACGGTGAAATAAGAGCACTCGTGCTTGTTCGTGCTTGTGCTTACCTTAATGCTATCGAGAAGTAGCTTTAAACATGTTTTCGAACAAGCAATATTGCTGTCACTCCATCGCGTTTTAAACAAACAAAAACGTTCAAATCTATATCATGAAAAGCAAACATAAACCTTTTCTCAAATCCATCTTACGAACAGCAGACACAGAACAGAACATAAATTAATGTTATCCTTGTATTATCACGGAACGAGCCTTAAAATTAACTTACAGTTCTAATAAAACCTGAAAACTTAATGTTGCGTCTTACCTGGAACTGAGCTCCAGTTCTAAATTTCCTCCACTTGGTTCCCAAGTTTGTTCTAATGCGTATATGGACGCCCCTTTCTGGCTCGTCAGATACTCTTAACTTCCTCGCCTCTCTTATCCGTCTCTGCTAATGATAATCAACAAGAGGGTTCATGTTTACTTCATTGTCAACTCTTATTGTGTAACCCAAGTCATATTTATAAGGTAGACTTGCTTCGATGGGACTCGCTTTTCCGATGATGGGGTCACCCTTACAGCCGGGCCAACTTTTCTCCATTTTATAAACTCTTTAGCTCGCCCTGCTGTTACAGCTCTGTCAAGGCGAGACAATCAGAGCACGCCCGAGCGCTGTTGTCATTGGCAAAACCGAGAAGGCAGCTCTTGGCTCGGGTAAAGAGGTCGACATATTTCTCATATAAACGCTCGCCAAAGTTGCCTCGGCTGGGAGGGTGGCCCTCTTACCCGGGACAACGTTTCTTCTTATAAAAGGGGCCAAAAGACCTTATTCGTCATCAGCTATTGGACGAGATCAGCGTCATAACCCATACCAACAAACACTGAAGTATCATTTGCCTTTTACTCAGTTAAAGCTGTAGGAACACTGCAGAATTGTTTATCTTTACCTTTTCAATGATCTTTCCCTCGCCATCGTCACCCTTGCTTTCTTCCCCTTTTTTGGCTGGACTTTGAACTACCTCCACTTGCATCAACTTCTCGGAACTCTTTATCCAGCGCAATTCTTTGCGCTCTCCATTCGGAAATTTTCTCCCTGCGTAGTAAAAAATCTGACATTAATAGAGCTCACGAGTTCTTTTCTTCTCTTTTTGTTACCAGTAAATCGGAGCAGACAGAGCGTAAGACTATGTTCATATGTGAAGCCTTCTATATTGCATGTGCGCGTGGAATAACGCCCTCGCTTACTTCCAAAGGAACTCATTGGTCCCGATCTATTATCAGCTTGGAAATCTTTGTTTCGGAAAAAAGAACGTACCACTGTTGAGACAACAAAGCACCAGCTTCTTTAGCTTTTTTCACAGCCTCAACCAGTTTCGGCTGTATGCATGATAGGTCGATTTATTTATTTTTTTTATTATAATGTTATTCGTAAATATTCCAGAAACGTAGATTTTTTAAGGTGGCTCGATACAGTTTTTTAAGGCCAATACCTCCCAAGTTTGAACATAAACTACGTCGCCATAAACAAAGTTTTGGAAAAATTGCCACCACAGTTGTATTAGATAAAGATGAAAATTTGTTATGATCAGGGTTGCAACGGCATCGGAGTTGTCATAGCAACGAAATGACGCTATTACCTATTTTACTTGCAGCAGTATATCTCAGCACGGAGAACTGTTCTTCCAAAATCGTTCACGGGAGCGTTTTTCTCCAATAGCGGCCTCGACGTTCGTAAAGTTTAATCGAAATCTGTAAGAGCGTTATCGAGATATTTTGGGATGGTTAGAAACAGTAAAAAATGGACAATATTGTTGTTTGGCCGTTACCTGTTGAAAATGTAGCGCTTTTGACATGCAATTTCACCTCATAGTAGTTTCAATCTTTTTAAAAACGTGTGTGAAAGATCATGGAGATAGCTCCAGCGGATTGCTAGAAAGAAGGGTTTTATTAGTATGTATCGAAGCGCTCTTGTTAGCGGTTTTGTAAACATTTTGGTCTTCTTTAACAAATTAGCGAATAATTTTTAAACCGCTCGATAGAATTTTTTTAAAATTTAAGATTCTTGAGACTAACCTTTCTTTTATATGACCTGTTAGTTTCAAGATTATTGATACATTGTAAGGCAGTAAAATAAGGGCTACAATTCGTTACTTTTTTATCGGAAGTTTCGTTATTAGAAGTGAAAACCTCTCATTATTCAAGGCATTGTCTCCAAGTTTCATTTTCACGTAAACAACAGTAACTAACAATGCATTTGACATATGCAAAAATGCTAGCTATTGTTATGCCCGAAAATATGAACCTTGGAGACAAGACCCTGAATAATGAGAGGCTCACATTTGTAAACACAAAATTTCTGCCAAAATATTGGCGAATTTTAGCCCTTTATGAGACAATTAGAGCATGTGTGAGCACTCTTGGCTCGGGAAAAGGGGTCATCGTTTTTCTCATATAAATGCACGCAGAAGTTGACTCGGCTGGGAGGGTTACCCTCTCATTCTGCTCATTTCCCGAGACAACTAAAACAAAGTAACTGGCAGGAATCAAAAAAGATCTTTTTGACCCCGGTGAGGATTTAATTCCGACTCCCATCTGGGTGAGACCTTCCAGCGCTCTCTTGACCGCCGGATGTACAAGGCCAAGCGGGATCAGGTCGCGAGCGTTTAGGTATATTAAACACAAAAGAGGGCGTGTTAGACTGTACAACAGTCGGGTTTTTTTCTCAAAACTTAAGAGTCTCACACGAGAGAAGCGCGCGAGCCTTGCAAACCCGTAGGAGGGCGTGTGAGGCGAGAGAAAGAGTACTTTAAGCGTCCATCCCAAGTCTCATTCTCCGTTTTCAGCCTCGCTCCAGACCTTCTTTGACCGCTCGCGCGCACTTGAATACGCAAAACTACGGACTATTTTGCAGTCTAAGGGCGTGTTCGATTGAGCTGGCGTATTCTGCAATAAGAATAAAAGGAACAAACCCTAAACATCACCCGTCGATAGGAGACGCGCACCCGAAGGGCCTAAGTTCTAAACAAGTCCTCTGACTTGTAGATTCATTTGGCACGACTTTAGTATTTTGACGGACAGTAAACAAACATCATTAAGCTCTTTTAGCGCTTAACAACCGTCACTGTAATTACGGTCTAATAATTGTAAACAGTTTAAAAGAAGCAACGTTTAGATTGACTAGAAATCACGTACAAAACTGAACTAGTGCAACTAATTCTAGCTCGAAAAAGAAGTTGACTAAATGTACATTGCAGTGTGGATGTCAAAATGATAAAGGGAAGCTTATCCTTAGCATTCCTGTATCTCACAGTAGCAAGCAATTTGCAGTTTCACCTAATTTGGGCGATTGCAACGCTGCATATTGGCGGTTTATTTCCATTCAGTGGCCTTGGCGGCAATGGGGGTTCTATGAAGGGCGATCTAATTGAAAAAGCAGTCAGAATGGCAATAGAGGACATTCAAATGAAGGGTATTTTGCCAGGTTATCTGTTACAGCTTCACATCAATGATACTCAGGTAAGACCAAAAAAATCAACACTAAATAAGTTAGATTTCAGATTTCTTGAAGACCCTCGGTTTCTCGACTCTTCGGATAACTGATTCTAACTTCTCTTACTACGTAACACCGTTTATTCTAAAACTCCGTGGATAGTTAATTTTCCAATTCTTAACAGTTTTCATTTTCTCAGAGGTCACGTCAAAAACACGGAGGAAGGTTGTGTACGTTATGAAAATGAGAAATAGAAAAAATATTGTATCATTGTTTGCCATCTTATTATCCTTCAAATTAAAAGGAGTCGGACAGTCGACAAAATCCGTAGAAAATCCTTAAGGGACCCTTATCTTTTGGTTTACTTCACAAGTAATGATCGGAAATAAAGAACGGTTATTCGAGGTGATAGTAAGCTTATTAAGATAATACAGTCAGTAAATATATATATAAAAAAGTTAGTATTCAACAATGGGGTAAGAAAATCTCTTTGACCAGAAAAATTCATTAAACAGCATTTATTGGGACATGTTTTTACTACGGCCAGTGGGTATCACATTTTTTATCAATTCAACCAGACAAGCGCAAATGACAAACAAAGAATTGCAAACATGACAAAAAAGTGAACAGAGCTAGGTAAAACTTACAGTATATGGGGCTGTTTACATGGAGGGAGCCGGGGGGGGGGGGGGGGTGTAATGCCTTATATAAGCTATATAGGTGCTAGGTGGCTATGTGTCGCCCCATCGGGTAGGGTTTTTTCCCCTTTGTGTTCTAAAAACGGGTATTACCATTCAAAATAGATCAAACTTAAAATCAAAACCGTTCAATAGATTATGTCCAGAATCTGGGAAATGAAAGGAGGTAAATATACAAAGCCCCTCGCCAAGAATCAGGTCAGAAGAATATTCCGTATTCGAGATATCCGAAGAAATGTTTTATCCAAATTTATAGAGATTTGTATGGAGGCGCCATGCTGGTGCCCACCTGGATGGGCACCAGCATGGCGGACTGAAACCAACAAAAACATCTGTTTAATACCGAGTTTTGGTACAAAAGCGTGATTCTTATTGCTCAAGGAACTCATAAACATTAAAGTAATACTTATTCCATTTCATGAACTGTGTAGATAGCAAAATTCCCCGAAATACGTCACTTTTTCAACCTACATGACAGCTCTCTCGACCGTCATGTAAATGCCACGTCACGCAAAAGCTTACAAATTCAAGCGTACGCCATCAAAAAACCAAGAACCCTTTTGAAGCGAAAATTTGTATGAAAATTAGTTTTCAATTGCTCTAATACATCATGAAAGTAAAATCTCAGTAGGATCGATAGTTTTGTAGTTTGAATTTTAGTGACGTCATGTGAAAACACTTTGCCCATTTTGGTCTGGAATCGGGTATGGTTCTTAGAAACTAAGGAACTACTGGAGTGTATGAAGGTATTTATCGTTTCAATTCCAAATGAGTAAGAAAGAAAGAGAAATATGAGAATTCAAAAATGGATTTGAAGATTTTTTTGTTGTTGGCACTTTAATAAGTAATGATAACATAATTTTTGCCTAAAGACAAGCGGATCATCCTAGCGCCTTATGTTTTCTGTATTCAGTTTACATGCAAAAAGTAATAATTATAAGGATCCTTGCCCAGCTGCTGACCGAAAATTCTTTATGCAATCCGGCCAACTATTAAAGTTGTTCGCCTCATAGGGGATCTTCCTGCTGCTAGGATCTTGCTTCCTCCATGTAAAGTGGTACATGAACTGGACTGAGATCTGACATGATAAGTGACAAAAATTTAACTGACACTGAAAAGACAGTTCGCAGCTTGGTTCATGCCGAGTCAAGACCCGAACATCTGATCTAAACCCATGATCACAACTTTCGCTTTCGCATTCAAAAAGATGAATTAAAAGGTTGGCTGCTAAGATGTGTTTGTTGTGGTTTAATCGGTTAGAGCGATTTTCGTATGGGCTTGCAAAATGGTTTCGGTCAGTGTTCGTTATTTTTTTTTTGTCAACCAATGGATGAAAAGTTCAAAATATAGCAACTTCGTTTTCCCGCCAAAGAAAACACTAATATGGAGAAGGCATTGTTCGATTGGCCAATCGTGTTGCAGTATGACGTCAAAGCGAAGTATCGATTGATTTCTAGAAAGTTCTAGGGCATGAAGTCTTTTCACCCGAGCGTTCGCTCAACCAACCAAAAGCCACGCGCGTTTGTATCCTTTCGATAAACCAATCCTTTGTTGTTTCTGTTTTGTTCGCGCGTTTTCATTTCAAGGTCATGAAAATCGCTCTATCTTTGGTTTAAATATTATTGGCGAGTTTTGTCAGTGATGAATGATAATGTTTTTAAAACAAGGAAAAATAAAATTTGAAAGAGAATAGAGCCACAATATCAATGATGAATTCAGAAGATCCTCCCTCCATATATTACAGAGAAATGGGAGGAGCATTTCATGATCGCTGACATGAAGTGTCCCACGCTTGAGAAAGTCTAGAATTAAGAACTTTCTTCGAATTCTTTTCCTTCCAGTGCAGAGCAGACTACGCATCACGTGATCTCTTTGAAATGATAAACAAAAAACCAACAAAAATAGCTTTGATTGGAGCGGGCTGCTCGGTGGTGTCGGAAAGGCTAGCAGAAGCAACGAAGACTTGGAATCTCGTTATGGTAAGCATACACGGCGTACCAAACACTAAGCCAGACTGCCCCTGATAGGCAGAATAACATAACGAAAATTACGTAACGAAAGAGGGCTATGATTGGTCAATTTCCCGTAAATTTTGAATCACTCCGAATTTGGTGATATTTGGTCGTCAGGCGGGGACAAACAATCTAAAAAAGTAAAATCCATTAAAATATAGTTGTCCCAAAGAAAAGTAATGTCAGGGCTCCTAGCTGGCAATGTAGAGCTGGACTCGTGAACCTTCCTTTTTCCCCTCGGAAACAAAGACGATGAAGTCAGCTAATAGAACAACTTTCTCTTCTTAGCCAGTAACCATCCATGGTAACCTGCGACGGGCGTGATGGCAGGCTTCTAAGCTAGAGGATATTTCAAGGGCGATTAAACGTCTCATTTTTTGTTCCTCCAATGAAAATAAACGAGGTTTTCGTTCACATTGCTTGACTTCTCTTGGTCATCTGACCTTTCATGTGACTTTGAGAGCCAGCTCCCATCACGCACCGCGCGAGGGTTTAATTAGCATGTGTGGCATCTTGTCCATGAAAGTGCTTTTTCCTCCACGTTGGTCCCGAGACAAATTAGGCAATGTACCGAAAATGTCCTCACATTTTTGTCAAATATTCTTAACCCCGCCAAAGGAAAAGTAGTATACCGCATACCTAACATCATTTGTTTCAGCTGAAAGATGTGTTATACCCTAGGGAGTTTTATACGGGGAGGCTCCGCCCCGAGGACCATCTGTGACAGAAAGGATACCCTTTTGTCTGAAGCCTAAAAAAGGTACCCCTTTCGGACGGAGCCTCCCCACCCTAGTACCCTACCCCTCCCCCCCCCTGGTGTTATACTAACGTCCAAAATCCCGGCGGTATTCGGTTAGCCGACCCAGGTTAATTAAAAAATAGCTTATTTTTCACTTCTGGCACAATCTGCTTTTAAATGTTGTAATTGATAACCCTGAGATTACTCTAGAACCTATCCAGGAGAGAGATCAAATACTCGCCATTATGGACGTCATACAAAGAAAACAGGTTATTTTTCTCCATACATCAACTGAGTGCTGAAAAGCTATTTGTCATACGAAGTACTTCCCGGAGATACAATATCTCTATCTTTGCACAGTATGAAAGCATGCCTCTAAGTGCGCTATCTTCAGTTTTCTGAATTTCAAGGGGGCCCGCGTTGTTCCGTGATGTTTTCCTCTCTCAGTGATATTAGAGTTTCAATTCTTCAGTAAAAGGATCATTCTCAGAAGCTGGGCACAGATCCTTATATAAAAACTCGGTATATACTTAGAGTCATTCTTACGAATGCCTTCTTTAATATAGAACGATTTCATGATCATTTGATTATAAAGCTCGAACAAACTAATATATATAGGGTAATTTTCGTGCAGTGAAATATATAAGAAGCTGTATATTATAGTTACTCTTGTTATAATTATTAGGATCTGTGCCCAGCTGCTGAGAATTAGCTTAGCTTGAGGGTACCCACAACACATAATTTTGTAAAGTAAAGATGCAAACAATTTAAAGCCGGTTGATTTTGAGGGTTGAGTTATTGCCGCATTTTATAATACCGTGATCTTTTCCGGATCAGTCTACTGTATTATGAACAACTAGTAACGTTTAATTTGGTGATAAACGCTCTTTTATGTCTCTTGTAAGAACGAGCAAAACAGCTCGTGATCTGCATACAAATTAGTTTTTAAAAGGTAATTTGTTTAGTCGACATTTAATATCCTTGACCAGACGTTTTGCTATGTTTCATCCGGATTCCCACCGTTCAATTCGGCAACGTTTTGAGACTCTCTTGTTCATATTTATTCAGTTTTATAACTGAGAAAATCCGCCTGTCAGCATCTGACGGTTTCAAAGTCAAAGTACGATTTTAATTACTAAAATCACAAAATATTGTTTGGTTAAAAAAAGAGCTAAAATTCGAAAAATTAGCAATTATTACTATTGAACATAAAAATGAGATCCGACTTGTATAAGAAACAAACCATTGGAAAGTGTTTGTTAAGTCCTTACGTCTGATATTTCTAAGCGCTTTTGATTTCAATTGTCCTTCTCTCGAAAACGACTGCGCGACATACTGAGAGCAAATTATATTTATTAGGCGCTGGCACGGCATGTTTTCCGCTTGCTAGCCAAAAGGCGTTGTTTGATTCCCTGGAGATAAAACTGATCGGAATTTTCGTTGGTTCAGCTGTAGCCTGTTCCAGGCGTTCAGACAGTGGGGAGCGGTGCGAAGTAAAAAGGAGCGCGAAAAAATACAAGCGAGGGAGGGGGAGAGTCCCCCTCTACTTTTCATCGCTTTCTTTACTTCGCACCGCTCTCCACTATCTGAACGCTTGGAACAGGCTAGTTCAGCTGTTGGCAGCGCAGCGAGTAAGCATCATTTTTCTGAGGCTCAACGAGACGTTTGTTTTCAAACTCGCCATGTCTTCATACAGCTTTATTGTGTCTTGCATCATGATGATGTAGCCGGTATTCTTGTAGAGAAACAACGAGAACTGTAATTAACGTTTCTAAAGAGAGGGCTTCAAAAAAATGGCTGTACATGTAGTCGTTGCAAGTATCAGCAAACCTACACGAAAAGGAGGATTAGTTCAGGTGTACAGCTGTATGGAGCCAGAACGTGGCCTATAAACACATCTGTCTGGCATTCAGTAAAACGAATAAAATTATAAGGAATCGGTGGCGACGCAACAGCAATTTAAAGTCTTTAAAAATCGATCAGCGTCGCATTCATTTCGAACGTTGTATGCCAAAACTAATTTTTCTGGCATTTAATATCTTGATGATAATCTGTCCAAACACTCGTAGCTAGAAAATCAGATATATGAAATGTCAAACCTGAATATAACTTATTAAACTACAGTTATGTCTCTTCCCAAAACAGTACCACTGCTATGAACCACGTACAAGTGAATACACGCAAAATGAAATTTGTGGCGTTCCTTTGATTTACTGCCAATGGAGAACTGTTATCACTTACCGGTAGTTTTTTAAAATTAATTTTACATTTATTATTCAACAAAAAGCGAAAGACTGAAGCGGAGAATTTTTTTTCAATTTTGAAGGAAAAGTCCCTGAGCATTTAACCATCCTTCATACACCGTAGAAGTTCGTGTTTGACGTAAGTAAATACTATTGCCTAAGGCACAAGGGATGTAAAGAGAGTTATTTGCACAAGCTAGGGCCAAGAACCGAATAATGGAGATAAGATTACGTTACAAACTGCCATTATCTTTGTTTACGGCTTTAACTCACGTGCTTAAGAGGAAGTGATTTTTTAACCAATAAGATGAAAAAGCAGGAGTAAATCATGCAAGTAATCATCCAAGACTTGAATATAAAGCTAGTCCGAAGTCGAATTAGTGGAGTAAATAGCACTGAAATAAACAGTGCGAGTTCATTCGTCCTGCTGTACTTTTGGAGGAAAACCGACCAATCCAAGAACGCGCAAGACAAATTCAACGATTGAAATCCGGAAAAATTCCACAAGTTTGCTTGATGTGTTAGTCTGGCCACTGCCAATTATTTACAAGGAAAGATATGTCCATACTTCTGGCAAATCAAACCGTGGAAAACGCTCCGTTGAGGGCCTGCGAGCACTTTTCGTTCAGGGTCAACACGATTCCATACAGCCCGGACAACAAGACGTTTATCGTGACCGTATTTACTTGTGTCTTCATCGGATTAGCCTGCCCTTGCACCATAATTGCAAACGTGCTGGTTTTTCTGGGCATTCTGCGAAAGCCCGATCTTCGCAATGTTTATAATACGTCGATTTTATTTCTTGCAACGTCTGATCTTTTAACGGGCCTGATCACACTCCCAGCTTTCGTAGCTTACCAGGGGAGCAAGCTGACAAAACCGGAAAAAGACTTCTCGTGTGTGGCTTTGGTTTTGTACACATTTACAACCTTTTTATTCACTGGTCTTTCAGTAATGACAATCATTTTGATTACGATCGAGAGATACGTTGCCATATTCCACCCTTTAAAATATCGGTGTTATCTTACGAAGCACCGAATAGCGATTATCATTTCCCTTGTATGGGTTTTATGGACTGTTTTTATCACCATGGCGCGGTTTTTTCCGGGGGCAAGTCCTGGGATGTACAGTGTGATAGCCTCTTCCTTGTTGATTCCCTGTATTATTCTAACGTTCTTCGTGTATTTCAAAGTGTACGCATTGACACGGCGAATCCGCGTGTCCATTGGTCACGAGTTAACAGCACCGCGATCCGCCGAGAACATCCGAGAGACCAAATCCTCCAGGACGGTGGCCTACATAGCAGGCGCTTTGGTTCTTTGCTTTGTGCCGACGCTTGCAATCGCGGTTATCTACATGAGGTCAGGATCAGTTAGCAGAAACTATTTTTTCCACCTGTTATATCCTCTTACAGACACAGCAGCACTGCTTACCCCAATTCTCGACCCCGTCATATATGTACTCCGAAGTAGCAGTGTTAGAACAAGTCTTCGCGAGATGTTACGAGACAGAAGAGCTTCAACGCGCACGAATCGCGCACGAACGCAGACCGGACCCACAGCAACAACTGGTTTGGAAATGACAGCGCAATCTTAAAAGATAAGTTATCGAGATTTAATAGCGAGTAACAAGAAATTAAAGGAAACTGATGACATGTTCGTTTAAGGTTCGCGGCATTCATTCTATGATCTATCGTGACTGATTACATGGACCCAGAGGGATTTTATTACAAGGCTGTCAAAACTCATTTGTGGTTTTCCGGCTCTCGAAAGCAGCTCAAACAAAATTATCGTGACCAAACGTAATGGCGGGCCTGATGGTTCGAAAGAGAATCACGAGATGAACGCATGCAGGCTTTTGGGCTTGTTTAACGAAGCAATTGCTTGTACACGATGGATTTTTTAATAAAACATTTTGACCAATGACTGCAGCTGACATATGATTTATATATCTGTAAACCAAATGCATTCAAAATAGAAAAACAACATTTGTTTTATCTGCGCGTCTATTTTCTTCGCTTCCTCAAGCCCTTTTTGACAAAGGCCATTACTGACATTTTATGCCATTTTAAGGTTACGTCTCCATTGCTGATAGAAATTTGCTGAACTCAATTTTGTGCGTTCAAATATTCAATGATTTCGAAGGCGTTTCCCTAAAAAAGTTTTAACTCTGGAGAACACTCTTTTTTCTAGTTAAGTTCATTACCGGAGCTAAAACAAAAATGTGACTTACTAGAATTTTAAAATAAAATAAATGATCAAGGGCATTGCCGGCTATTCAAAAGCTAAAAATTCAATCCTAGAAGTTTAACACCAATTTTTTTTAAGTGGCTCAAACCGGAAAAGCGGCCATTCAAATAAATTTTCGTTTTCCTAAAAGCAATGCCCTTTTAAAATAATAAAACGTGAATAATCACTGTTGAATGAACGACATAAGCCATGAGTATTCTAACTGGGAAAGATTTTTAGGACAAAAAATGACAACACTCATGCACTAACATTTTAAAGTTTTTATGGTCTAATATATCATCATCTACCTCCTATTCTTTCGAATGTTGACTGCCTACAAAAAGGACAGTCATTCAACCACTGAGCTATTTCGTTGATGTAAATAAGTTATGTAAACAAACACTGCATCGAAAGTGCATCTGCGATTAAAATTCAAACAAACCATCCCAGAGTTAAAGCAAGGAATGTAAGCTTTTCAAATATTGTGTGTTTAAGTGTCGTTTCCCATTGCCAGACTAACTGCGACTAGATTTGGTTTATAAAAATAATAAAAAAAAAGAACATGAGAATCTGCTTGACTTTAATAAAGTAGCATGCACATCATTTGAAATAGGTACTAATTTTGCTAGTTATGGCAATTGTCAGGAGCCTATCTCCTGCAATTGTCTAATTTCTTTTGATATCTCAAAATTACCTTGTATTGGAAGTTTTTTTCCTTCACCCTGAAGGGGTTAATGATCAGTTAAGAAAGCGCACCGTCGCATTAAATAACTTGTGCTTTGTTTGATGTTATATTAACACTTATGAATAGAAATCCGTGCTCATTTCTGTGGTCACCTACCAACGAGCTTTGCATAATTGCCTTAGCTTTCCTTTGAATTTAATTTAGACTAAAAGAAAATAAACCTTTATTTAATAGAACTGAACAATGAGGCTAAGAATGAGAAATGCACATCAACAAATAGCGTAGCGTAGCGACCAGTAGCCTAGCTGAGGAGGATGTTCAGTCAAATAAATTTCTCGCTACATACGCAAGTCGTGGAAGTATGACCAGTACAGAGAAAACACTACTACATTACACTATTATATTGGTTGTCTGAACAATTCAAAAGCTTATGATATAGTTCGATGTGGTTTCAACTAACCGAGAGCATTGCAGTTTTCATTATGCGCGTTTTGGAAAAGAGTCAAACCTCCGGCTGCGGGCTCAAAACGCCCCAGAAACGGTTTCTTTCGATGGTAAATAGAGGGTCTATTCATATTATTGAAAAGAATAATCAACCGATGCTCCTCACACGAATAATCAGTCAATATAGTTCTTCACAACTGCGAAAATTTAGCGTGGCAAACCTAACAGACCATTTTACAGTGGTGGGCTTCGTTGTCCTAGCCTTTGAGTGAACGTGAGGCTAAAGCTGACCTTGTTTTGATACAAACCTCCTTCCTTTTCTAAAGTAAATTTTGCAAAACACTGGTAGTTAGCATAACAAAAAGATTTACATAAAAAAGCCAGAAGGGTTGTATCAAAAAAAGGATCAAAAAAAAAAAAAAAAAAAAAAAAAAACCAAGGTGAACTCCAGCCTCGTTTCCAACTATAACTGTAAAATGGGCTATTCAGAGTATTGCACTTCAGCATTTTAACAAAGGCCGAACGTGGACTTCTTCCGGGTGCTAATTATGAAACCCGGAAACTCGAAGCAGTTACAGAAGATTACAGAAGACATTGGTGAGCTACAAGTAAATGGGTAATTAATGTTTTTTCAGTCACATATATGACTACACAATAGTTTTAATCACATTAACCATTTAAACCCTAAGATCAAAATTTGAATTCTCATTTGTTGCCCTAAATTTCCTAATTAATGTTTTTTTGCTAAAATCAAGCAAATATCTTGTGTGATCATGTCCGTAATTCTCATGACCACGTTTTTAAAAGCATTGATTAACAAAATTTGATGTTTTCACTCTAAAAGCTTAGGGTTACAGAACACTAAGGTGTTAGGGATACAGAACACTAAGGTGCCTGATAATTGAGGGCGAAGCGAAGAGTCACATTCCCGAGGTTCTCCTTTAAAAAAAAAAAGCGCTTTGGTACGTCTCTAAGAAAAAGCCATTTTCCCTTTCGTTTGTGATGTTACAAAATCTTTAGCCTGCGTAGCAAGCGTTTCCAGTCGAGTTATAGCGCTCCCTTCCCCCTCCCCCCTCATTCCTTTTTTTTTTGCTCTCGCCCCAACTTTCTCGACGAACTCGCGCGGAGACGCTTGCTATGCAGGCTACAAAATCTTTCTCTAAGTGTGTCATCTCTGACTGACATATTTTTATCCTTTTCCTATTATTATAATCGTAGTATTGTTTTAAGGAAGGTCCATTGCTGTTGGCAGATTATTCCAAATTTAATTGTTTAACTAAAACTTTAGGGCAAAACGGGACTTTTTGTGCCGGCTTATGACGCTTATGGATATGTAGCTCTGGTGTCTTCCATCGGATCGTTTTCAATGACGTCACGGCGGCTGCATTGGTGCAAAAATAAATAAATAAATAAAACGGCGACCGTGTTGGTCAGGGGCATCAAACGACGGTTTCCTCGTAAATACATTACACATTTTTTAGGCTATCTAGAGTACTTTTAGATCTCTAGAGAAATTCAAAGCCGCGCTAAAAAAATTTGTATCTGTTCGGTCGGCCTGGGGAAGTTGAGTCTTTTTAAAATTACAAGGGGTTCTGTGTTATATTCACTTCCCGAAAGTTTTAGATGCAATTTATCGTATTACAAAAGTGAGAATTTTTTTTTATCCCTCTCTCCATCACATTTTTGAATCCGAAAACTTAAGGTTCCCTTTTTTTCTACGAAAAATAGCCTAACCTGGGGAGTGAAATGTGAAAAATTAAACTTCAGAAAATCGTAGGGAATTATCAGATAAGCTTCGAAAATAACATTTGAATGGCCAGGAACGGTCATCTAGAAATCTGTAGCCGTCCTCAAGTAATGGAAAATTCTAGGCAATATTTGCTTCTCCGAACTGATATTTTACAGAAAACAGTCGTTGGGTGGCCCTGGTTGGTGTACAAGAAACATCATTTGGAGATCGAGCCCTTTTCTCTTGTAAACTGACTTTCTTTTGTTCCAACAAATTTGCATAGTTACTGACCACGTGACTGTGTTGCGTGCGCACCAGAGTGGCACAAAGTAATGAAATTAATGCGACCATCCCTGACCATAGCTTACCCTAGAGCTAAAAAGGTTTCTAAATAATAGAGTGAATTGCTCCCCTATTCACTGATGCATGTCAACAAATCGGTTTTATGGGTGCCTGATAGAACGATCTTCTTGTGACCTTGAATGTTACGCACTCACCGTGTACACACTGAACTCAAACATTTGTTAATACAAGAATTTGATTAATTCGGGGACTCCATAGATTCAGATGCAAGGGGCTAATTGCTTGTTTTATTTTCGCGACGTCCTTACTATTCAAGAGGCTGACACAGGCTAGCAAAACTACGAAAGCGGGTGAATTTAACTTGTTAAAACATGTTCATCTTTTCAGTTATCGTTTGGTTCCACGACCCCAACACTATCAAAGAAGACTACATATCCATTGTTCTTTCGAACAATACCATCGCAAGTGGCATGTAACAGCGCTCGTATTGCCGTGCTGAAGAAATTCAACTGGAAACGTGTAGGACTGATAGGAAAATCTGACACAGATAATTCTGAGGTAAGATGGGTAAACTGGGCAACTTTGTTGGCAGGGTAGCCTGTGTAGCAGGCGCCGTTGTTGTTGTTGTTGTTGTCGTTGTTTTCATTATCAAGGCGAAAGGAGAAATTTCGAGGACGCGGGCGCACACGAAGGAACTCATCAGCGCCTGCCTCGTAGGCTATCCCCAGTACTATTTTCACGGCCTTCCCATTAGCCATGTGATAGTCAAGCCCCCTTCATGTACTTGTGGGCATGTTTGCCATACAGGCCTGTTGTAAGGCGGCAGTTTCACCCAGTTGTTTGGTTTTAGGCCCGTACACACGAATCTGGACATTTTTCAATCCGCCAATTTCTACCCACGTTTTTATTCGTCGTGTAAACGGGGTCTTAAGGTGATGTTACACGAGAGAATAGCAATGACGATTTTTAGCGCAACACAGCGTTGCAACATTGTTGCGACATTGTTTCGAATGATAACAACATTGCAACACTGTGTTGCGCTTAAAATCGTCGTTGCGAATCGTCCCTTGTAACATGGCCTTTAAACCACCTTGCGGCGGTTTCGAAAATACATGTCATTTCGGTGAGCAAGGTCACTGATTTCGCGCCGAAAGGACGGCCGATTCGTAAAATAAAATATGCGGTTTCAAAAATATCCGGATTCGTGTGGATGAGGCCACAGTGGATGAAAACTCTAGGATCAAAATTAAAATTCTCATTTGTCACCCCTATTCACTTACTGTAGAAGTAGTGGAGAGAAGTTGATAAAATATCAAGCAAATACGTCTTGTGTCATCATATCCTTAATTCTCATGACCACTCTGTTTTACAAAGCATTGCTATTACAAGGAGAAATTTGATGCTTATCACTCCAAGGGTTTAAAGGATTAATTTTGATCGTAGATTACGGCTCACTTACGAAAAGAACTTGAAAAAGAGAGCATCCAGATTGTTGCCTCCGAAACATTTGTTGATGATCCTACTTCACAAGTGAAAAGTTTAAAGGTGATTTGTTGTGTTAGTTTTATTTGTTTGCATCGGCAGTTATTTCTTACTGCTGAGTAAGTATTGCTGTCGTTTCTGTTCTTGTTGTTGTTGTTGTCATAGCCACGCCTAGAGCTGCACGGGCAGGGCAAAGAAGAGGAAATGTTCCTTTCTTGTTTCAGAGAAACTGACCATTGTTTTCTAAGGCAATGAAATCGGAAATGTTGTGTCGGAACAGGCAAAACAGGGGGAAGGTCAATCATTGCTACTAAAAACACAATTTCACCACACCTTAACAAACACCTCGTCGTTCTCTCCCCAACAAAACAGGGGACCATAATCATGATAATAACAGTGATTCTGGAAGTTTGCTGTGGGATGAGCTGCGATAAACCTAACCCTAACCCTAATCAAGCACAAATATCCGCATACAAATTCTCCATACTCTGTCCTTCTGTTAAAAAATGAAAGTATTTTCCGGGTTGTCAATTCATTACTTCTCGAAATTAAACCTATCTACCAGATTATGCATTGTTACAGTTAGGAGAAAATTAATGCTGGTCACAGTCTTGAGACATTAAGGGCTTTTTAACTGACAGAGTTTTGTATGAACTCAGGAAAAAGATATCAGGATAATAATAGGCAATTTTGACGAAAGAAGCGCAAGAAAAGTGTTTTGCCAGGTACGTCAACGATCCAAATCTTCATGGCGTAATATCAGTTTATGTGATTTTTTTCAGGGGTTTGTTGTGAAATTTTATAAGAAATTTGTCTTTTGTAGGCGGTACGATCAACCGCGTTTTAGTTTCCAAAAAATTGCTAGAAATACATTTTAATTGGTCAGACAACGTTTGGCTAGTCCCTAGTCCCTAGGCCTCATTTTTCCCCACGGCCTATGTGTTTCGGGTCACGTGGTCCACGCGAGGTTTCGGGCGGCCCTTCGTCTCGCATACGTCAGCGAAATGCATCGACCGAGAAGGCCTGGAGAGACGCCGTACAGGGACTGGGCAAAAATGACGTCACTTTGGCACTGTTGGACCATGAAATCTAGGTCTTGTTTATTAACGAGGTTTTTAATTTGTGCAAGAATAATCTGGTCCAGAAGCGGGGTTTTAAACGGGGAAGTGGCAGCTGAAAATACCTTGATTCGCTTGTACCTCACTAAGTTAAAAGCTATTTGAGGTCTTTGTGAAGACTCAAGGCAGATGCTTTCGACTCGACATCAATTCACCAACACGTTTCTTAATACACCCATTTAAGTCAAACGCGTGCCTTATCTACCTCTTTGTAGGCTCACAAATCTGGCCTATATGGTGCACGTTATGCTTGGCTTATACCAGGATGGTACAGCAACGATTGGTGGACAAAACACATAGAAAAGGAGTCACTAGAATGCACTGGACAACAGATGAATGAAACTGCCAAGGGTTACATTTCATGTGATATTGTCAGGATGAGCCCAGAGAACATTGTAACTGTATCTGGACAGGTACAGAAATGTTTTTAAGTAATAGTTGCCGTCTTAGATGTAACGTGTAATGAAAGAGAGCTTTAATCTGAAGTAATCAAGATGGGGACGGCAGTGAAAACTTCACTTAAAAAATGAATTTATGTTCAGGCTCTCAAACTTCATAGAGTTTACTATTAGACTCACTCAAATTGTCAAATGTTTGCGAGTTTTCCTGTTGTAGAATTCTTTTAAAGGCAGGTTCAAAAAGAGAAGGGAGAATTCGTCGTCGTGTGTTTACGGCCTCCATGAAAATGTCGCATTAGTGCAGGAAAGTTTCATGTCGTAGTCGACATTTCGCGCGGGTCACTTTTTAAGACTTGACCGAAACCGGAATACGCGCATGAAAAGCCTCTGGCACCCAGGGTATGCAGTGGACGTCATAGAAATGTAAACGTGATGCACTTGTAGAGCCGTTGTTTTCCTCATAAAACCAGTCGGTTGTTTTTCGACCTGGTCGTTGCTGTTGTCTTTGCTTAAGCTTCCTTGTTATATTACACAATGGAGAAGATAAAATGAAAGATTATGAGTGTGTCTCACTTTGCACGCAATGGCGAGTGCGGTGAAAAATCGCCAGGCGGTTGGCGAAAATTTAAATGAGATTACAAGAGGTTCCCCTTGTATAAAGTAGTCTGAGAAGTTTACGAAAATGGCGCATCTGGCAAATCTGGCGCAAATTTGCCATGGGTTTGGCAAATATTCAAAGTGGATGCCAAAAGTGGCCCCTTGGAGAGAGGCGATTATGACGAAAATGGCGAATCTGACGAAAATAGTGAAAGCCCTGACCTGCTAGCAATAGCGGAAATGGCGAGTCTGGTAAAAAATGGCCAGAGGGTTGGCGAAAAATTAAATAACCTTTGAGAGGGGCTCTGATTTTGGCGAAAACGGCATATCTCGTGTGTCTTGATACATCCAACGTTTTCTTGCAGACTCCCAAACAGATCAACTCTAGTTACGTAAAGTTCACGGGAACATCTCTTAAAATGACAGACGCTGGATTTGCATATGATGCTATGTGGGCGATCGCTACTGCTCTGAACAGAAGTGAAGAATACTTCAAGAAAATGAGACCCTCCTTATCGATAAAAAATTTCACGTATATGTCAAAAGCAATGACCGAACACTTCAAAAACGCGATAAACGAAACAAACTTCATTGGCGTTACTGTAAGTATTATTAAACCTAATTCCGTGAGGGTGTTAGGCTGTTTCTACGTGTTGCGGAAACCATTGTTAGTTCGCTTTTTGATTTGTGGTAACTACTACTACTAAGGTTGTTAGGACAGGCAAAAATTGTATTAAAAAAAAAAAAAGAAAGAAAATTAATTAATTAATTAATTGAATAATAGAACAAACAAAAGATGTTCCTACCACTCTAGGAAGCATGGGTCCAATTGGTTCCAAAATGAAGTCCTCCAGTCAATCACCAGTCTTTATTACGGTCACGTGATCTCTGTACATCCACAAAAGACTGTATGACTCCTCAGGAGTCATTTTGAAGCTCATTAACGATATCTGCAGACGTCCTTAAGACAGGATCTCTCCTGGACAGAGAGCTGTTGAAGATTCTTAAGCGAGACATCTCGCGCGCTTCGCTCGCGCGTGACCATTTTCAGCGGGTGATTCGTTGTGTTGGAGAGTGGGTATTGTCCAGTGTCTTTTCAGTCTTTTGTATTAGGTCATGTAGTGCTTGCACCTTTCTGCAACTCCGAAAAACTACCAGTTTCTTGGGTAAAAAAGGCACATCTCCCTTGTGTTTGGAAAAGAATATGAAGGAGAAGTCTATTAAAAACTTATTAAGAAAGAGGCAAACTCACTTTTTCAGCTGGTTTTTAGGACGAAACCTTACAATGTAGTTAACCTTGTCCAGCTATAGTCTCCCGTATTTCGGTCTGAGAAAGCCGCAAGCGAGTAAACTTCCTCAGGCACTTTTCGTCTTTCACGTTATTTCACGTTATTTTGCCACTTTATTTCCTAGGGACCGGTACAGTTCACGCATAGCGGAGATCGATTGGGCTTTATGAGGATTAAACAACTACAAGGTTAGTAAACCTAGAAGATCTATCTCTCAGGTATGCGCTAGTGGTTTATGATAAATAAAGGTAGATAAATGTGGTTAATTTAATAATAGGAGAGCACTTTTAAGTAGGGATGGAGGTATGATTATTTGGCCGGAACGAATGACTTGTTTGCCAGTACATAGTTTGATACCATCATTGTAGCACGAAGAGAGGCAGTATCTATCTGCATTTTAACGATAAAAAAAGGAACCAGCCATTTGAAAGCTTCGTTAACAGATTTTATTCCTACGTGTTCCTGCCAAAAGGTTTGCATTGATGGTCGAGGTATCATATATAAATGATATCTTGTATCATATCTCGTTCTTCTTAATCGCTTGCTGTTTGAGTAACGTCTACCCTTTGAGTGATGACCGCACAACTGACGGCCAGTTCTACATGACACTAAAGAGGTCGCACTGCTTTATCTGAGCTAAGGATGGCGTAGTGGTGAGAGCACGCGCCTCCCACCAAAGTAGCCTGGATTCGAGACCCGTTGTCGACGCCATATCTGGGTTGAGTTTGTTGTTGGCCCGGGGGGTAACTTGGGTTAATTTTGCTGGGTATGTGCCGCTGGCCTCTGGGAGCCCCTACCCCATCATAGTCTATTCTGTGGCCAATTATAGATCCCATAGTCACTTTTGGGCTAATATGTAATTTTCGCGATCCCAACTTAGTCTCTTTCTGTTTTTATGAATGGATCCATTTTTTAGATTGAATGAAGAACACTTGACTTTTCATCTGCAGTACAAACATTCTGGTACGTTTGCTAATCGCAAATATGAAGAACTGTCTTACCCCAAAAAGTCCGAAAATGTGCGACCCCATTCTAGTAACTCTATTGAAAATGCGACCCCATTATAGTCAATCCAGTTGTGAAAATGCGACCCCTTCCAGCGGCGCATCCCCATTAGCCTCTTATAGGGAAGTACCCCCCCCCCTCCCCCGGGGTTGTTGGATCCCCACCTTGTCCCGAGAGGTTTTCTCCCTTTCCTCCGGTTTTTCCCCGTCTTCTTTAAAACCAACATTCCCAAATTCCAACTCGACCAGGAATGGTTTACGAAGAACCATTTGTTATCAGTGTTAAACGCGTCCACAGTTGAAGTATGCAGCAAGTAATTATCTATCAAGATCAATATCTCTGCATAATGGCATTCTTTATTTTAAAGAATTTTGAACTTTTATTATTAATTATATCTATTTCCTCTTCTTTTATGTAAGGTTAAGTTACTTCTATTTTTTAGAATTTGTAAATGAATAGTTTCTTTCTTCACTTATTAATGAAGGCCGAGGGATTTCTTCTGTAATGGATGGAATTGTAGATAGTGTTTTGATGAATTAATAAGATTTTTTGTAACAGCAGGTTGATTGTAATTAGGATTTTAATTGAGGTTTTGTAATAAAGATTTTAACTTATAAGATCAAAAGCCAAGTAATAATAATAATGATAATAATAATAATAATAATAATTGTTTGTTATTTCATTACTTTAGAAGGAAACGACAATTCAGTACTGCTATATCTAGCACAGAACGATAGTGTCATCGATATCAAAGGATCTCAGTTTGTTTGGCAAGGTAAGATCGCATAACTAGTTCTGCGCCTTACGCAAGTTTCCAATAAGAACACAGCATTATGTTATCAGAAGAGACTGGAGGAATTACAGCCGGGCGCGAACAAGCTTGTGCATTTGACAGTAAATGGCATGTAGAAATGGGTTTTCCGAAATGGCCTTAACTGTAAGGACGTTCCCAGGGTTTCTGTCCTTCTAGCGGCTGTGTAAGGACGTCCCCCCCCCCCCCCCCCCCCCTCAGAAAAAAACGGGGAGAGAGTCTCTCTCTCCGATTTTTCTGAGGGGAGGGGGGCGTCTGTACACAGGCCACTGTCCTCTTCGTCCCCGAGAAAACCCTGGGGACAAAGGAGACGCTCAAAAGGGAGGCAGGAGTGAATCGAGCGCGAGGGATGACAAGTTCTCCTCCGCCCAACCCCCCCCCATCTCTCGCGGGCGTGCCTAAATTTCCTTTTTATGAGTGCCTACCATGTAGCTCTGGCCTTTATGTATATTCGTACAAACAACGTTATTCACTTTCTTTCGCTTTAAAGGTAGTGGTCCGCCATCCGATCAACCAAAGGTGGTTCTAAGGTTGATGACTATTTCTCCTGTATTGTATGGCGTCATGTGTAGCATTACTGTCTTATGTATTATCATGGCTGTTTGTTTCCTGGCTTTTAACATCAAACTTCGGAATTACAGGTAATTATTTTTGCCTTTCACAGGGGCCCTGGCCTGTCATACGTTAGCTTAATAGGTTACCTTTAGTTTAAAACTCGCTTCATGCATTATAATGACCCGTTTTTTTGTAATAGTTTTTGATGAGTATTCAGGGCAACGCGACTAGTTGCTTCTGAAGTCTTTCTCAAAACGAGGACGTCTCGTCTCTTTCTTAAAACAAGAGCGATTAGCGTCTTAATCGACCTGCAACTAAACCGTTTTCATATTGCCACATATTTTTTACCAGATATATTCAAATGTCAAGTCCACGCCTGAATGATACCATTATTGTTGGTTGCATTACTATGTACATATCAGTGTTCTTATTTGGACTGGATGGAAACCTAGTGTCTCCAGGCAATTACTCTGTGAACTGTCAGGTGAGGGAAAATGAGAAATTCAACTACAGAGTATGGAGAGATGAACCTTTAGGGTGCCGTATTTTAACGAGGTAGACCATAGGGTTTTGTTTATTATGCTATATTATTTTATTCTTATTTATTTATAAAATTTATTTATTGATGATCATCATTTAAAGCGATTTCTTTTTTCGAGTTGATGCGCCGGTGGCCATCTGTATTTGTTTTAAGACACGGCCTTGTCCCTTGTTAGCTTCGTTGAAAAGCATTGCTTGATAGTGCAGTGCATTTCTTTGATACGTCTATTCAACTATTAAAAGTTGCGAGGTGAATCTGTTGTGTGTTGCTAACTAATACTGTTTTTCTGCTCAGGCGCGAATATGGCTCGCCTCACTTGGTTTCACCACTGCCTTTGGTGCCATGTTTGCTAAGATATGGAGAGTGTACGTTATTTTCACCAATGCAAAACTAAGAAAAAAGGTTAGTGCGGGATCTCTACATATCTTGACTAAGAGATACAGTAAGAGTCAAAACATTGCACACCGTAGTTTTTAACACGAAACCAAGCGAAGTTCCTTTGCAAAGCACTGCAACTTGTGACCGAGTGGTCAAAGCGATAGTTTTGCAACTTGGTAATCCTGAGTTCGAATTTTCGACCACTCTTGTAAATACGTTAGCCAGTAGGTTTGCTTCCGATCGACCATCTGGGATTTTCATGACCTTCTTATCCTTCTTTAAATAGTTTCTATAATTCCCTCCAATCACTTTAAAGACACTTTGAAGGTAATAATGTATACGATAAATGCTATAGGTTATTGAAGACCACCGACTGTTTATGTTTGTCGGAGTTCTTCTTTTGGTCGATGTCTTTACTCTAAGCTTGTGGACTGGGATGGACTCGCAATCGAGGACGCTTCAAAATGGCACTTTACAGGTAAATAATTCAATTTTAGTTAATTTGCAAATTCACAACCCAGCAGAGTTTGCCAAAAAAATACTTACTATATTTTGACGTTGTTTTACTAACTGGTTTATTGACTTAACTCAAGATTGATTGTGTAAGTGTTTGATTGAGAGATTTTATTTCTCATCCAATGATTGTGTCACAAATGACCGCAGGGCCCGCGCAAGGCGAGGGGCCGGGGCCAAAGCCTTCCCCCCCGCCCCCCGCCCCCCTCACACACACATTTTTAGCGAAATAATCATAAAAGAAGTTGTCATTAAGTTCTTCGGCAAATGCGTTTATTTATACAATGCTACGGTTCTGGTTTTCAGTCCTGTCCACAATAAGTAGATTAATGTTATGATTGTAGTTGAAAGATGCAAAAACAAAGACTAATAGTTTAGCCAGGGCTAAAAGCGAAGCTCTGGGTAATAATACTAATATAAGCAAAAAAATTAAATCTTGTAATGCTAAACGGGGACGGCAATGAAAATGGAATCAAGATCAATAGGTCTAATTAGTAAAAACACAAATTGCACGTGCAGCACACTTTTTTCTAATTAGCGAAAAACAAATTTGCACGTGCAGCACGCTTTTTGACTTTCTTTGCCTTTGTTTTGCACAACTACAACGCTTTTTTGTATGACTAAATCGTCAAACTTCCTAGTTACACATTATTTTTATGGAGGAATTGTCGTAAGGTTATTTTGTCTCCCGTGTTCATATTCATATTTTTCACTGCCCCTCATTTTCACCTTGCTGCCCGCTAGCATTTCTCATTAGGGCCATTTATACTAGGAAAAATAAGACGCGAACTGGACCATTTTTACGAGTATGTCTACGAGAACAGCTCGTATAAATGGTTCGCGTCTTATTTCTGTTCTTGACTCGTTTTCATGTGAATGAACCGAACTTACTTTTTAAGTGTAAGTTTATAATACGAAGATAGCAATTTGATTAGTAAATGTAAATTGTGATAGTTTAAAGTTAAAATGGTCTACTTACACCAGCATATGTCATGCATTTGTCCAGGTCTCCTATCGCCTTCTCCTTACATAACAACAAGAAATCCTCAGTTTCCTCCGCGATGGACCAAGTGTTTCTTTTGCCATTAACGGCGAGCTCATTGTAGTTGAGCGAAGAGAAAAATAAAGCAAAATAGACAAGAAAACGAAAACGCGTTGTATTTGTAAACAACTTTCCCCCGCCAGTAGCCTGCCAGTCCACCGCGGGGCAAGCGATAATTTTCCCGCCAAAAATTAACGCATGAGTACTATGCGTTCACGTCTTATGTAAGACGCGAAGGTCATTTATAGGACGTTTTTCTCGTCTTCGCTAAGACGCGTCTTATCTAAGAACAGGTGTTAAGGGCTGTTCTAAAATAAGACGCGTCTTAGCTAAGTAGCCTCTTATTTTAGACGAAATGTGCCGTTTATACGGAAAGTTCGCGTCTTATTTTTCCTCGTATAAATGGGCTTATTGTCTCACCGCCGCTTTGAATTGTGATGTTTTTCTTCCTACAAAATTCGTCTCTTTTGTTTTCAATCACTCGCTCTAGCTCTTTCTCTGTTATCCACGTGAGTGTAAACATCAAAAATAACGTCGAACAAGACACGACTTTGCCGTTGTTTTTTCTTTCTTATGGGCGGCCATGCGATTTCTTTCCGAATAAAACCTTGAGTTGCATTTCGGTTGTCATACCTGTTGATTGAATTATTTTACATTGGCATGCCTGTGGTGCGGACGGACTCTCGGTCGGTCGGTCGGTCGGTGTACGGTCACGTGATTACCAATTTTCTTGGATGGGTAATTTACCACATTTTCTTACCCATGCTGCTCCGCTGAGCGCGCTTGGCGCGCGAGAGCTCCGCTGTCAAAGACGGGCATAAGTGCTTTTCCGAGTTAGAGTATTTGTCCAGTTGTTTTTTGCGCCTGTAACCTGTCGGCTATTTCGTGGGTATTTTTGGCGTTTGTGGGAGTTTCAAAAGGCAATGAACGTATTCATGGCATAGGAAAATGAAGTCTCTTATTGATTCGTCTTTTACAGCATGGAGAGGAATTCGACACTTTACCTCAATGGGAATACTGCGATTGCAACCACAAAACCATCTGGTACGGGGTTTTATTTGCTACTAAAGGGCTTCTTCTACTCTTTGGAGTCTTCCTCGCTTGGGAAACACGACACGTGAAGATACCAGCCCTCAATGACTCACGCTATGTTGGGATGTCTGTGTACAATGTCGTCATATTAAGCGTTGTTGGTGTGCCTGCGGCGCTAATGATTGAGAAGCAACAGAACGCTACTTTTGCCCTTGCAGCTGTGTTTGTTCTTTTCTGTACGACTGTGACCCTGTGTTTGGTCTTTGTGCCCAAGGTAAACATACAGCAGTGTTAAAATAATAATGATATTGATAGTTATTGTTTTCCTCAAAGTGCCTCATTATTTGTTTACACGTTTGTTACTCTACTTTATTTATATATATTTATATTAGTTATCCACCTTTTATTTTATCAATGTCATGTAATTACTTTGTATAAACTTGATCCTGTAAATACTTTTATAATCTGAGGGATCCCAATATCTATGATCCTTATGGTTTCTTTTTGGGTTTCCTCGCCACATTGCATCTGTGTATTTTCTGTATTCTCTTCTTTCTTTTTTTTTCTGTGGTGAAATTAATAAACTAAATGGTTCATTTCGGCTTTCCAAGCAGGGAATGACCGTGACTCTTCATCGGAAACAAAAAATAAACAAAAGAAACAAACTATATAAACAACAAAAGAGGAAAGACCAGAAGGCTTACTCTAAAAATATATAGTTATATGAAAAAATATTGTATTTGAAATATTTGAATCCATGATAGTGCTATAAAATATTTTAACCTACAATTTACTTCTGAAAAGTGCAGAAAATAAATGTTCTTGAGTGTTGCTCGAAACATATCAGTATCATACTGAAATACGAATGTTTTAGGGAAGAATGTTAAACAATATAGCACAGATTATAACTACTGTAAGTTGTCTGCTAAATTTTAAAAGTTATTGTTGTGTATGCAGGGGCAAAGTTAAGCTAATCCTAACTTGTTTTATCATTTTCATTATGGAATACATAAACAGTTTATAGCAGTGACACGTGATCCCAGCGTGTTAAACACGAGCGGTGCCACCACCAACTCGGCCAGTCAGAACAGCGGAGAGACAGCTACGTCACAGGACAAAGCGATGAAGGGTGCAAAGTTCATTGCCTTGGCAGCGGAGAACTCTAACCTTAAAGCGCTGGTAAACGAGGTAACACCGACATCGTTTCTTATATGCGAAACGATCAAGCATTATGTTTACAAACACAGACAGAAGAGATTCTTACACAAGTGAAGATCTATCTTTTCTTCGCCGTTCCTACAAATAACTTCATCCATAGACTCAAAAGTTTATAGCTACCTTAACTTAGCAAACGTAAATATATTGGGTTGGACTTTATCGCTTGAAAGTACTCCGTATCTTGTTAATTGCAGTAACGCCTTTTTACTGTAGAAAAAACTTTGCGCAACTTTCAGCTGCAAAACGAAGTTAATTCTGACCATAATATTTCCCGTCAATGAAGAACCACACAAAATTATTCATAATTCCCTTTTTTTGAGTGGATTATCACTAATCCTGTTGCGATAACGTTTTAGAAAGAGGACGAAATAAAAGAGCTAGAAAAGCATTTGAGAAAAGCCGGCGTCCCGCTTGAGAGCATCCGAAGGATATCAATGTCTATGGCTAGTAAACAAGCACAGAATACCATGCAGGGATCCTCTGCTACTTTAAACATCAAAGAGCAAACGTGAGTTCCGTGACATAGCGTTAAAACCGTTGTGAACCACAGGATACCCACTTAATGGACCATATACATCTCTCACATAGCCTCTTCGTTCCAATAGAAATAAGGAATGGTGAGGCAATTGGCTCTATTCGTCTCACAAATCTAGGATCAACCTCTTTCCAGAGGCGTCTAAAAGGCTTCCAAAGTCAGTCCCTCAGTTTCATTTACGTGGCCGAAGAGGAAGCTCATACAGTCGACTCAAGACTTTGTACTGAAGCCGCAAACCGATTCTTTCGTGGATTGTCCTGTTAATGATTAACCGGTGAAAATCGGCCCATATAAAGCTACTAAACATGGAATTTTTTTTTTCGTTCAGGGACGCCGGTGGAAGCGTTCATATAGAGATTTTGGACGATGGAGGGGTATATAAAGGAGAAAAACCAAAGACTGAAGGTAATTATGGTCCCATATAAAACGTATAAACAGGATATGATTGATATCATGATTATAATAGGCAAGATCAATAACCCAATGCACAATCAGGGTTTACGATATCGCAAGAAAAAAAGGCTTGTATATAAGACGAGGTGCCTTCTTCACATCATTTAATATCAGAAAAACGTTACGGAATATCTGTCGATACCACTGGAAACAGTGCCTTGAACTTACCATGCCTTGCCATGTCTGAGAGTGATACAGGGGAGGGTCCGGGGGCGGTCCCCCACTCTTATTTTTAGACCAAACTGAGGCCCGAAGGGCCGAAAAAAATTTTTTGGAGACTGGGCCTCCCCCCCCCACCTTATCTCAGGGTCTGGATGACCGCCCCCCTTCCCCTTATCTGAGGGTCTGGATCAGCCACTGTGATACGTCTGAAGTGATCAAAGATATAGCTACGAATAATTTCGAGGGGAAAGGGGAAGAGGAAGTTCTCTCATGCCTGAATGCTCCCCACCCCTTTTCGAACGCCTCCCAAGCACGCTACTTCAATCCAGTCTACCAGGCCAAAACATGCAGAGTTTCAACATTGTTCTTTTTTTTCTCTTAGATAAACCCGTTCAAAGAGCTCCGTCTCCTACTCCTAAGCATCAATATTCAGCTTCATTATCCACAACCGATGGAGATGGACTTCTTGGAAGTGATCTGGCAAAGAACAACACTAACACAGCCCTAGCTAAAAAGTATTCCCTACCCCCAAGGATAAGAAAGGATGTCACTCAAGTTGAACCTCGGTTCAGGACACGCTCGGTCGAAAGGTGTCAAGAGGGGTACGAAAATCGTGGCATCTCCATGGAAACGGGTGAGGAGGGGGGGAATCTGCCAATGAAAAAATTATCACTAGCCAACCGAATGGATAATCCATTCTATACAGAACCAACGACCAAAGACCCTGACCGTTCCCTGCCATCCATTAAAGCACGATACGGTAGATCAAAGAAAGACTCGGTCGATAGCAAGGAAGATTTTCCAAATAATAACGCCGACGAGTTGCCTGCAGTTACGGGGGATCTGAGACGCAAGGGAAGCATTGTTCTTGTTTCCAAATCGCCAACCGGAGAAACCTGTTTCCAAGTACAAACGCCGTCCAAAATTACAAAGACTGAGAGAACTGAAGAGATCAACATTTGACTTTGTTCAGGAGCCCATAACCCGGAGCGAGCAACTTTCCTGCGCTCGTGTCACGGAGTTTTCACGGAGCAGTTTACTTTTAGAACGTTTTTGGCGCGAATTTTGAAACAGAAACCAGTCAGCAAAACTTACTGACCTAAAGATGACATTTTTTGCCTTTTAATAACGTTTAGTTTTTTTTTTTTTTTGATATCTTAAACTTCGAATGCGCTCATAAACCAGTGGAGATTCTATTTTCGCGGGAAAAAGTGCCTTAAAATATGTCTAAAAAAAAACTGGTCAGTAAAAACGCCGTGACGTAGGCCTAGTATGGGAGTTGCTCGCTGCTGGTTATGGGCTCCTGCTTTGTTATATTACCCCATTCATGCATGCAGAACCTTTCTGGTTATCATTAATCATTAGCACCAGGAAACCAAGCCAAATTGAATATTTAGGTTAGAGCTCTCTTTGGTAATTCCATGCTTGGAGAACGGTGAAGAATGTAGAAGTGATGATGACGTTGATATTTTGGCCAAAAAAGAAACGAAAAGGAGAGAAAAATTAACCCTATTGACTTTCAAAGTACGACAAACGAAATCAGTGAAGAACTTTCGATATCAGTTTTATTTTTCTCACTTATCCTGGAATCATTAAGAAACTGTAACCTTCATTGTTATGATCTCTCCGTATGAACGGCAAGTGTTTATATTTGTTAATATCTTTGATTGTTAATGGCAGGTCAACTTGTATAATCATCACTATAACCATTATTTACATCCCCAAATTTCGCCTTGGAATTTTTCACCTTGAGTGAAATGGCTACAGTACTAAAAAGGGCCAAGAACAGCCTTAAAACATTTTCAATTTGTTCAGTCTATAAAGTCATTAGAACCATGTCAATAAAAGAAAACATCTAACAAAAAAATTTAAGGCTCTGTGAACCTGCCACAAGATCTAACTCTAAAGTTTGTGTAAAGTTTGGTTAAGTTACACACAAGGCCATTTCTGATGAAAAGCTGACTGCAAGAGGTCTGGGTAACATGAACTCGTCCTTCTGTGAAGCTATACCCCCACCCCTCACCCCCGGCTCTGGAGCGAGAAAAACGGTGAAAAACGATTTCTAGGTCGATTTTACATTCCAAAATAACCCCAAATCTAAATATTAGTGCAAGAATAAGTTGATCTATATCAGAGATTTTGAAGCCGTTCAAAAAAATTTGCCGTCGTGTGTTGCACCTGCACCTATCCCGTAGTCAATGACTGTTGGGGCGCCACGGACGTTGCAACCCTCTCCCTCCACTTTATTTGGTTTTCAGCTTCTCTTACGGCGTCGTGTGTTATCAGGTTTAAAAACTTGAGGCGAAACCGAGAGTTTCTTAAACCTGACAATACACTCCCTCTCGTTTTTTAAACAGTACTTAATGTAAACATGGGCTGTACAAACACACCGAACCGTGTCTGTAAACACAGGCTACATGCTGCACTATTTTAAGCACTTTAAGAATTGTTCTCCCTAGATAACTTTAACAACAAAAATTATTCCAGTCACTATAATGTCTGCTAAAAAGCATTATGATTTTCTCTTTTCAATACATAGCACAAAAATCCCTAACTTCTTAATCATTATACAGGTTTTAACCCAGGGTTAGAGCAAATTAAATTTGAATTCCAGTACAGAGGCTTAAAGTCAAATTCAGTTTAATTCTTTTTCTCTGCTTTTTGTTGATTGGATTCTCTACAACCAGGGGCGGATCTAGGGGGAGGGTGCAGAGGGTGCGCACCCCTACTTGGATGACCTATGGTTTATTGGTGTTGAAGTAGAGCAAGAGACGAGTGCACCCCCTCCTAAAAAAATCCTGGATCCGCCCCCGACAACGATTGAGAAAATTATTCGAGAAAATGCCTTTGAAGAAAAGAAAAAGAAACCCAGGATAAAATTTAACCCCAGGTTAGTGCTCAATGGTGTTCAAACAACTGGGCCCAGTACTATATGTAAGATTCCTTCATTTGACAGGGCACTGAAGGCAGCTCAAACGTTTCCATTTGCAGTGTGATAGTGGATTTAAATCAATTTGATCAGAATGAAATTTCTCCTAGTAATATTAGTGGTTTATAGAACAGAGTGCGTGGTCATAACAATTATTAAGCACATGATCACAAAAGATGAATTCAATTGATATTTAAAGTGCTTTTCCCCACTATGTAAACAGGCAGAAATGAGAATTCAAATTTTGATATAAGGGATTTAAGAGCTACGGTGGCCCAGAAGGGTCACACATGCAAATTAAAAATGTTGCTGCAAAGTAAAAATTTTACCTGCAAATTAAAAATGTTGCTGCAAATTAAAAATAGGACATGCAAATTAAAAATTGTACGTGCAAACTAAAAATATTACAAACATGAAACATGAATGGGCCGACGGCTGTAAGGCCAGGTCGCATGGCTTGGACCAGGTCCTCAGCACTCATATATACTGCACGCGCAAGACTTTTCATTTTTAATTTGCATCGATATGTTTTCTATTTTCAATGTGCAGCACCATTTTTAGTTTGCATGTACTATAGTTAATTTGCAGGTAAGATTAATTTTTTAGTTTGCATGTACAATTTTAAATTTGCATGTACTATTTTTAATTTTCAGCAACATTTTTAATTTGCATGTGTGACCCTTCTGGGCCTCTGTAAAGAGCTAACATGTTGTCTCTGTGATGCTAGCCTGTATAACAGGTGAAAACTTTGATTTTATAAGTCACGAATGTGGTCAAAAATTGTTAAGTGTCTTTTAAAGTATATACAATTATTGTACATTAGTTGGCTTCAACTTTAGGTTTCTTAAGATGAAACTTATTTTAATGATCATTTCGTGAAGGAAAACTGCTGAGATGTTGTACGCATCAAATCAAACATTGTGTTAACTTTGCATCTACATAAGTCAACTCTGTCCTAACAAACAACTCTACTATACTATGGACACCTCTTAGTTTGACACATGGTCCCCAGAGGTTTTTGTGCCATTTCATTGGACTTTCTGAGGTGGACACGTATCTTAGATGGACACTTAAGCAGGGCTGTCACGAAGATTTCAAGTTGCCCAGATTTGCAATAATAATTAGTAAGCAAGAAATTGAACAACTTTAATATAAAAGGAAGTTTATCTGCTCATTTTATTTTTCTTTTCATTCCTAAGAAATTAGCTCATGTTCCCCTACACCTTGCCACAATAATTAGAGACAGTCCTGCATCCTTAGGGCCAGTCCCAAAGGTATTCATCTTTGGGAGAAATGACTATACTGAACCGAAGTGATGCAATGTCTAAACCATGCCTCAACATAACTGTAACCTGTACAGTAAGTGATCAAGCAAATAACGGGAAAAAAAAATTCTGATAAGCTGCGTGGCACTTTGTAAAGTAAGTAAGGGAATGTTCAACAAAAAAATAATGAACAAAATTGCCACCTTGTGCTTTGAGTTCCTCTCCAAACGTTTCAGGCCTGGCCCTTCATCAGTGGAGTTACACTATGCAGACTTATCAAAGACAATGAGATGGACATGAAGATGGTGTGGCAATTTAAAAATCCACCTTGACAAATGACAGAGCAGCAAAATGTGCAGCCATTTATGCATGCTTTCCCATCAAATAACATTCTCATTCTGTAGAGTAATTATTACTCTATTGTCTCTACCAGAATTAAGTAACTCCTTCATAATTATGTTTTCACATCTTCATAATCTGGGGATGAAGTCAAAGCTATATTAAATTACCATAATCACAAATTACCTATTAAAATTTACTCTGAAAAATTAAAATGTACTTCTCTCGAATATATTACTCAAAATATAGCTAATTACTCATTACAAGGCTAGAGGCAAATTCTATTCAGATAAAGCTATCTTATATAAGCAAGATTGAAAAAGCTGGACACCTCTGATTTCTATTGCTGCTTTCAGCCAATACAGTGCCAGATCCAGACCTTGTTATGAGCTGTAATAATAATCCTTATTAATCCCTGAAATTTCTCTATGATCGTCAGCACTCTTTTCCAGAAGGCAGGGCTCGAAGTTAACTATTTAGTGCACTTGCAAAGTTTTGCTAGTAAGATTTTTTTCCACTAGCAAACTGGTGAGACCACTAGCAAATTTTCTCTCTTTGTTTAGGAGAGATGGATGATTCTAACTCGCAAGCTTTTTCTAGAGGACATTTTTCTCACTCGCAGATTATCAAAATCAATCGCATTTTGCGAGTTTGCGAGCGTTAATTTCGAGCCTTGGAAAGCTGAAAGCTGTACTAAATACAGCAAACTTTGATGTAAGGAACCTCTTAATAACAAAGGAGGAAGCATGGCCATGCGGCTAGAGCTCTAGAATTGTAATCTGGAGGCCCCGAATTTAGGCCCCACTCAAACCGCTAGCAGGGTTTGTTCTTGGTAGTTCTGAGTTCTACTCCTTGGTCACGTTTATAAATAAATAGCCAACTGGTTTGCCTTCGGCCAAGTGGGATTTCTCATCCTTGATATTTTTTTGTAAAATGTTTCTTTGTACATGTATCTGTACTTGTCAGGGCTTCTGATAGGTCGCGAAAGGAAAAGTCCAATTTCATGGGATTTTTAGGGACAAATTCGCAGAAAAATTGGCCGGTTTAACGGGAATTTCGCAGGAGTTTTCAGGGCAAACTTCACCAAAAAGCAATCAGTGAAAAACGGCCAATTTTGTGGTTATTTTCAAGGCAAATCTCACTAGAAATCGATCGGATATTTGTGCTGATCAGACCAGCGTTTTTAACATTTTTCTAACGGAAGTCATCATTTGCTCTTTCAACAACAATACGCTCCAGAAATGAACCAATGACAAAGCCTTTAACATCAGGGCTAGTGCCCAGTTTTTCACAACATAATCTGCACCTGGGAGTTTCGGGACATTGTTTTACGGGTTTCAGCGTCGCAGTTCCACAATAAATTTGCAAGTTTATGGCTTAATAGCTCCGATAGCTGAAATAAGTTTCAAATATGTTGTACAGACATGTATTTGATAAGACTTCTACTAAATTTCGCGGCTCTGTGACTGTGCGAAATATCAGAAGCCCTGACTTGTGGCTAAAATAAAAACTACTGTGTAACAAGTAATCGTGTTACCCCTATTAGGTCAATTTTTTAAATGACGCCCTTGGTATAGCAATAATATTCTTTGCCTAGTAATAGAAAACTATGTTTACAAGAACCATGATGTATCTAAACCACCTGATTGCAAACATATTAAATAATTTTGTCAGTCCCTTGGCTCTTAGTTTAATCCAGGCTCCACTATACTTATATAAGCTCAGTCTCTTCTTGAACCTACATGAAAGGGTCACATTTTTAGCAATAAAAGGAGGTTGAGTATATAATATTATAGATTCTTGTCTTACGAATACCCAGTGCACATCATAAGTGACCATTTAGTTAAGTAGTACATGGAGCATGTTCTTATTCAAGACTGTCAATAACTGACAAAAATAGTGTACTGTAGTTGTTAAATAAATTAATTAATTAATAACACGTTTACTACATTTGTATGTTTAGTCTGCATTGCCGTTCTCAAATAGGTATGGATTTCCTACACTGTTATTAATTTTCATTAGATTTGTATTATTACCCTAGAAGGACCTTTCTCAGTCTTTCACGTGGTACAGGACTAACGCCCTCGTCTTCACTACTGCTGGAGGAGCAATCTTCCCATTTTTCACCAGCATGAGGTGAACAAAGAAACTGTTCAAGAGGCAATCGATACTTGCCGCAAAAATCCACAAATTTGATATGCCTCACACGAGCATCAAAATATACACCCTTGCAGCATGGGTTCACACAGCGTCGAGCACTGTTAAGATACTTCAGTAAGTGCACTGGCAGATCTTGTGAAGTATACTTCACTCCACTGTTCTTGATACATCGGCCACTTAGTTCTAATAATGATGGAGGGTTAAAAGTCATGTCTCTGACAAAACGCACAACAAGAGGATTTTCCCGTAAGCTTAATTCTTCCAGGTTCCGGAGCTTTATGAGTGCAACGGGCAGGATGGTGAGTCTGTTGTTGTGAAGACTCAAGGACTGTAAATGTGTCAGTTTGACAAGTGTCGAGGGTAAAGATTCGATATTGTTGTCGCAAAGATTGAGGGCACGCAGTCTGCGCAGGTTGCCAAGCTCGACTGGAACAGATGTCAACTGGTTTCCACCAAGGTAGAGAATTTCTAACCTGGAGATGTATGTAACAATGCATATCAATAATCGGTGCTTGTGGTGTGACAATTCCCTTCCACACCATAAAATTTCATTACTATTAAATTTCACAATAACAGTTCTACTAAAAGCCACTTCTACACAAAAGCCTTGAAAAATGTTATTATATTGTTATCTTTATCATCCTTCCTGTGTTGATGTCTGTTAAGTTATGATGTATGCTGATGACACAGTTATCTTTTTCTCAGCCCCACTAATATTGAAAATTGAGTTACAGTTAAATTTGGAACTGATTAATCTGTCTGAGTGGCTGATACAAATAAACTGATTCTAAATTTAAAGAAGACTGAGTTCATGGTTTTTGGCACCCACCAGAGACTATGTCGCCAAGACATCGATGGGGGTCATATAATGTTGGGAGGAGAATCTGTGAAACACCGTGATGCCTTTAAGTACCTAGGCGTAGTTTTGGACAACAGTCTTTCCTTTAATTTGCATACTGACTATGTGAAGAAGAAAGTTTCTAAAACACTGGGGATGTTCTCAAGAATTAGATCATCATTAACAACTGAAGCATCAAACCGATTGTATAAATTGATGATACTACCAAATTTGGAATACTGTTGTGCTGTTTTTCAAGGCTGTGGTAAAGGAAATGAAGAAGAATTGGAACGCCTGCAGAGTCGCGCTGCTAGGATAGTGTTAAAAACAGTGCATTTGTCCACTCAAGATATGGCTTCCAGTCTTGGTTGGGACCCTCTTAAGACGAGAAGAGAGAAACATATCGTTAAACTTGTCAAGAATTGTCTTGATGGACAAGCTCCAAGGTATTTCTCAGATTATTTTCAACGGCGAACTTATGATATTCATGACTATGACACTAGGCCTAAGGATAGGTTATCTATTGATAAAGTCAATCTCGAGTTGACTAAGAGGGCCTTTTTTATGAGGGGGCTAACCTTTTTAATGATTGTATGTTATTTTGTTCATAAGGAGGCTACCTTTTCTTACTGATTATAATTATGTAATGTATCCCAGTTTCGTATATAATTAAGTTTTTATCTATTTATTCATTTATTTTTATACAGGACCCATATTGATAGCAGTTTTTATAACTCAGAGGGTCATCCTGTTTAAACATGTTATTATTATTATCATTATTATTATTATTATTATCCCCGTTACGGGCTAGATATTTTCCTGTTTGAATTCGAACATCAAGTCTCTATGTACCCTACCAAACTAATAGTCCATTTTCAGGAAATCTTACTAATTTTCCAATGCAGAATATCCTGGCAATATGAAAGGGAAAGTGTCATTCTTGACAATTTATTTAATTTACGCCAATGAGTCTAACTAGATGCCAAAGTTAGCAGTCGACCAAAGTTATTTACATATGCAATCAGACGTGAAAATAATGATATAACATCTGACCAGCGCGCGAGCCTTATCAAATTCATTTAACTTCAACTGCACGTATAAAACTATAATCACCTCAGACAAAAATTAAAGAATGACGTTAGTTCTAAAGTTCTGTAAGCGGTTTTCTGACCGATAATCGCTTTACACTAACTGGCCACTCGTAAGCTTATATAAAAGCTTAATGATGACCACAACAGTAATGTTTTAGTAGTTCACTGAAACAAAACCTACCTTTGAAGATTTTGAATATCCGGCGGAATTACATCGATCCTATTGCCTCCGAAGTACAGCGTTCTCAGGGAAACCAGCTCAAAAAGTTGAGGCATGAATGACTCAAACCTGTTGCCACTTAAATTGAGATTTTCCAAAGCTAAAAGTTGAGCAAATTCTTTAGGCAATTCATCCAAATTGTTATTCCGTGCCATAAAGGTCTTGAGCTGGCGAAGTTCTCCAACTCGAGGCGTGATGTAGGCCAAGCCATTTCCCGATATATCGATTTCTTTGAGATTAACAAAGTTCCCTATAGAATCAGGAAGGACAGAAATAATGTTTCCAGCCAGATTTAAACGCGTGATTTTCAAGACATCGGGCACGTTGTTCAAGACGTGAATATCATTTGGAAGAGAATCGAGAAAGCGATGCCCTAGGTTGAGATCAAGTTCTTCTGAATCATCACGTGCAGCTTCTACAACGTTCCTTTCGCCTCCAGCGTCCATGATCAATTGTTCAGACTTAGTACGTTTATGCCCTTTGACTACAACCGACCTAAATGTATTGTGATTCAGCAAAAGTAACGAACAAGCGGCTATTTTTTCCTGAGTCACGTCGAGAGCAAAGTCCAAGTCCTGTTTCACGTGTACAGTAAATGAAAATGTCAACAAAGGATTTGATTGGTTGAAGTGTTTCCAGTTTTCGGCGGCTTAGAATCCCATGGGGATTTTGCTTTCGGAGCGGTTTCAGAGAGGGCGGCGCTTCTCACGCTACGTCGATCTACGTCGTACCCAAGGTGGGGGGGGGGGGGGCACATATGTACATATGACCGCAGGTTAGCGTGTATCGTTTTAATTCCAAATGAAAGAACGAAATAGAAATATGCGAAAATGTATTTGAAGAATTTTTTTGTTTACGCTCTAATCCAAGTAATGATGACATAATTTCCGCCTAAAGGCCAGGTCTGAAAACGGGCATGGATTTTTGAGGTCTAGTCTGAAAACGGGTGTGGAAGATGACATTTTTTCGTCGTAGATAGGGTTAGGATTTGAAGAACCGGGCGGCACACTCCCACCAAGAATTCCCAGGAGTATCCCCCGGGGGTTCGTAGTGGATCGTAAGTACCCTACGAACAGACCAGAGGTAAGCCGCCACCCCGTCGCTGAGGACGTTTCGCGACAGGGGCGTTCCTTGCGACGGGGAGCGAAAGGTAGCTGCACTCGCATGTTATTGGCACTCTTCGTTGCCGATGAAGGGTAGGTGCTTTAAATCGAGCACTTGCTGCCCTAAACTTTCCTGAAGTGCGGATCATACCCTCTCCCTGGATTCTAAATTACTTCTCGCTCTTCTCGAAAAACAAAAAAAAAGCCTGCATGATCGCAGATTGAGTTTAGCAAGTCTCTGTCGGCTTTCATGTCGTTCATAGCTCGGCTTGTAACGTACCCTGCGTAGCAGGCGCTTGGAAGTAGTGGGCACAAGAAAAAACGGGCGCGCGAAAAGGAGCGCGCGCCAGTTCTCTCTTTCAGCCACTACTTCCAAGCGCCTGCTACGTAGGCTACTTGTAACGAGGTTACATTGTTATTACAATTATAACTATTATAATTATTATTATTATCATTGCATTTCAGAACAACTCATTTCATTCCACAGCCTTTAACCATGAAAGTCAAAAAGAAACCCACACAAATGATAGAACAACACGCCCTCTACTTACACTGTGAGAGCTAAGCCTTCCGAATCGGGCAGATCTTGATTATCGAAATTTTTTTAATCGTTCATTTTAGAAAATCGACGGGGAAAGATCGAGAAACTTCAATAGACAACTGTTACGTTTAGAAATAAACTCACTGTGGAAAGAAACTAAATTGTGGTTGTTGAGCCCACTCTGTCCTGTGGCTAGGTTCGCCATTATCCATAAGGACATAGCTGACAGGGATCATGCCTTGCTGTCTATAAATTATTTCACTGTCTGAATATAAAAAAAGGCTCCAATTATCATGATAATAAAAAGATAGACAAAACAGTGTACTCCAGAATACACCGACATCTGAACTTAACGATAGAATTCTCTGTTGTTATCCCTCGTATTTGTATAAAGCTTTCAATTTTTATAGCCTATAGTGTCGTTAACAATATATTATAAAGATCGTGAAAAGGCAGAATTTGCATTTTCTTCAATTTCACAAATTCAGACAGCTGTTTAGACAGGTAAATAAATCGGGCGTAAAATTTTTTCCCTCTGTTTTTACTCATACAGCCTGGGCTAGCCTGACGGTTGTCGACCTCAGATGGCAATTTTTATTTTTAAACAAATTACCAAATTCTATACTTCAACAAAAAATACCGACATTGTATGGACATTGCAAAACTCGGCAAACCGACAAATATGTATAAAGCTGGTAACCTGCTACTGCTCATATCTTCACACTGCACACTTGTGGTTTATATACAAACTGTACCACTCTCACGCGAAATAACTGCTCGTGATTTCAGAGGGAATCGAAGTTTAATCTTCCGCTATATTTGAGAGACCGCTGTCTTGGATGGCTAAAATTTTTTGCAATGACTTCCGGCTATTGTGTCCACAATGAACTAGCATTTTTTCTAGTTAGTTAAACGGCGATTGTTTAGAATAAAGTACAAAAACCGTACGTGGTAGCAATAAACCTACATTGATCAAGATCACGGTTGATATTTTCAAAGCAATAATAGGGGTAAGTGTAATTCTCCGCGACTATGGTAGTTGCAGTATCATTATTATTATCTTAATTAAGTTATGTTACGAATAATATTTTTTCACGCTATTTAATTACTCCTTGGAAGTAAACAGCGTGTATTTCACTGTAGAGGTTGCCAGAGATATCCAAGAAAAGCATTCCAAAATATACCCAGAATGAAAGTTTAGACGCCTTATTAATGTGGATTTTGATATACTCAGCTTTGGAAACCGAGTTATATCACAGACTTGATTAGTGATCCGCCGAAGAAGTAATTGCCCGCATAGCTAGATAACAAACAAAAGTCATAGATCATTAAAAGATTCATATTTATATTTTCATTTTAATTATCATTCTTACTCTGCCATTTTGTACCTGCACTAATGATTTTTAAGCGCGTTTTTGAGAATTTTTGAATATTTTTAAAGTTTAGTTAGGGGACCTTTTATAGGGATAACCTCGCGGTCCACCTTTTCAAATATGTATCGTGTATCATGTTTATGTGCATATATGTATTTGAATAAAGTATTATTATTATTATTATCATTATTATTATTATTATTATTATTAAAATTTTAGCCAATCATATATTATATAACTCGCCTGTATTCAAATGCCTGTCCTAAAAGTCAACACAAATTTCACAATCATAGGCTTTCCTGCCTTTGTGCGATCTCTATTTTTTATTTCTTTTTTTTTTTTAATTACTTATTATTACTATTGCTATTATAATTATTTTTAGGAATGGTTTCATTATCATTTATCTACGTTGTGGTATTGGTCTCTGCAATGTCATCATACACTTACGGTTACAACTCGACGGCATGGTATCGCTTTTGGTGGTGGACTCCAGGACAGCGGTGGCCTACTAGTGAAACCGATGTTTTGAAGAGCACCTACGGGAAATGTAAGCCAGACGATCTGTACTGCTTCCAAAGGCTTCCGCCTTGGGCCGAGGAAGATTCAACCGAGCTCCTTGCGATCGACTCAGACGGGACCGTGTACCAATGGAAATTTGATTCGAAGAACCCAACTGCACACGCCGCATGGAAAGCTCTCCATGACCACAAGGAATCCCCGGCAGGTCAAATTGTGAACAAAAAAGCCTGGAATCCGCTAATTGTGGAAGGAAGCAAGCCTAAAGCAACTCAAGACTCCTTCATGTATCGAAACCAGAACGGCGTTAAATCCTTACTTCTGGATGATGATAATTGCGACTGTCTATCAACTTTAAGCCTGGGCCACGGAATGTGCGGTAGTGGTCATAGTAAGAGATATAGCAGGGCTAAGGTGTTTGGTGTCGATAAGCTGTACGACCCAGGCTGCCGAGGACCGTCTCCAACATACGGTGTTTCATTATACTTTCAAACCGCGAAGAAGATAGCTCTTGACGATTATGGTGGGGGATGGAAAGCCTTTTGGTGGTGGGGAAAAGACATAGCATGGCCAAAACATATCACAGACGTCCTTGGAAATCCCTTCGGGTCCTGCCAGGAGACTGATATTTACTGCTTCCAACGCATTCCCAAATGGGCAAAAGAAAGTGAAACAGAGTTGCTCGCTGTGGATTCGAGAGGGACGGTTTACAGGTGGGCTTTCAATCCCAAAAACCCAACAGCACATGCCGCCTGGCTTGCATTTCACGATCACCACGAAACCCAACATAGAGTAATATTAGACTCAAGTCCTTGGAATCCAGTTGTCCTTAAGGGAAAGTTATCATCCATAACTCAAGACTCCTTCATGTACCGTAAACAGAATGGAGTTAAGTCCCTTCTACTTGACGATAACAACTGTGACTGTGATTCATCACTCAATCTTGGTCATGGGATGTGCAGTGCTGGCCATTCGACAAGCTACAGCAAAGCAAACACGTTTGGAGTTGATGCCCTCTACGACAGTGGATGTCACGGTCCTGTAACAACCATTGGGCTCACTCTATATTTTCGGATTAGAAGCACAGACCTGAAAGCGTTTGGTGGGAAATGGAGAGCTTTCTGGTGGTGGAATAGAGGCGTAGCCTGGTCCACTTGTGAATCCAAACTGGCAAATGACGTTCTCAAATACCCGTATGGAACATGTTCCGTTAGTGATCCGTTTTGCTTTCAGCGGCTTCCATCCTGGCTGGAAGAGGACTCCACACGCATACTAGCAACAGATTCGCATAACAACGTCTACAGGTGGACGTTCAATGCTTCTAACCCGACAGCTCATGCAGCATGGAACGCATTTCACGACCATATAGAGACTTTATCCGGTGTTGCGTTGAACAAAGATCCCTGGAATCCTACAGTGTTGAAAGGAAAATCTCCTACTGTTGACCAGGATTCGTTTACTTATTCTAGAACGAATGGTGTAAAGTCCGTCCTACTGGATGATGACAACTGCGACTGCCTCTCAACAATCCAGCTCGGAGCTACCGCCTGCAGTAACAAGTTTAATTCAAACGCTCGTGGAGTCGATTCTCTGTATGATCCTGCTTGCAATCTACCAAGCCCCCAAAATGGGCTAACTCTCTACTTCCAAGTTCCTGACCCACCTATGACCTTTAAAGGATATGGATTCAAGTGGACAGCTTTCTGGTGGTGGCCAAAGGACGGACAGTGGCCAATTAGAGTAAAAGATATTTTGGAAAAACCATTCGGAAAATGTAAGGAAACCGATGTTTACTGCTTTGGAAGGCTTCCATCAGATACTAAAGAAGACAGAACCAAGTTGCTAGCTATTGACACTGAAGGAAACATCTATCTGTGGAATTTCTTCTCTGGAAATCCAACAGCACATGCAGCCTGGAAAGCCTTCCACGATCACGCCGAAACCCCAGTCGGAAAAATAAGGGATAACAGAGTGTGGAATCCTATAGTAATAAAGGGAACTGCACCAAAAGCCAACCAAGATTCCTTTATGTACCGATCCCAAGCTGGTGTCAAGTCCATTCTCCTGGATGACGACAACTGCGATTGTCTTTCAACCATCAGCCTTGGACACGGCATGTGTAGGTCTGGGTTCGCCACGGGCTATGCCGCCCCCAAACAACGATTTGGTGTTGACGCCCTCTACGATCCGGAGGCCACCAAATGCAACACACCACGACCAAGTATTGGCTTGACTTTGTACTTCTCCATCGCGGAGGAAGTAGCCCTGCACATGACTTCATGCAAGCACGGTGGAAATTGGCTGGCGTTCTGGTGGTGGACTGCTGGTGCAACCTGGCCTGCTGACGAAAGAGACGTGTTAGCCTACCCATACGGCTACTGCAGCCCATATAGCGTGTACTGCTTTGGACGCATCCCATCCTGGGCGCGAGAGGCTAATACTGAGATGCTTGCAATTGACTCTGTAGGAAATGAGTACATGTGGAAGTTTGACCCCCATAATACCGTAGCACACGCCGCTTGGTTGGCGTTTCATGATCACTTAACCACTGCAGCTGGGAAAGTGGTAAACAAAAAGGACGGGTGGGATCCGGTGGTGCTAAAGGGAAAAAAACCGAAAGCAAAGCAAGACTCGTTCATGTATCGGAAACAGAATAACGTCAAGTCCATTTTACTCGATGATGACAACTGCGATTGCCTTACAACGCTGAATATAGGTCATGGGATGTGTGGCTCTGGGCACAGTACGAGTTACGGGCCTGCAAACCGATTTGGAGTAGACGCACTTTTTGATCCACGCTGCTACGCTCCTCGTCCTGAAATTGGTTTAACGCTATACTTCCGCGTAAAATAAGTATGTAGCGCTTGGCAGGAGCTTGCTATGGGCTCCTGGCCCTTGGCAATTGCAAAACTACGCAAGTCAAGTAGCAGTGGGATCTGCATAAGTTTATAAGGCTTTCTGCATGATGTATCTTAAAAAGGGATTTAAAGGGGAATAAAACTTTTGAGATGACCCTACTGGTTTGAATTCTCAAGATTTACTTACTGTTATTTGACAAATAGTTAGTGACGAAAAGTCCGGGAAAAAATATAAAAAATAAAAATGGGCACAAAACAACGACAAAAGAGAGGCTTTCGATCCTAATGCCCGCAAAAGAAATAGCAAGGCAACATGCAAGCTGGCGACGTTATCGCGAGGTATTTTAGTAAGTTTGTCGGTACAGAGTCCTCTTTGGATCGCTTTGGATAGGTTTGCGGCATTATCATCCCCAATGAAAATCCAACGAATTCCTGCAGATTTCGTGTCTTTGCCATAGTTTCTACTTGAGCTATAGCAGTAACGTCACACCTTATTAACCTGCTACATTTGAATTGATGGCGGATACCCTTAAAAGCGAAAGATCTAAGTTTTACAGAGCTACTAGTATTCTATTAGCGCATCTGGAAGAGTGAATGTCGTTTATCTTCTTCCAGTACCATATTTTTTAACGTTTATTATCACAGTTTTATTCATTTAATAAGACGAGACTCTTTGAAAAAGAGAACAAAGTATTACTTCCTGTAATAGCAGTGCGTCCCAAAAAAGAGGAAAAGTGTCAGACTTCATTTCATATTTGTGTTCTTCCAGTGAAGTTGTTTCACACCCTAACGATGTCGAAAGTTGCACTGTCTCAAGCGCCCTTTAAACTGTTTTCTTTTGCGTAGTACGTAATGTTCCACTCTTCCTCGATGGTCAACTAAATTGCTTGTTTTGTAGTTGTTTAGATCAGAGGAATCGCCGTTGTCTAAAACAAATTTTTAATTCATTTGTGAGCCAGTGTCGATCAGTAAGAAATGTGGAATCGGGCAAACAGGAGGAAATATAAAAGTATACATCGTACAACTGGAATCGTGATATGTATTGTAATATATGCGAGGCAGTATTAGCCAGAAGGATAAAAATGTAGAAAAACGTAGAAAAAGAGCAGTTGTATGCTTAACAAAGTCTGCTCAGCCGGAGCCCATCATGGTCTGCTTTAAGTTTTCAATATTCACATTGGTATATGGCTTCACATATTCATACTGGTATAGGTCTGATAGATGGCCAACTCACCCTTGGGCCCTTGCGAATATTCATAACAAATGTGTGAATCGAGTTAAGCACTTTTTGGCCAACACACACACACTGTTATTGGCGTACACGCTGTTCAAAGTAGCCTGCATAATTTCCACCTTCTTCTTCAGACCAGTTTTAGATTCCTCCAGCGAGAAGAATGAGTGTGGCGGACGAACGTAGCTGCATTTCTCGAAAGAAAGCAGTTGCCAGTCTGTCGGATGGAAGCCAGTCTGCAGCTAGGCAGTAATAACAAAACCTTTTTCTATTCATTTACCGGGAAAATGTCACTTGGGAAATCTCATGGGCAGATGCTCCCAGTAGACACCCCCTTAAAGAGTTCTTTGGAATCTAGATATTCTTCTTTCTATTATCAAGCCTACTTGCTTTTGTCCCAGTTTACTTGAATATCGTCTGCTTGTAAAACTGAAGTTCACTGATGCTTTCCTTAATGTCCTCTAGTGCCCTGAAAAATGGTAAGCATCATCTGTCCGTAAAAAAAATGCGCATCCCATCAATTGATTTGAAGTAAGGCCCTTTGCTTCAACCACAAGTTGCCCAAGCACGAAATATGAGCGTCTGCACTTTTGCGTAATCCTTATCCATAATTCTTACAGAGATAACAAACCGGTTCCAATAAAACCCATAAATTAGACTTTTCCAGGCGTTCAGATAGTAGGGTGTGGCGCGAAGTCAGTGGGCGGGTAAAAAATAAGGAGGAAGAGAGCGAGTTTCCGTCCTTCTGATTGGTTAAAATTTTGCTTCAACCAATCACGGCTATTCAGATCTGGACAGTGACACGTCATCAGAATGCACGGCAATTACTGTGCTCGTTTCTCAGACGTCGGGCGCTTTCCGTTCAACCAAAACGTCCGCTTTAAATTTTCAGCAACTTCCAGATGTGAGTGGCAAAGCATTCTCCAAAATTTTCACAAAAGAGGACAACCTCGCAAGGTATACTAAAATTTTCAACGGGAGTTTGCTTTCCACTCAACTTTGCTTCCGGGATTTCTGGAATTTTCGGTTGAACGGTTCGCATTTCGGAAATTCAACAGTTTCCGGAATTTCCGAAAACTTTTCGGAGACATTTCTGTACCATTTGCCGCTGTTTCTAAATTTTCGAAAGTTTTGGATGAATGGAAAGCGCCCATCATTTCGCGGGGAAACCACTGATGCCGTCGAGAAAAGTCGGCTGTTTCTCAGAGTAGTCATCCCCAGTTGTTTATCCACAATGACATTGAACAGCGATACTGAGTGTATTTTGCCATGAAATCGTAATAATGTACACTAATGCATACATAATTTGCATACCTGTGTTGGCCTTTCTTTGATGGTAACTCTTCATAGACCTCGGGATACCATCTCCTAAAGTAATGCGAAGGAGAAATCTTTGTCAACTTTTCTTACCCCACGTTGCTGGCCGTTTTGTTTGGCGAGCGTGGGAAAGAGCGGGGAAGCTTTTTCCGACCAAAAAATCTTCTCGCTGTTTCGTTGCTCATTTGCGCTTTCGACCCCGGGGGGAGGGGGGAACTCCCATTATGAAAGGGGCGGGGATGCTCGTCGGAAATTTTGAATTAAACGCCTAAAGGAGACCAATCTGGGTGTGGCCCAACCTTTTTTTGACCCCTAAAAGCGATCATTTAAAGCTTTGATTACATGAATCGAGTGAATAGAACGAATTGAATTTTTTTCAACATGTGAATCTGCACTCTTGATTAGATTAACAATGTGTTCTCTGTTGTGACTGCTTTATTTTCGGTTTCCTTTTATTTTCTTTTTCACACCCCATGAGCAACTTCTCTAACAAAAGCCATTGTCGAGTCATTTGCTTTGGTAATTTTGCCCTTGGCCAAGTGTTACCTTAGCCTGTTCACAGGCATTTACTTTTTTTTCCAGACGGGTTTGGAGAGCGCGGGACGCAAGAAAAAGAAAACCCACAACCACCCCCTCCACCCCTGTGCAAGCAGTCAATAAATCGCCCACGATTTTCATTTCCGTACGCACGCTCTACCGTCAAAATAAGGGAGCTTAAGCAGAGGCACTTATGACTGACCCACGTCAAGCGGAAGTGAGGCCTTTTCTCTTATGATAAGCTTTGACGTTACCTGATTTGTATTGGTTAGAGTCTTTATTCTTATAGGGACGACTTTGCGAAAAATCTGGCCAAAACCATCCCCCAAGAATTTTTTTAAAAGGTCCACTTTCGGTTGACGTGCGTTGCTCAGAAACGTATTTGCGGACCATCAGAAAAGTTATGGTGGGAGGTAGGTAAAGAACAAGAAAGTCAAAAAAACATATTCGTTCAAGGGAAAATCTTATAAAAAAATTTCATGCACGCTGAGTAGCCCTAAAAAATATTCCTGCACTGGCCTAAAAAAAATTTATACGAGGAAAATATTATCAGAAAAAAATTTGGTCGAAAATCCTCCAACCACCCCCCTAATAACTTTTTTAATGGTCCGTCCCTAAACTAGAAAGTCTGCTAACTAAAGCCTGTCGCTTTTCAAACTTTTTAGCACAGCCCCTAGTTAAGGAATAATGTGACACATTTTCTGTAGACAATTCCAAGAGAAACTTGCCATGCTCTATGATCATTTAACTTGGTAAAATTAAGATTGCAAGAGTGTTCCTGAAATTCGACCTGATTTCAGGTCAAATTGTTAACAAAACTTGCTAGGCCCCTCACTTACCTGCACAGTTCTTTAATTGAGCTAACATCCACAATTCTGTAATGAAGGTGATTCATAAATCGAGGCATGTACTTATCCAAGAACTTTTTATCAGCATGCACACTGTTTCCAGCCAGGGGACACTCTTTAGCAGAGGTGTGCGTCTTTATAAAATCCAGAAAAGTGTCTTCTGCTTTTGATAGGTTGATTTTGGAAGCTTTAACTGCAGCTGTTAAACCAGACTTGGTGAGCAAAAAATAAATAACATATTTAGATCTATGAAAATGTTTTGCCTGGGAGGTCTCTGACTTTGCATAACTGTTATCCTTGGGAAGCCTGTTGCCTTGTAGGGTGTAAGAGAGGGGTGGGCAGGGGAAGTGAGGGCACGACCTGAATTGTCCCCTTCTTCCATCACACTCAAAGGGTGTTGACATAGGGGTCTGGGGTATATCATCTTATAAAACTTTTCCAAAATATATCAGAAATACTAAAAGTCAAAGTTGAGGAAGTATGTTCCATCAGTCTAAATTCTGGGCTCTCCAGCTTTGTCGCGTTGGTGATCATGAAACCCTTTTTCCTGCAAAATTTGCAGGGATGCCACATACAATCTCACTTCAACTTGCATTAGAAAAGCATTCCTCATCAGTTTTATAGTATGAATCAAATTTGTATTACAGCATGTCTAGCATCAATAAGAAGTGTGTTGTAGTGAAATTTGCCTGCTACTTAAAAGCACTTTTACATGAGGGTGGTAGTTTAAGACTGGGAAAAATCTTGTCTGTGCATTCCTTGTAGTTTTAAATAAAGGGAGCACAGTTTCTAAGTTTAAACAACCATTTTTTTTTTGCTGACAAAGGATTTTCAGGCAACAATCCTACAATGAATCCATGATCTAAGCTTCAATCTATTTTGATTTTAAATTTAGTTACTTAAACATGTACAGAAAGGTTATCTTACTGATTTTTGGGTGTATTAATACCTCTCCATGTTGTTTAGTGCACCAGTCATCCATGGCCTCCAGTGCAGAATCAGGCTGATGAATCACCAGATCAGGACCCTTAAAATACAAACCGCATGATTAAGGAAATATATATGGAGTACCCACCAAAATGAGGTGGTGCCTTTAAAGATGATGTTACACGGGACAATTTGATTTTTAGTGCAACATAGCATTGCAATGTTTGAGCAATGTGGTAACCATTTGAAACCATGTTGAAACAATGTTGCAACCCTGTGCTGCGCTGCGCTGCCATGACTTCAGAGAACAAAACAATCCACACCCCTCCCCTCCTTCCTCCATTCAAAGTTGGGGGTGTTTGTTGTTTTTTTACAGGTACACAGTAGCAGCTCAATCAGTGGAAAAATGTTGTATGCATATAGAGGGGCAGTGGGGGAAGGAAAGCTTTTTTTTGCATTTTTTTAAGTTGGCAAAACATTAGAGGTCAGACCCTTTAGGGCAAAGTGTCTCAACTAATTTTGTCTGTGATTGTAGTCACACACAGCATTTAAATCAGCTTATCGAAGAATCAACTTCAACTATCTGTCAGAATAAAACAAGCCTATTCTTCTGATGACAAACAATATTTAACACGTAAATTTAATAATAATACGTGTATCTGCTTACCTCTGCCACAATGTTCAAGTTTTCATCTGTTATAAGGCATGCCATCTCAATAATGTGACATGTTTCAATATCAAGGCCTGTAGATTTAGAGGATCAACATAAAAAAACAATTATCACAGAAATTGTCGCGCAAAACCAAACATCTTTAGAAATAATACTCTGAATGAGCTGCAGTGAAAGTGGAGAACATTAGAAGCTTATTGTCTGATTGCCCTTTGAAAAATGCATCTTTGAGAAATCACTTTCATTCAAGAGAGTTGTGCATTTTTCAAACAAGAAGGATCATTTTATCATAATGAATGACTTGTGCACAATCATATCTTTTTATGTGATACAGACTACCTGTAATGTATCAGTCATGTCAAACTTAAAAATTTAAGACATGCTGAAGAGGATTATACTTTCATCTGGTATTATGAAGGGGAAAGTTTGGACGTTCACTTCAAAACTGTACAGTCCAGTCATTCAAAATGGTAATTTTTGTCATGAATGTTCCTTTCCATTTCGCTGCCATTGCAAATACCGTAAATCCTGTCGTAAGCCCCCCATATTTATTTCAAACACAATTGACATGGGGGCTAAATAGAGACAGGAGGTTTTTGAGGGGGGTGGAGGGGCTTATTTAATTTCGCAAAGACAATGGTATCAGTTCTCTATAAAGAACTATAAATATACAGAGTCGAAAAGCTCAAGTACAAGAAGTTGGATGAAGTCAAGGATCAAAAACAAATCTGAACTTCCAGACGGTGAATAAACCATCCCAGATCAATCCACACAAAGTTTTTACAGTTGTGATTGACTAATACAGTCTATCATTTATTAGTGAAGAATAATAAGGGGGAGGGGAGGGAGCTTATTAACTTTCTTCCACTGAAAAGGGGGACGGGAAGCTTATTAGAGAGAGGGGGCTTATTTGAAAGGGAGACTTAATATCTAGGATTTGTGGTAAACATTAATATGACTTCTAATTTCAGTTAGTAAATACATACAGCTGTAACTTACCTGTCATCTTTTTAGATTTATCCACAACATTAACACCAGAACGAAGAAACGCAAAATGCAAAATAAAAAAAGTGTGGTTATTAATAAAGAATTTAAATGAATAAGGCTTTTCTCTTAATTTGTAAATCAAATATCAGGACAAATGTTGTCTTTCTCGGTCAAGAAAGGGAGAGGAATACGGGAACCATGAGGTCCACAATACCAGACCTAAAAAGACCTTTTTCATTGTAGTGGCCCATTTATTTATTCTTTTATACAGTTACCGTAAAATTCCGAAAATAAGCCCTTCCATATATAGGCCCCTCCAAATATAAGCCCCCCAAACTGGTAACGCAAAAACCCCTCCGTTAAACCGTCCCCCCAAATATAAGTCCCTCGGGGGCTTGTACTTGGAAAATTGCCCCCAAATACTAAGTAAAATAAAGCAAAAATGGTAAATTTACCTCCAACTATAAGGCTAGCCGAGTCGATTTGGAAACGCAAATTTCCCTCTGTAGTTAAGCCCCTCCGAATATAAGCCCCTCCAAAAATAAGCCCCTCAAAATGGGTCTTTGAAAAATGTAAGCCCCGGGGCTTATTTTCAGAATTTTACGGTATGTAAATGGCCCTTTCTGGTCTTGTTTGAATGTAACAATAATTCTTGTTACTTTCAAACAAGACCTTGTAGTCTTAAAAACATTGGATTTTTTTTTAAACATATACTTTTTGCCATGTAAATAGTTCACTTTTTAAACCTAAGGGAATTTTATGGACAAACATTGTTACCTTTATTCTTTGGCGTTTTGCACCTGCTAATGAGGTCAAAAAGGCATAGCATACACATAGAAGAATATACAGTGGAACCCCACCTTATGGCCACCTTGGTAATGCGGTCACTTTGTTATAACGGTCACTATTTCTTGGCCTGGCAAAACAGTCATACATTTTCTTATGAAAATCCCTTGTTAAAGCGGTCACCCATTAATACAGCCAACGGCCACATTTTAAAAGCCCTAATGGTAGGATCTTTTACAATTTCACCCCATTAATCAAACACCCATTCAAATTGGAAAATTAAAAATATTACGCCTATGTCATGTTAACTTCACTGACCCAGTAAGCTATACTCTAAGCCTGTCTTTTTATTGCTTTTAGACTACAATACACTGAAAATGTGTTTTTGGCAGTGTAATAACCAATTTCCAAGGAAAGGAAGGAAAAGTTTAAAGTAGTTTTTACAATAGCTGTATGTAATATCTACATTCCGGTTGTTTTTTACAGGGAATATTCGTTCCAGAAGTACGAATGCGCTGTACGGTGTGCATGTATTTTTCATTACCACCCTTAAGTCATGAAATTTGACCCTGCCAGCTAATACAGCCACCCCATTAATACAGCCAAATTGTTTGGACCAGTTGGTGACCATATTAACAGGTCCCACTGTATTAATGTGTCGTTATAGTGAAAGAGGTCCGTATCCCAGTTGCTGTAGTAAAATTAACACCTTAGTTGTTTGATTTTTGGGTTGTTATTATCATGTTTGTCTTTTAAATTTGGGCCTTTGTTTCTTTGACATGTTGGGATAATAAAATTAACATTAAAAGCAAAATGGAAATGAGTTCTGGAATTTGCATTAAAAATCAACTTTTGGGTAGCCTACATTTAGTGTATAGATATAAATTAGTGATCCATATAAAGCTGTAGAACAATTCAGGACCACCTAGCTTACATTAGACATGGTAGAAGTCAACCTCTCCTAAGATCTTAAATAGTGAGTGAAGCAAGCTTCAATGTATGGGGTCGCGCAGCGACCAAGCAAGCAACAAAGTCTCGAGGTTGACTTGTTTCAGCTGAATGGATTTGAATCATATAATAATATAAATTCATGCGGGAAAAAAAATGATTGACATATGCTGTGTCAGGAGAGGCATGAAATATCACACAATGTCCTATTGGTCAACTGTTATGAAGTCAACGGTAGAATTTTTAACCTGTGAATTTTGCGCCTAACAAGTATGAAAAGTCCTTTAAAATGGATAACCAATCAGAAAAAAATAAAGGACTTTTAGAAAGTCTTTGCTTACATGTGTCGGAATTCAAAGGTTTTTAATGACGAGCCTCCCTCAGGGAGGTACAACACATGACCAAATACAATAAACACACTAACAAGAAGCAAAATCTTACCTCTAAATCGACCCATACAAGTCTTTTATGTGCCATAATTCTACTACTGTTTTTTGGCGCCGAAAAACGCCTGAACAAAAGAAAATTCTTTCTCGTCAACAATCTGCAGAGAGAGAAGGCGGGCGAAAGTAGATCATTCATGGAGAAAATCACGTTTCCTGCCAGGCGTTCCTTTCACTTGATCAGACTGGGTCCAAGTCTAGTTTCAGTTCTTCGTGCGGAAGTCAAACAACGCCAGGATGCTAAGCTGGTTAAAGAATGTAAAGAATGTTTTCACAAGTGCTAAATCCTAACCAGAACTAAGTACGCCGATATTGAGGACGAGAAACTATTGTGTATTAAATTGTTCGCGTCCTGCACATGCCTAATACTTATCCTGTTGAACATAACTTAAATGTCACACGACGTTATTGCCCAGAGGCCGAGTTCTTCATCGTCCAAGGAGCTTTTGTACTCGAGCGAGCGCGAAAGAGACCATGAAACGTCTTCCAGACTCGCAGCACGTTTGGAAAGGTCGGTGAACAAGCGATCAAGAGGCAACTTGCATTATCATGATTCTGCCGGCCGGAGGCGAAGAAGGGATAGGCATCGTGAGCACAGTGAGGGCATTAGCATGGAAAAAGGAATTCGCCGAGAACGCAACGAAAACGAGTAAGTTTATAAATACCATCAAGTCTATAAATAGTACATGTGCTTGTAAATCACACAGGGCAATCAATTGACGGTTTTTATTTTCCCCTTCACTGCAAGATAATGTTGTAGTATTTTCGAACCGGAAAAATCATGTCTACAGGTTTTATACTCCAAAGTTATACATTGTTACTTGACCAGATACGTGAATGTACATGTCGCTACAGACTCGTGGTGTTTATGTATACTCTTGTGATGTTGATATCAACACAAACTCTATACTAAGCTAATTGATTTTCATAACAGCGCTTTTAACGAGACATTACTCTCTTAAATATTTTCGTGATCACACAAATGTCTCGGCAATGTCGAATATCTCTATTCGTGACTTTTTTCATGTATAACCAGTGTCTTCAAGTTATTAGGCTTAAGTTCTTAGGACTATAAAGCTTAAATGAAAATCCAATGAATGTGTATATTTAAGTGTGTTGATCTTCCTTATTAGTTACTAGCCTTTTCTGGTTGTAGCATTTGTTGTTTTTCTTTTCGTGTCAAGTTCTTGTTTTGCTTCCATAGCATTGGTTATTTTGCGGTATTTCACATTTTATGTCCCATTAATTACAGAGGTCATCCCACACAATTCATTTCATGACTCTTGTATCACTTCCGGCTAAAACAATGGGCAAAGCACTATTGTTTGAAACGTGATACAACATGTTCAAGCTTGCATTGTCAAACAAAATCATATCCATAAAGTTTGTATCTTTACTTGTGCCAAATTCTCTGTTAAAATGTATATAACGTTCAGAAAGCATTAATTCAGAGGTAATTATTATTCATTCATGTCACAGAACTACAATTGAGCTTAAACTTTATTTCCCATAAATAATTAGATTAGACAAGATAAATACAACAATTCCATTTATCTTGTCTAATCTAATTATTTGAAGTTTAGACAAGCTGGTTATAATGATATTATATTACAAATGAATGGTTTAAAGAAAGGGAGAGAGTGTTACTGTGGCTTTATCAGCCAATGGAGGAAAAGATCAAAACCTGGACTCCTTGTTTTCCTGCCAAAGAAAACCCTGATATGTGGAGGGCATGTTCAATTGGCCAATCGTGTTGTAGTATGAGGTCAAAGCGAAGAATCGATTGATTTCCAGAAAGATCGTCAGGCATGAAGTTTTTTCAGCCAAGCGTTTGCTTAACCAACCAAAAGCCATGCGCGTTTGTATCCGTTCGATAAACCAATAAATTCATTCTATTTCCGCTCATTTGTCATTTCTGTTTTGTTTGCATGTTTTCATTTCAAGGTCATGAATATGAAAATCGCTCTATTGCGAGGAGAAAATTCATGTTGATCACCCTTGGGACTTAAACCCTGACCCTGATTAAGACAAGACGTCTTATTTTTTAACCTGATTCACTTTCCTTTTGTTTACAGAATAAGGTATCGTGAAATTTGATTTTGTAAAAAAAAAATTGTTAGTTCCATGATTTCTGACCACCCATTCCCAGTCTTCATACTTTTTTTTCAGTGTCCAGTCCAAAATGACAACCTGTTGAAGATGGGAAATAGTTAAATTGTATATACAGCTTGCCATTCAGGCAAGCTGAAGCTAGCATTTACTAGCCCAGATGTCATTTCGACTAGCCCCAAAAGCTTTTTGACAGGCAGAATTAATTTCACAGTTCTTGTTGTTCGAATTGCTCAAACACATCACTTGCCCGTTGGGCAAGTTAAAAACAGAATTCACTAGCCCAATAGCAAAATCCACTTGCCCAGAGCTATCGGACACTACTTTCTTTGCACGCTGCTGTCTAAGAATGACCCTAAAAACCATATGCTGTTCAGCAAGGAAACGAAAAGATCCAATGTTAACAAAATATAACATAACATAACAACTTAATATTTAAGTGTCCATGTCTTTAGCTTATAAAAGCTAATTGGGGACACTAAAATGATAGGAAAAAAATTTTATTATAAAATGATTTTATACATGGTATCATAAGGTGAATTTATTATTCTCTAAAATTTAAAATTTATAAAAGGTAAAAATTTAAAAGTTAAAAGATTACCGAGTTATCCCCATTAAAATATATAGAAAAATGCTTAAAATATTTTAAAAATTCTCGAGTACTACAAATAGGACAGGAGCCACAATTTTCACTTATAAGATCCACAAGGTTAATATGCCGTATGCTGAACTTGAAGGATAATTGTAAAGTAGGTTTATCTTTGATTTTGCTGTCCAATCTAGACCATATATATGGTCCAAAGTACCTTATTGAATGTTTCCCGTAACACACACTATTAAATCTGGGTAAATGAAAATCCATATTTCTCAAGTGATATTTGGATGATAAAGTGATAGTGCTCATTTTGGCACTGGAAGATGTTACTGGTAATATTGTAAGAACTGAAGTTCAACTCGTATGAGGAATAAGACCTTATCTCACTTTACTTTATTGCTTTAATGTCAGTGCAGACATTGGTTACAAAAATAGCAGTAAAATAAAGTCACCAATTTGGTGACCATCTATGTTAAGCTTTTAATTGTGCCAAGTAGTAGTCAGTCTTCTAACAAGTTAGTGGTTAATATCTTTTTTCTAAAGTGAAGGTAAGATAAACATTTATATGAAATGCTGTTTATACCCTGTTTTTGTTATGATAATGTTCGTCTCTAATTTATGATCACTCTGGTTCTCCTCACTCGACAAACTGTTCTGGTTCATGTTATATTCAGTGGAGTACCCTTTATTTCTAGCAACCAATATTGTATGTCTGGCGAGCATTTTATTATAATACTTTTTGGTTGCCAAAAGGCAACTTTGCAAGGCGTTCGGCTTATAGAACTGATTATTAAAAAACTACGTTTGATTTTCACTACCTTATTGACCAGTAATGATGGCGTCTTTAGTGTCTTTACTTATTTATCTGTTTTCATAATTATCTTTTGTAACAGGCCTATGAGACAAGCCCAGTTCCAGGACAGCCGAGAGAAAAATCGTCAATTTTACCAAAATTCACTGTCAAAACACAGTAGGAAACATGACCGTCCACAGAGTTGGTATGAAGGTCAAAATACGGAGAGAAAATTCACTGAAAGACCACAAAGCATTCACGAAATTTCATTAGATAGAAACAATCAACATAACTCGGCCAGAGTTCCTTTCCACGAGAACAGGTTGCCCAACATCTCTGGCTTTAGAGAAAGAAGGCACAGGCACCTTGAGTCTACCCGATCTTTGTCTTCAAGCTACAGTTCTCAAGTGGGGTCCTCAGCTGATGAAGCTGAGGAACATCACGGGGTATATTCTGCCTATGACATGACAGGAAGGTCACCTTATGGCTCGCTGGTATTAAGGCGTTACAGCCAATCAAGTTTGAGCTCCTCTAGTGCCTCATGGCAACAGTCCACCAGCTCGCTCAGTCATCACGCCGTCAGAGGTCAGTGGGGGTCTGGGTCACTAGGCTCCAGTTCTCCAGATAAAATGCACGGTCATTCGGTGCAAAAGACGGTTTTTTTGAAGAGCCCTCCAAAGATTTCTGAGGACACCTCAACCGGAAATGTCTCGTTTGTCCCCGCCACACAATCCAATCAGTTTCCCGGCCAAAGAATTCGCGTTAACGCCCAACCTTATCATTCACGCAATTCTCATGTTTACGTTCAAGCTACTCCTTTTTCGTCCGGTCACCACGCTTCAACATCAAATCGACCACAATATTACAGTGTCACGACTTCCACTGAAGGCGTGACGGAAGTCTTCCAGAATGTCACGCAACTATCATCTGTGCATACTCAGTCAACTCGAAGTTCCAGAACGCATGAACACGATGACCAACCGAAAAGTCCTTCAGTGAAAGATTTAGCGAAACGTTTTAGCGGAGAAAATCAAGGTTTTTTTCCTGAATCGTTTGAGGAGCTTTACGAATTGAACGACAGAGAGCGGAGGAGGGTCAAGGCGCAAACGTGGCCGAAGTTTGCTTACGTCCATTCCCCGACGGATAATAGAGTAGAACAAATAGAAGGAGTCGATGCCGGGCCACCAAAACCGCCTTATCCTAAGAGTATCGTGGAAGATCTAGCTGTTGTAGAAACAAAACTGGAAACAAGAATAACTCGAAGCGATGCTGACACACAGTTGAGAGCATCAGACATGAGCTACTCCGTAAGCTCGCACGAACAGTGGGGTGTCATCGATGGCGCCCCAAGCCCTGGCGTGCTCGCATCTCATCGGTTAAGCCTGCAGGAACTTATTAAGATTCATGAAGATGAAATCGCCAGGCATGCCAAGAGCGCTCAGACAACAGCTCACGCGCACGTGCAGATTTACTTGAAGCGTCCAGCAAATGAAATGCGGCCTCGAAGTGTGGAGAGTCCACCAACTTCGCCTCACGAGATTGAATACGACGGAAGATGGGGCGCAGGTGGGGTGCCACAAACAACTCATAAACCGTTTGCAGCGGTTAATAGGGTTGCAGATAACCGTGCACCTGTTGTAACCCAATACGAGTTAACGAATTTGAAATCTGTTGAGAGAGCGCCTATAAAAGTTGTTGAAGTCACCGAAAAGGACAGTACAACTTCCGTGAACTCTGAATTGCGCGATAGGTCCCCGGTGAAAGCAAAGAGACATCGCACGATTGGCGTCGTGGGCTTCCGACAGCAAATCGATCGCGTCTCCGAAGGGAAGACCGAAAATAAGCCGAAACGTCATACGGCAATCGGAATTGTTAGCGTAAAGGCTGTGGCAACACCAGCTCGTCAGACAGTAAAAGAGGAGACTGTAGTTGTGAGCCACGAGGGCTACAATTTGGCGGCGGAAAAGGGAGTAGACAACGTGGATGGTAAACAGAGGGAAAACGGTGAGATGCTTAACCATCGTAACGAATACGATTTCCATGCTGATATAACGACACAGAACGAGTTTCAAAGAGACGAAGCCCTCGAGGAATTACTTCAGCGTGATGAAACCTCTGTGCCTTTCGCGCGATTGGAGGGAGCGGTTCAATCTCGATCGGAATCCAATCATAACCGAGAACGGAAGGCACTACGGAATGAAAAGCTCTCTGTGGACGAAGGATTGGCCAGAATTCCAGGGGGATCCTCAGAAAGAGTGGTTCAGCCTGCTGAACCGGTTAGCACTCAGTCTTCAATCCTGCCACCCCATAAATCTGATGGACGAACGTGGAATGTCCCAGTTTCCAATCGAACATATAATCACCATAAACCATACGCTATATCCAAAGCTGTACCTGTAGCACAAGTATCTCCAGTAAGTCCCGCTAATGACCAGACACCTACGTCTCCTCTCGGTAAAGAAAATTTTACCGACACTTTGCCACTTTCAAGATCACAATCTGCAAGGGAAATGTATGAAACGAGGCTTGCGCTGTGGAATTTATATCCACCAGATTCAACCCCAGAATTACATTCTAGCGAGACCTCAGCCAACACACCCATTCACGAGAAGATAATCGCCGAAGCCGAGCATCGTACAGTCACAGGTAAAGCTTTGGAGGCTCCGGATCCACCCAAGATTCGCGGTGTAGGCACGAAAATAAAACCAAGGGTCTTTGACCATCAGGACTTGGAAGAGTACTATTTACAAGTTATAGAGAAACTGAAGAACGAAAATAAACAGCTACTTGCGAAGCATGACTCGGAGAAAAGAGAGCTGAAGCAAAAGTACGAAGAACAGAGAAAGGTAGCGAACGCTTATCAGAAATTGGAAGACAGGTATCGTAGGCGAGTTCATGAGCTGCAGGAGGCTTTATCGGGCTGCACGTGTCAAAGTCCGTTTGTCAATCAAAATCACGTGAACATTACCCAGAGTCTTAGCAACCGGTAAGTTTACATCCTATCTCTTCAGATAATGTGGCGTTAAAAAATGAGCCAATGCCTCTCAAGAAACAAAATTCTCCGACACCTTTTTATTGCTTACACATTAAAGAAACATCCCTCAAAATCCTAGGTCAATCAAGCAAATTCCCTTTGAATTTTAGCATTTAAAAGCCCATCCGGACGCTCGCATTAAAAGGATAGTTTGTTTATCAAGATAGCCAGTTCATAAAGCTGTAATTTGGGTTTTAGGTATCTTCAGTTTAACCAGAACACGCTACATCACTTGCAGGTGGTGAGACACCCCTGAAGGTATCCGGTAACTTGAAATTACCCCTTTCCGGTCCCCTTCAAGTGCCTGCCTCACACTCGAGCTACAAGTAAGAGGACTTGGCGGCACTTGATTAAAACTGATAGGCTTCAATTTTTTTCATGCAGAAGTGAGAAGGATGGAGACAGGTCAGCAGCGTCAAGCGTCAAGGGCATAAAAACACTCCACGATCTTGATGACTGGTTTGGGGAACACTCCAAAGATAACAGTGCTTCAAAACACAATAACACGGCGAGCAGGAATAGCGTGATAAGCACGGAGACGTCTTCCGATATGACGGGAACCGCGTCTGCCTGGGACGAGTTGTACGATCGACTACGTGCGACAGGGGAGATTGATGTCGAGAATGGCACACACGTATGACACTGTGAAATCCTCGGTTAGTGACTTAAGTTTGGTTTCGTCTTTCCGTCACCTCTAGTTTTCATAACAATTGTGTTTGACTTCTACGTAGTGCATTGTCGTTAAATTTCACGTCTTCTCCGTCGGGGCCCTTAAAAATTAGACTATTCTAACCCTAGTTTTAGGCTTAATGGTATTTAGGCTGGTACTACTTTTGTGATTTTGTGGTCGAAACTGAAATTGGCTTAATGGTATTGGAGTGGAAAATCCTTACGTTTCGCTTCGGTTGTTGACGTCAAAATTTTCTTCTCCGCCTTGACAGCGGCCGAAAAATGCAATCGGCAAGAGTGATAATTGGTGGTAAAATAGTCACGTAGTCATCTCCTCCGTTTGCCATAGAGGTGATGCGTAATCTCTTTGTAATAAGCCTGCGAAGCAAGCGTTCCCAATCGAGTTATTGCGCGAAAGTTGTAGCGAGGGCAAAAGAAATGGAAGATCGAAGGTGGAGGTGGAGGGGAAAATAGGAGTTTCCTTCTCTTCCTCCCCCCCCCCCCCTCCCCCATCATTCCTCTTTCTTGCGCTCGTGCCAACCTGGCAAACTCGCGGGGAGACGCTTGCTACTCATGAGGCTACTTTGTAATGTTCGTTTTCGCCGTTTTGTGTCATTGTTTGTCTGAAATTTATCGTGAAATGATATCCAATGATGGGTGGCTTCTATGTGGACCCAAGTGGTTTGTTTTATCCATGAAGATTGTACAGTAAAGTCAAATATGATAAGCACAAATATCTATGCCATTTTAAGCAAAGAGTTAGAGCATGCAAGTGGAGGCTGTATACGTAGTTATGGTTATCGTCCGGCTGAATGTTGCCTTAGTCCAAAGGGATATTATAACTGCAAAAATAAGGAAATATTTTTATTAATAAATTTTTAAAGTAATTGAACGGATGATTGTTTTACGTCGCCCATGTGGTTCCTTATGTAGATATGCAAAAACAGAAACAGCGGCTGTGCTATAGGGCGCTCAAAAGATTTTGTACAATTAGATGTGTGTAACGGGGGAGAAGAGGACTCACAGATCGGACTCCGACCCATAACAAATACCCCCTCCCCCACTCACTCCTCCTTTTCGGCAACTACCAACAAAAGGGACCTTAAGATAAACCGCTTCTACTGTGGGTACGGTTAGATAAACGTAGATGTATGACAGGCGAACACGATTTCCCCGATGTGGTAATGGTACCACTTGAACGGGGTGCGTTCAAGTGATTTATCCGTACACACGGTAACGGTGTATCTAAAGGTCTGCAATAGGTCATCAGTGTCCGTCTTGGTACGGCTTAACGAGGTTAAGGGTTGAAGCCAGAGTGAACTTTCTCCTTGCATTTTTCCTCGGTTTTACGGTTGAACGTTTATGCTTGGTATTGATTTGACTTTCTAAACCCATGAACCTCCTTGATCAGTAACGGGTGGTAAAAAAAAATCGGCAAGATTAACGTGAAGCGAGATCATTACTGTAAACTTCTTTGTCAGGAAGGATTTATGTTACACAGGCAAAAGGTAATGTACTATTTTATATCATTTGAAATGATTTGTTATATATCACGAATCATCTAAGGAACCTAATTTCAGGGTCACCTGAAATTGCTCCGAAAGACTGATTACACGTTTGCAGCCCCTCTCGAAGGTGTTACGGTACTCAAGGGCATTTGGGTATTACGTTTGTGTTGCCCACGTGTGCTTATAAACGTCTCCAAACCGTGTCTGTTCGCTGAAAAACGTTCTGTGGCATTTACGTTTCGCTGGCAGCTATACTGTAACAAAGTAATACCAAACCCAAAAGCGTAAACAGCGTGCAATATTTTAATGCCTTTTTTCAACCTTTCTGAGCTACCATGATTAGTATGAATACACCTACTGTTCATATATATTTTTTATGGGGTACACTGAGACACCTACTTAGTATACATTACATCATTACTATATCATTGCCTTCCTTTCCAGTCTGTGTAGCTCAAATGGATTTATTTTACCCGGAAGAACAGTGTTAGCCCAATTTCAGGTCGAGGAACGTTGCAGTTAGAGTCATAAAGTGCATCCACTCCAAACTGGTTTGCAGGCCCGTAGCTGGTGCTGTGCCCGGCGTTACACATGCCATGACCAATATTCAGTGTGGAAAGGCAATCACAGTTGTCGTCGTCAAGCAAAATCGACTTTACGCCATTTTGTTCACGGTACATGAATGAGTCTTGCTTTGCTTTTGGCTGTGTTCCGTTCAGAACCTCTGGTTTCCAACTATCTTCCACGTTCTTAACCGTGCCAGCCAAGGTAGTCACATGATCATGGAAAGCCAGCCATGCCGCATGTGCCACAACGTTGTCAGAGTCAAACTTCCACTTATACTCGTTTCCTTCAGAGTCTATGGCAAGCATTTCCGTTGAATCCTCTCGAGCCCAGGATGGGATGCGTCCAAAGCAATACTGACTGTAGGAGCTGCAGTAACCGTACGGGTAAGCTAACACATCTCTCTCACCAACAGGCCAGGTTGCGTCTGCCGTCCACCACCAGAATGCTAGCCAGTTTCCTCCGTGCTTACATGAAGTCATATGATGTGCTACCTAAAAGTGAATCGAAGCACTTGTTAGAGAAGAGTGAACTGCTTCGGTAGTCATTAGAGTTTCACTGACTGGGATTGCATGTAAGTTGTAAATTTGAATAAAGATAAAATATACAGCTAGGTCGTCTAAAGACCTATTTATTACAATTTAATGGCAGTAAGTAAGGTAAACGCCATAAGGACGATTTGTAAAAGAGTTACAGCGACCCCATATAAAAACAAATCACCTTATTTAAGATAAATTATGATACAAAATATAAAAATATAGGATTTGAGTAGTTCACCAACTGGTCTATATGTATGTATATATGTAAAAAAAAAAAAACACTACCTGTTGCAGTATTATTACTTTAAAAAAAATACAAGCTAATATATATTATTTACATTGCAGTAAAAATTTCATAACTTTGGATTTAAAAATGTAGACATTTGAAGCGGAGCGGATCTCATACGGCAGAATGTTTCATTTATCCACTATCCTATGAAAGAAACTGTTTTTAAGTACATTTGTCCTCGCAAATCTTTTCTTTAATGATCTATTATCAAAGTGTCGAAACGAGTAGCGATCCTCTTGACAATAAAAATCCAAAAATTGAGAAAAATCCACATCCATTTAGCCATTGAGGGCCTTAAACAAAAAAGTGATATCAAATAAGAAACGTCTCTGTTCAAGGGTTAACAAATTGAGTTCTCTCAAACGAATATCGTATTGATCATTGGATTTTAGAATAAACTTGGTTGCCCTACGTTGAATTCTTTCAAGTTTGTCTATGTTTCTCTTTGTGAAGGGAGACCAGACAACCGAACAGTATTCCAAATTAGATCTGACGAGGGAACAAAACAAGGTCTTTAAAGTGGCTGTATCCTTGAGATCCTTGCACGTTCTTTTTATTAGGCCCAGCATTCTGTTTGCCTTAGCAGTAATCATGTCAGTATGAGAGTTCCAGGATAAAATGCAATCAGTCAATATTCCGAGATCCTTAAATTCTTTAACCTCCTCAAGAACGGTATCATTCATATGCATACTGTTACTAAAGGGTACTTGTTTCCTAGTGATTCTATGATAAGGGATGGTTAAAAAACAGGGGATTTGTCAAACGGGTTCGAGGGTACATATTCAAATTATATCCACTTGATTGTCGTTTTCGTTTTTGATACTATTTTTCAGGATTAAGTTATTTCCAAACTTCTTTATATGACGCAGAAAATGACGAATTAGGTAAAATATTTGTCATGAGGAATTACCTCTTCCTCCTTGCAAAAGTACAGACTTAAGCCTACGGTAGGTCGCGGTGTGTTGCAGTGGTCATCATACAGTGCGTCAACCCCAAATCGATTCACGGGACCATAACTAGTAGAGAATCCAGCCGAACACATGCCGTGTCCAAGGCTGATGGTTGAAAGACAATCGCAGTTGTCATCATCCAAGAGGAGGGACTTAACACCAGCTTGTGATCTGTACATGAAGGAATCTTGGTCGGCCTTCGGTGTAGTTCCTTTTATTACTTTAGGGTTCCATCGTTTTCTGTTAAGGATTGCTTTGTGTGGTGTTTCGGCGTGATCGTGGAGAGCTTTCCAGGCTGCATGGGCAGTTGGGTTTCCGGAGGAGAATTTCCAACGATAGACGTTTCCTTCGGTGTCAATCGCAAGCAGCTTGGTTCTATCTTCTTCAGCATCTGACGGAAGCCTTCCAAAGCAGTATACATCTGTCTCCTTGCACGTGCCAAAAGGTTTTTCCAGGACATCTTTGACGTCAGTGCGCCACTGTCCGTCTTTTGGCCACCACCAGAAAGCTGTCCATTTGCATCCGTATCCTTCAAACGTCAACTTTCTGGTCAGGAACTTTAAAGTAAATGGCCAATCCATTGTCAGGGCTTGGAAGATTACAAACGGGATCGTACAGTAGGTCGACCCCACGGGCCTTTGGATTAAAGTTACTATCGCAGACAGTTGCACCAAGTTGGATTGTCGAGAGGCAGTCACAGTTATCATCATCAAGTAACACCGATTTTATACCATTACTTTCTAGGTAAGCAAACGAATCCTGGTCAACAGCAGGTGATTTTCCGTTCAATATCACGGGATTCCAGGAGTCCTTGTTCAACACCGCACCAGAAGCTGTTTCTTTGTGGTCATGGAACGCGCGCCATGCTGCCCCAGCAGTTGGATTAGATGAGTTGAACGTCCATTTGTAAACGTTCATTTGGGAGTCCTTGGCCAAAATCACAGTAGAGTCCTCCTCGAGCCACGATGGAAGCCGCTGAAAGCAAAACGGATCCCCACCTAAGCATGTTCCGAAGGGGTGTTCAAGTACATCCTTTGCCAGTTGTGATTCGCAAGAGGACCCTTCAACGCCGGCATTCCACCACCAGAAGGCCCTCCACCTGCCACCATAACCATGCAAGTCTGGCTGTCGAGCGCGATAATACAGCGTCAGTCCAGTTGTTGGAACGGGGCCGTGACATCCACTGTCATAAAGAGCATCAACTCCAAAGACATTTGATTTACTATGACTAGTAGAATGGCCAGCATTGCACATTCCGTGACCAAGACTGAGTGAGGACAAACAGTCACAGTTGTCATCATCAAGAAGAACAGATTTAACGCCATTCTGCTCACGGTACATAAAAGAGTCTTGAGGGCGTGAAGGTGCATTTCCTTTTAGCGCAACTGGATTCCAAGGACTCGAATTAAGGACAGCTTTGTGTGCAGTCTCTTGGTGATCATGGAATGCAAGCCAAGCTGCATGTGAGACTGAGTTCTTTGGATCGAAGGACCATTTGTAAACTGTCCCCAAAGAGTCAACGGCCAGAACTTCTGTATCATTTTCCTTTAGCCATCTGGGGAGACGCTGAAAGCAATAGGTATCAAACTCTTTGCAAGAGCCGTATGAGTCTCTAAGGATATCGGTAACTTGCGCAGGCCAATAGGTATCCTTCTCGTACCACCAGAAAGCTTTCCAACCTCCGCCAAAATCTTCGAGAGTCAGCTTCTTAGCGGTTCGAAAAAACAGAGTAAGGCCGTTAGCTGGTGAAGGCCCCCGGCAACCTGGATCGTACAATTTATCGACACCCGATACATTAACTTTGCTGTACTGGGTTTGGTGACCAGCAAAGCACATTCCATGACCCATACTCAGAGTAGATAGGCAGTCACAGTTGTCGTCGTCCAGAAGAAGTGACTTCACGCCATTCTGATCTCGGTACATGAAAGAGTCTTGCGTTGCTTTGGGTTTGTTTCCTTCCAATGTTACAGGGTCCCAGGCTTGATTGTTTTTAATCGTACCACTTGCTGTTTCTTGATGGTCATGAAATGCTTGCCATGCAGCGTGTGCTGTTGGGTTCTTTGCATCAAACTTCCATTGGTACACAGTTCCTTCGGAGTCAATTGCAAGGATTTCTGTTGAATCTTCCTCGGCCCAGGAAGGAAGCCTTTGGAAACAATACATATCCCGTGGTTTGCACGTTCCATATACGTTTTTCAGAACATCAGTGACACCTGCAGGCCAACTCTTCCCTGCAGTCCACCACCAAAAACGATGCCAAGTCGAGGTGTTGAGAGCTGATGTAAATGCAACAGCAAACACAACTGCGTGGATGAAAGACAGAACAACGGCTCCTGAAGGGAAGGCATATCATGGCAATTAGAAACTTTTCAGTGGAAATCGAAATTCTGTTTTCTGCTTTCAGGTTTGCCCAAACGACTTCCCTTGTATTCGGGAGAGGTTATACTTGAACGTTTTGTTATCGCAGGAAACGTTGATGGGGCCAATACTAATTGTTCCTTTTTTGAGCCTCTTTTCAATTTGTTAACTTATAGCAATTAAACAATTGCCTTCACAGCTGCCTCCTCTACAGGCTTTTCCAAGGCCAGGCGGAGAGCACAGGAAGGTGAATGTGAAGTGTTGAGTCCGAGCGCGGAGCACCTTTTCTCCCCTTTCCGTCTAACCATTGTCCCCCGCTCCCCATTAAAACAAGCGCGGGCGGCTGAGAAGGAGGCAGCCTACAAAATTCGTCTTTCGGGCGGGCATTGAATTTAGAGAGCTATTGTAGCTGTGAAAAACGGGTAATCCAACTTTCGGTAGTGTTAACCTTCGTGTATCAATTTCCTTTCCCGTAAAGTTCGGTTCCCCATTCAGTAAGTCATAATAATTCCTTATCTTTTCTCATAGCAAGGGTATAACGCGATCAGTTGACAATCTTGTTAAGAGAAATGCTCTTATTAAATTTCCGCGTTACTTCTGGTTGCATTTCTTACATTCTTTTAAGCTGAATTTACTGATTAAATCCGTTTCTTAAGAGGTTCTACGTGCGCAAACAAACCCCATTTATATCTAGCAAGCTGCAAATTCATATACCCCACAAAAGTCACTCTCGGCCACATCGTACACTTTGGAATCGTAAGAGTAGCTTTTTGTAACTTACTAACCTACACCCCAAGACAGTCACACGAAATTTTTGTTGCTATACCGTTTGTTACCCTCATGAAGGGTAACAAGACTAGTGACTAACGAGACTAGTGACGTTTTCTGGGCATCTTTTTCTATTTTTTTTAATTTCAATAAGCAATGCAGAGAATGTACTTTAAATAAGTGTAATTAAAAAAGACAGCCGAATCCAGCGTTTTAAAAGCCAAGCTAAAAAATGAAAACCTGACAAGTGTAAAAAATTTTATCATAAAACACTTTTTCGCCTTCCACCACTGTAGCTCCACTTAAAGAAAACTAAATTTCGAACGGAGAAAAATGAGGTGAATTAATAAGATCTCGGTCATTCATTTTCTGTCGCGTATTCCCCATTCGTAATGCTTTTCGTTTTACTTTTTGCATACTTTCTCCACTAGCTGATCGCCTGAACCTGCATTCCGCAGAAAATAATAATACTCACCCCCCATCTTTAGTCGAATAGCTGTTCCCAGTCAATAAGTTCCTCTGAGTCCAGTTAAACAAGGCTATACTGAATAACTAATTGCTTTTGTTGTTGAAATTTTCCAAGTACGTGCCTATGATTGTCGGGCGCCGCCTTTAAATCATGAATAAGCAGATTTTCCTTGATCGCAATGCAACGCTAGACAAATTAATGTCACGTTCTCTATCCAAGTTTTTTTTTAAAATCTTAACATGTTTAGAAAGGCCAAACACAATTATATAGATTTAAAAAGATACAAATCCCACCAGCTTTATTTGACAAGTCCAAAGCTTCCCACAATATATTGGACAACTGATCACCTTAAAAGAGAATTAAGTGGAAATTTACTGGACGGACAATCAGCAACAAGTTCTATCGTTCACTGAAAGTGTTTCACCCAGGTATATCATAAGATTAGACGATAATGCTGTTTGTTTCGTATCATTTGTGGTCAAACGCAATTTGCCCTTCCGGTTTTTTTCTGTGGACTTTGGCTGTCAGCGCGTTTAAGCTCATTTGACTTTCACCTCTATAATCATCTCAATCCTTCAAATTACTTGTAAACAAGCCCAAAATTTTTGAGGTAATCAGTTGACTCGTAAATGAGCACCGCTAGCAACGACTCTGAGCATCTTTTCGAAAAAATGTCATTTCTCAAATTATTCTCAAATATATGGAGAAAAAAGTCATAGGGGCGTAAAAATAGGCATGAATGCTCCCCACGTCCCTCCCCACCCTTCCAAGGGTTTTTTTGGCTTAGTAAACTCTGCCTCCTGAAAAGGACAGGCTGTGAATGGTCAAAACAATTTCTCTTTTTTACAAATTCTCGCCTTAGTTGACATAAGCATATATTGAACTGTTTTCGTTCTTAGGTTTTGTTAGCTCAGCTGATTTGTCCGTATGGAATTTCCTCCCTAATTTTCCCACACACTTACCAAATGACAGCTTCTTGTTAGGCTAGATCGAGATTTCTGTATTCCTGCTCAACTCAGGAGCAAGGCATAAAATTTGTGTGATGCGAAAAATTAAAGAGAACCACTCAGTCGGTTCATGATCACATAAACGTTTTCCTGTCCTTTCCCTTCCCCCTTGCTGTTCCGAGCTACTGGAACCTTAGCACTGAGAAGGCACAGTTTATAAATACTCTACGCGTTTTCAATTCTTGCAAACTGTCTCAACTTGTCTTGTTGCAAGAGGACGTTACCAAGGACATTTCTACTACATACCTTGGCTCACCACCTTGTCTACTTACCTACCTACCTACCTACCTACCTACCTACCTACTTACCTACCTACCTATCTGCCTACCATGCTTAAATTAAACCCACCTTCAAGAAAAAGTGATGTGAAGTCTTGTTTTCTTTGTATTCGCATGGGTTGATGTATTTATCCGAAGTCAACAATTCACACCAAAATTTTCCATGGGCTCCTTTGGAGGCGGCCAGGTTCAGAGACAAACATGAAGGATTGCTGAGACATTCAAGGATGCAGTCAAAGGTGTCGTACACTATAAACATTCCAATTCCAGAGACGTTTAAAAAGTGGTAATCTTCTTTTACAAAAAGATCTGCAGGTAATATAAGAACCAGCATATTTTCAAAACCCTTCTAGACTTGATCCCCGAGGGGGCACCCAAGGGAAGTATAAAAAGAGGTGTGCATCCGAGGCTTTCAAACCCCCACCCTGTTTTAACCCTGTAAGTCCCAATATCCACATACAAATTCTCCAAACTGATCTCCATACATTTCCTTGAAGAATTAGTCGAGAGAATTTGGTAAAAGATCAAATATTTTTCTCTTTGTGATCATTTTGTTAATTCTCATAGACTTTGCTCATGATACTCTATGGATATCGTTAGGAGAAAATTGATTTTGAGCACTATTGGGACTTAAAGGGTTAAGGTTTTTCGATACAGTTTTTCAGAGGCCATAGCGATATTTTGCAATCGCCTTTAAAGTGGCTTTTTCCTTGTCCGATCGCTATAAAATTTTCGCCAGTAACTGGCTATGGATTGAAATTTGTACTTTTAAGTAAAATCGATATTACTATGTCAACAACGAACAAAAAAACTTTGAAACTGATAAAAGCCGAATTTTGTGTGATCTAGACCAGCTACTAAAAATCCAAACCTAGGAACTTAAGTTTGGTGTTTAGCAAACAATCTCCGTAAGAAGTAAGAAATTCTGTATGTTTGAATTCGACTAAAGCAAAAATATATTTCAAACCGTAAATTTTCGATAGCCGTGATAGATTATTTAATGAAAACGTTATAAATGTCTCAAATTATTCTTAAGTAGCGCCAGAATGCTGCTTAATATCATATTTTGATGCTAGGAAATTTTGGTGTATTTTCGTTCTTGCGATCTTGAAAACTAACCCGTTTCCACCTGTCTAAGTGCGACTTCATTTAAAATGTGGACTTTCAGCGCTTTTTTGTATATCTCTGAAACGACTCGAACGAATTTTTTTAAAATCTCTTCACATAATCTTCATAATGTATATAATAAGGACTGAAACTTTCATAGAGATTGATTCATTGTAACATCTTAAAATTTCAAGACAAACCTATCCTACGAACCTGTCAAAAATATGCGTTTCAACAGTCACTATTTTGACGTTATGCAAATATTTTCGAAATAATACGCTCTATACATAACTCCATGACTAGTACATTTTAGTTTGAATTAATCGCATCTTTTGAATGTAAAACATTGACAATACACGCACTGAAATTTACTAGTCAGGGATATATGTATTGTTACCCTGCGAGCAGAGGCTACATTTTCGCTGTGTTAGCTGGCGTGCGAAAAGTAGCCTCTGCCGACAATCGTTCAAATCCGTCCAGAAATCTGGACGAATAAATTAAAAAACGGGTTTTTTCCTGTTCTTGACCGGTTTAGATCATTGCGTGAGTCTTGCGTGAATCTTGCGTAGCAGTTAGCAGATCAGAGTTAACGCAATTTTTTTATTCCCGCGAAACTCGCGCCATTTGACGACAGACCTGACGATTAATTTTGCTTGCAAATCGCGTGACAAATTTCGCGCATGCACGATAGAAAATTGAACGGTTGTCGACAGAGGCTACTTTTCGCACGCCAGCTCCTACAGAGAAAATGTAGCCTCTGCTCGCAGGGTACTGTATTGTCCGCATTAAATTGGAAAAATTAGGCATTTTTTATGACTCTGCTTTATCCGTCGTTTTGTATACAGGGTTTGGTGATTTTTCACACCAACTGTCATGGAATTAGCCTGCGAAAACATCCGTTTCTCCTCGCTCTTCGCCGCAGGGGACGTTTCGCGAGGAGGAACTCCTCCGCGCGAAACGTCCACAGCGGCGAAGAGCGAGGAGAAACGGATGTTTTCGCAGGCTATCATGGAATTAGAATTTTTGGAAAAAGATTGTTGGTGTTAATACAATGGTAGACCGCCTATCGCCAGCCTTTACACTTTTTCAACGGCTTCCGACCCAACAAGGAACACCTGTTCAAGCTGCTAAATAAATAGTGAAATTATATAACCTGTTTTTAAAATACTCAAAAATATTTTTTTAAAACCCATACCACGTCCAGCGGCACAAATATACCCGTTTTGGCCAAGTATCCACGAGTTTTCCCGTTTTTCTGGTAAATTTTCGATAATTATTAAAACATTGCCTGCAACGATTTTGCTTGTCAATATTCAGTCCTCATTAGCTGCTCCTAAATTTCAAAGAATCGGAACTAAGGTCTCTAAGATTCCTTAGTATGAATTTGACAAAAAGAAATTTGTTTGCCGTTCGCAGGCTCTTCGCTTCTAGGATTTCCACGACAAAAACTTGAAGTCTTCGTTCTTTCGAGAAACAACCACGGTACAACCCCTTGAGCAAACTCTGGCCTTTTTCAACTTTTGCTGAACTTCAATGTTCTCGAGTTGGTCCTCATCATCGTGCCTGTTCTGTGGTTTCTGAGTTTCTTTTTTCACTGATTTTTTTTTTTTCTGAACATGGCTTAGAGAAAAGAATTGGGTAACATTTACGAGCAAAATTGTTCACCTAAAAACAGAGTAAACTAACCTTGGGCGTAGGCTCCTGCAGCTAGCACTGCAGATAACACGAAGAAAAGGAACCAGCAATTGGATGAAGCTGGAAACATTTTACTGCTCACAAAAATGAACTTCAGGATACTTTGTTCGATAAAGCATGCGACAGCTGTACTTAAATAGCCACCCGTTGGAGGATCGGTCAATATTTATTATCAGTTAGATTCTTGATGACAAATATAGCTAATGGCAGCTCAATAATCATCATTTTCCAGGGGCACCCAACGTCAATTTTCGGAAAATATCTGTTCGGAAGACGATTTGAGATCTAGAATTTTCGGAACGTTTGTTGTAAAATTCCTTGCTTGCCTGTCTCTCCTAGGATTTTCGAACATCTAAAGAATGGTATAATTGCCCATTTTTAAGGGATTTTTACCCTAGAAAGGTCACCTAGAATTTTCCGGGGCCTTTTTCCGCCTGAAATTTTCGAAAAGGTAAGTGTTGGTCCCTATAATTTTCGGATCACTAGACGTTCAGCTAGGAAATCCGAACAGATAAAAAAATTTAGGGGATAAAAATATGCCTATATCTACCGTTTAAATACTAAAATACGTTTAACAATGCTATGTTTAAGTGGTTTTGAATTGTATTCTCGTTGGGGGCCCCTGATTTTCTGGGAAAAAAACACCATTAATGAGCCATGGTGTGTTTAACTAATCCATTAAACCATTTGTGCGTATCCAAGACACGTAGACGTTAGTGCAGTGTCTAAAAGCAAGAAACAATGCGGTACCGGCTAAGTGAAGTATATTTACACATTATCTATCTTTATAACACATCAGTCAGAGTGACAACTGATACCTCAGGAACCCTATACCTGCCCTGGGAAGACGGTACGCCAGGAGGAAATTTTTTGAATGGTTCGTTGGAGTAAAAGAAATTAGAGTATGATTACCAAGGTTCTGAAGTTCACTCAATCGTAAATAGCGTTAAATAATTAATTTACACCTAATTAAAGCTTCGCACGTTGGTTGTAGGTATCGCGTTTCTGAAATATCCTGAAGACGTTATGCCAAAACTATCCATTAGCAAAACGAAATGCTCAGCATGAGTGACTGTAGCTTTAACGGTCGCTCAAACAAGAGAACATCACCAAGTGTAACGCACTCACTGGCAATTTCACTGAACCCTTGTAAAAAATAATGTTGCAGCAAGAAGTAATTCTCCATCCTAATGGTGGCTGCAACCAATACGCTTTGAGACAAGATCATTTCATGGCGTTTTCCACTTGGCAATGTCTAGTGCATCTTGTGTCGGAAAATTGTCAGGAAAACAGTGCAAAGAAATATTGGATAGAGTAACGGGACCAATAGTCTAACTAATTAATGTATTTAATAATGTTGTGTTTTACCTTACCTTTCCTTTTCGTACTTTGAGAAAAATTGCAGCTGAGATTGCTCATGATTGCTAAAACAAGGAGCTGGGGCTCCCCACGTTTTACAATTGTTGGAAATTGAATCGACAAAAGCGTGGGAACTTTCAATTCGGTACACAATCATAATTTAGTAATTAACCTAATTTGAATGACATTGTGGAGACTTTGACTACCGACAAATCAACACAGGTAGACAAACGCAAGGACAGAAAAAGGTGTTGACTCGTAAAACAATCGCACACTTTTTTTGTGTCGTAATTAATAACCAATTCTTAACGTATTGAACTCTATGGAAACAACAACGAAGTTGGACCAAACCAAAGAAATTAAAACCGTTATGTGGGAGGAAAGGAGCACCTGTCCGTTCCTTGAAAAGGCAATAAAAACAGACATTCAGGTACTGGAACACACACTAGTCAAACCCGTTACATAAGCTTTTGAGGACCTTTAGATATGAATGCGGCCATGTAATATACAGGCCAGTTGATTAAACCAAGTCATCAAGGTCGGACATGTTGGCTATACGGTATGCAGGGGTGTCATAAATCAAGTAAACGGAATTAAGCTCAAATTCCTAATACCGTAAAATTCCGAAAATAAGCCCTCCATGTATAAGCCCCCCAAACCGATGACGCAAAAAACCCTCCGTTAAATCGCCCCTCCAAATATAAGCCCCCGGGCGCTTGTACTTGGAAAATTGCCCTCAAATACAAAGTAAAACAAAGCAAAATCGGTAAATTTGCTTCCAAATATAAGGCTAGCCCAATCGATTTTGAAACTCAAATTTCCCTCCGTAGATAAGCCCCTCCGAATATAAGCCCCTCAAAAATAAGCCTTTCAAAAAGGGCCTTTGAAAAATATAAGCCCCGGGGCTTATTTTCGGAATTTTACGGTATTTTGACATTATAAGGGTACTATGCCACCGTCTCTTTTTGAATACACTGAACGAAATTTTTGGGTCTATGTTTTTGGGGGGTACATCCTCTCTTAATGTGTCGGTATGAAATTAATGCAATTTACAGTGGCAGATCCAGACCGTCAGATAAGGGGTTGGGGGGGGGGGGGGGTCATTCAGACCCTGAGATAAGGGGGAGGGGGCGGTCTCCAAAAAAACATTTTTGGATTTTCGGGCTTTAGTTTGGTCTTAAAATAAGGGGGGCCCTCCCCTTGATCTGACACTGCCTGCTCCTTGTTGGGTGACCCTGAGTTGCAACCCAGAAAAGCTCATTCCTTCCTATTGCACACCATCACGAGGTGTTGGCCTACAAAATAGAAAAAAATGTGTGTTGAAAACTTGTGTACTCATCTTCGAAGATGTAGTCCAATATAAAGGTCCAAGTTGTCTAAGACACACAAAAGAAAACTAGAACTTGTTAATCTTGCATTCTAGCCCAATGAAAAGGTGTCTAATATTGTGGGAGCTGCCCTGCCAGGGTGATATGACTGCGCACTTGCTTGAGGTACTGGCTATGCCTTGGGTTGGTGTATGTGTGCCCCTTGCTTTAAGTTTGTCCTCCTGATAGCAACAAATTTGTTGAACATTCAGAAAAGTAATTTAGAGAAGATTTACTTTATGAGGGATTCAAAATCATGATAATACATGCATCTAATACATCTCTTGAAGTATAAAACCATTTTAGAACCAGTCAGTGTCTACAACACCAACAACACTCGTTATATTAATCCATTTCTTAGCTAAAACTGTCACATGGAATTGGCAGCTCTATCCATGAATTTTGCTAGTTTGACATCCTTGCTCGACAGCCCCCCACAGTCATGGGTGGAGAGGGTCACTTGAACCCTGCTATACACATTAAACCACTCTGGGTGATGATCCATCTTCTCCGACATGAGAGCCACGCGGCTCATGAAACCAAATGCCTGGTTGAAATTCTTGAACTTAAACTCCTTGTAAATGGCATCACGGCCCTCGACATCAGTCCACCCTGAGGACTTCAGAGGCTGAAGCTCTGTTTCCCTTTCTTCATCAGTAAATTTGGCAACCTTAGGTGAAGCCTGTCAATTTAAATTAAAGAGTTGTAAATGTCGCCACATATCTCCTTGTCAAGATCAAAATTCAAAAGGACAACTTATCTGAAGTGAGGTTAGTGAGGAGGAACTTAGCCTTCACATCTGGCTCGATTGAGAACACTCACTCACAGGTGAGTCTTGGGAACTTTTTTATGCTCAAGCCCCAAAACATGCCTGAGAGCCTTTAAGTATGCCGATTGCTTAGAAATACAAAGATTGTGCATGAAATGTAATAATGATAATAATAATAATAATAATAATACTTTAATTATGCTCTCACCTTGAGGGGCTTATGGTTACAATAGGCAACTGGCAACAATGGTTTAATAAGCATTTCTCAAAATTTTTACTGATTTAGTTGGGAGGTGCCCTGCATGGGACTCCAGGTCCCATTTGCACCTTACCTTTTGGTCTTTTTTTTTTTCATTACTGTAACTATTTATTTAGAAAGACTCAGACCCAGGGAGCAGGCTACTTTAGGACTTTTTGGGTGGGGATGTGCTGCTAGGACCATGGAACCCTTAGCTGATACCAGAGCTAGTTCAAGTAAATTTTGCTACCCTCTACTAGACTAAACTCCCCAAACCCCCCTATCCTAGAATAGCTCTTTTCCAGAAACAACTGAGGTCACTAGCACAGTCCAGCCAAAACAAGACCGATGTGATTTTTTTATATTCTTGAGTGGCAATTCCTGGTTTCCCTAGTCTAGACTAAAATCTTCAGCCAATTGATCAGTTTACATGTAAAATGATACCCTCTTCTCGATACCCTCTCCTACTGGTAGGAGGCAAAGCAGTTGGCTATTTTACAAGCATGGCCAAGGATTTGAACTCGGGACCTCAAAGAACAAATCCAGCTGGTGGTCACGGTAGGACTTGAACTCGGAGCCTCCGAATCACAAGTTCAGTGCCCTAACCACTCGACCACGTCGCCTCCTACAATGGGTTAGTGTGTATTAAATCGCACCAAAATACCATTGTAGCTTGTATACTTTGTTGTCTTACTTTATGGAAGAAATTAAAGATTTTGGTCTTTGTTAGGGTCCTCAGAGCAGAAAGCCAATATTTTTACCTGTACAGGTATTGTTTTGGGTTGGAAAAATAACACCATGATCATTCTGTGTTGGAAATAAAATGCGGTCTACTTTTGGGTAAAAAAACCAGCCCATGAGATTGGTCTCTTATTACATGGGAGTTTCCTCCACACTGACTCGCGTTTGTTTCCCGATACAGTTTATGTGATGTTCTCAAAGGAATTTCGCTTTGTCTTTTCAAAAACTAAGCATTCATATGCACATGACTGACAAAAAGTTCGAGAGAAACAGCTATTTTTCTAAGCCGGAAATTAGATTTAAAGAATTAATTTAGATAATAAGCTTTCTAGAATAATATCACATGACCTGTATTCATGAGAATATAAAAATAAAAGTACAGCACATACCGTAAAATTCTGAAAATAAGCCCCTCCAAATATGATCCCCCCAAACCGGTTACGCAAAAAAACCCTCTGTTAAATTGCCCCTCCAAATATAAGCCCCCCGGGGACTTGTGCTTGGAAAATTTCCCTCAAATACAAAGTTAAACAAAGAAAAAACGGTAAATTTACTTCCAGTTATAAGGCTAGCCCAATCGATTTTGAAATGCAAATTTCCCTCCGTAGATAAGCCCCTCCAAAAATAAGCCCCTCAAAAAGGGTCTTTGAAAAATATAAGCCCCGGGGCTTATTTTCGGAATTTTACGGTAATCTAAATGGGCTATCACATTCACCCCTAATAGGCCTTATTTATAATGGAGAAAGCTTGTAAAGAGTAGAAGGGTCACTCGCCTACCAAAACTATGGTACCCTGAGTGAGCCAACTATTCATACATTTACTTTCCAAAATTAGTGAACCCTTTACATGAGAAACAAAAATTAGACTCAGCTAGAAGGGTGACCTGCAAACAATCAGCAACAAAATTGTTGAGACATTGTACTCAAATAGGGTAACTTCAGGGAACAAAAGAATCCACACCCCTCCCTGTCCCCTCCATTCAAAGTTGGGGTGTTTGTTGTTCTCTATAGGTAGCTCAAACAGCGTCACAACATTGCATGGAGGTATGGGGGTGGAAAAGCTTTATTTTCGCCTTTTGAAGACAGTAAAACGTCAGAAAGCCCCTTTTGGGCATAGTGTCTCAACTTATTTTGGTCGCTGATTGTAGCCGCATCCCCCCTTCCTCAGTGTAAGGGTCACCCTCCTACCCAGGCCAACTTTTCTACAGATGAACACTTTGGCTCGGGTCAACTTGTTGTGGGTGACAAACAATCAGAGCATGCACGAGCACTGTTGGCTGGGGCAAGGGCGTCATGTAAACACCCCTTTTTGACTTGGCTATACCATCTTTCCCACAACTTTTCTTCCTGAAAATTTACTTTTTGCTTGAAATGTTACTTTTTGCTCTAAAATTTGCATGAATTCTTTATTTATCCCTGAAGATTTCCAAACAAATTTTTAACCCTAGAGAATTCCATTTACACTACCCCTAAAAATTTCTTCAACTCTAATTACTTCCATTGCTCCTCAACCCGGGGGGGTGCAAATGAGTATAATGGCAAGAATGCTGGAGTTTATTCAAAATAACAAAAAAGACGACTAAGTGTATCACCAAATTATGATACTTCATATAGATTATTTCACTCACCATGACTGGAAACGTTCTAAAAAGCCTCAAACAGTTTACACGTGAAGAAAACTGCTGCAAGAACTTGCTCATGTCACGTCACACGATCTCCACGAGCCGTCGTTCGTAATAGAGGACTGGCACTAGGGTTCTTTTCACCGCTGGACAGTACAATAACTGTATGGGCTCATAAAACATGGCGGATGGAAGTTCGAAGGAACTTCGGAAGAGTGATGATGAATTAGATTCCTTATTAGACAGTAAGTTCCCTGCCTTCATTCATGTTGCTGTCTCTAGATACAATCTATGCATTTAGGTGCTTTTATGATAGCAGCTATGTGCTGTTTCGTGGCTGCTTCGCCTAGTTTATCAACACACTACCCTGAACAGTTGAAGTACTGGTCTATTGCCCAATCGATCATTGTTTATAGGCGACTTATAGACCCTTTGAGAGGCGAGTATATCGGCAAAAACCTAGTTTGAATAAGGGAAATAATCGTACAGGATTAATTAACTGCCCAGTCGTGTTCATCTCAGGATTTCACCAAGGATAATTATTATGAAGACTCACTGGGCAAAGGTTAACTTTCCCTTGAGCTTGAGAACGGCATAAGGGCTATTACACATCGGGATGTGGTTTTATTACATATGGGCAACTGAAGTTGGAAGGCATTAATGTACAGAAAGGAAAAGCAAGCAGCCAGACAAACACCACTAATTTTACATTTAAGGTTATTATTTTTGTCAAAAGGCACATTTTAGGTTTAAGTGGAGTGTCATGTTATGTTACCCTGGGCCGAGTTGCTCGAAGGCCGATTAGCGCTTAACCTGGGTTCCTTTTTCTTGTGTTCAAAAGCGTTTTCTGTCATAATTCTGATAATTCTTTTTTGAGCTTCCAATCATCTGACTTGCAGACAAAAAGAATTAAAACTGAAATGCTTTTTAAGCTTTCAAAATCTGAATTCAAATCTTGCACTAAACCTGGGTTATCTTAACCCAGCTTTGAACAACCCGGCCCTGGGTGCCAGAGGTTTTCTTTCTGTTGTTTGCAGTGCAAATTGAATGGCAAAACGGCGATCACGATCCCGGCTTCGCTGCTCAATTTTGCCTGCAAACAACAGGAAAAAAAAAACCCCTGGGACCCAGGGTAATGTCATGTTTACTGTGAATGACATTTACAAATATATCCAGGTGCTCTTGAAGATTTTGACAAAAATATCCCATCAACCACAAGACAGTCAGGAAGTGTTTGCCAAAATGAGGTTCAACCAGCTGCGTGTAGTTCTACAGAAAAAACAGAATGCAACGGTGAAGAAAGAAGTGGCAGCACAGCAGGAAAGGATTCTTCTCCATCACAAGGGGATTCTAATGCTCAAATGGAAGCCCATTTTGCTAAAGCAGCAGAAGACCTTGAAAATGCTGTGAAGACAATGCTAGGAAATGAGCCTGAGTTATTAGCTCAGCTGGGTCAGTTTGCTCAAGCAACGACTCAAGCTGATCATGGTATGTTTTGGTACAATTTTACGTCCAGTACTATTAACTACAACTTATAAGCCCCCCTTGTTATAAGCCCAGACTACATGTAAACAAAAACAGGTCAATATTGTGAGCTTCCTGCAAAAAAGTCCCCTCTAGCTTGTATTGAACTTTTTGGGTGGGAATGTGCCACTGGGATCCTGGAACCCTTAGCCTATGCCAGAGCTAGTTCAAGTGAATTTTGCTACCCTATACTAGACTAAACTCCCCTAATCACCCCTGTCCTATTCTTGAGTGGCAATTCCCAGTTTCCAAAGTCTACACTAAAATCTTCAGCCAATTGATCAGTTTAAAATGGAAAATGATACCCTCTTCTAGACCCAAACTCTCTGATTTGCCCTATCCCAGAGTAAACTGCTTGAAAACCATACCCTTCACAGCGGTACATACCCATAAAGCCCATATATTGCAGTACCCCCCCAATTATTGAAATGATTATTTGATTTATTACAACATTTTGAAGGTTAACCCTTTAAGCCCCAGTATCCACATACAAATTCTCCAGACTGATCTCTATACATTTCTTTTAAGAATAGTTGAGAGAATTATTTTGCTTTAAGATCAAAGAATTCTCCCTTTGGTCATCAATTTAGTAATTCTCATAACCTTTATTTTTGATGATCTGCTGATGTTGTTGGGAGAAAATTGATGTTGGTCACTCTTGGGACCTAAAGGGTTAACTAATAACCAGTAAATGCAAAACGTAGTTTGATCAGCATAGTATTCCTTTATGCATCTCATCAGTACGCCCTCAGATTCGCTTTTCCTTGATTACATGTACAGTAGTTTTTATGAACAAAGCAAAAATTCCTTTTACTCTAGAGCGTGGTGTTGGCACTTAGTAGGTAAAAGGGAGTTGTGCGCCACCCAGAATCAGATTTTTATTTGTGTCCTTGTATCACAGGGATTTTGCATTAAAAAATAATGATACCACCCTCATTCTTCACTCCAGGAAATGTCTCTTATATGGTGACTTTTATTGAATCTCCTGGAAGATGTGCCAAAAAATTATTTATTTTTTATTAATTAATTGTTTCTGTTTTGTGAAGCTTACTTAGACACAAGGACAGTAATCCACAAATGAGTCTTGTATTCACTCAAAAAAATACAGTTAGGTGCTTGATATAAATGTGTGTGATTTCCCCGCCATGCACTGTATCATCATTAATTTTCTAACCCCCTGTGTGTGAAAGCCCTGGTTCTTGTGTCCATTGTGCTGGGGTCCTGTATTATGGTAGTTTTTAGCTTGCTTTAAGGCACACGAGGGATTTTGCTCCCAGAGCATGCTCCAGGGGCACGCTCCAGGAGCAAATTTCCTCCGTGTGTACCAATGATTTCATGGGTACACATCATCCTTGGGAGCAGAATTTCCACCCCGCAAAATGCTCCACGATATTTAACTGGTTAAATATTTGGGAGCAAGCTCCGGGGGCAAATTGAGCGAACTTTAAAATTCTCCCTTGTGTGTACTGACACGTGCAAAATGAGCCTGGAGCATGCCCCGGGAGCAAAACCCCTCGTGTGTGCAGCCTTTAAGCCATTAAATGTAGGAAAAAAATAATAATAGTATGTTTTTCTCTCTTAGATAACCCTTCATCTATGGCTGACCTTGAAGCAAATTTGACAAGAACCATGAATAATTTGGCTCAAAATGCTAAAGAACTGGAGGTATATTAAATATTGCTAAATTGTTCTAAACTGATCCATTATAAGTAGGTCCAGTTGTATCACAGTAGAGTTTAACCTTTTAATTTTAAACTACATGATTTGCAAACACACCCAATGTCCCCATGTGCTTCTCCTGGTTAATTGCAATGGACACAGATGCTTTGGAGGGTGCAGATACATGTACGTGAAAGGGTCTGAAAGTTTTCACCCTGAAATCATTGGACATGTCATTTTTTGCACACAATTTGCAAGATCAATACTGTTGCAAATTTTAAGAGTCTACTATCTATGGTTGGTGTAATCTGGGGAGAAAGTCTCAATTGCCTATAAGGGGCAAAAGAGGTTGCATGTACATGAGTCCCAGAAATTTATCCATACCCCTCATGGAAGGGATTTGTTTTATGACCCCCCACCCTTCAAGAGCACCCAACATCAATTTTCAGAAAACGTCTGTTCGGAAGATGATTTGAGATCTGGAATTTTCGGAACATTTGTTGTAAAATTTCTTGCTTGCCCGCCTCTCCTAGGATTTTTGAACAACTAAAAAATGGTATAATTGCCCATTTTTAACAGATTTCACTCTAAAAAGGTCAGGAGCCTTTTTTCTGGCTGAAATTTTCGAAAAGGTAAGTTTTGATCCCTATAATTTTTGGATCAATAGACTTTCAGCTAGGAAATCCGAACAGATGAAAAATTTTTAGGGGATAAAAATTCATATATGCCTATATCTACCATTTAAATACTAAAATACGTTTAACAATGCTATGTTTAAGTGGTTTGAACTATATTCTGCTTGGGTGCCCCTGACCCATTTGTCCCCTGTTGAAATTCCATTTTGGTTGCCTTAAACTTCAGAGTCTTTTCTACAGGGTAGTTCCAGGGAATTTCTACAGGGTAGTTCCTTCTGTTGAGGGGTAGTATGGATATTTTCTGGAACTATACATTGACTGAAAGTGCTGCATTTAGCTTGAGGCAACACACTGTTTCCTTCAGTCAAGAGTGCTCATTGTCTAGCATAGTCTTCAGGGGCTCTCTTCTTCCCAGACTCTGGGAATGTGGTTGCCTAACATGCAGGAGCGTGGCGTCCATATACGCACACTCGCCCATGCGTACAGCTAAAATCTGGAAAAGAAATATTTTGTATTTTTATTTCCTGAAAGCATTTTTTTTTATTAGATCGGGATGACTGATGAATTTTTTATGTCATAATTATTGGTGTCTTTGTGTTGGTCTGAAGGGTAGATGTCTTGTCCTTTGCTTGTACCAGTGTCACTGTTTAACCCTTTTTAGTTAAACACTCCACCTGACCGATAACACTAGAGATCAGTAAAATAAACAACTAACAACTACTGCATTTGCCTTCTTATTTATATGCTGAAAATGTATTGTGGAAATACCCAAGAAATAGCATTTCTGAGACTCTAAATTTAAAAATTTCTGGGGGACCATGCCACCAGACCCCCTAGTTTGGAGAGTCTTCGGCCGGCGCTCTCAATTTTTTTCCCTTGCATACACCTTCAAAATCTCATGCTACAGCATGTATGCCCCTGCCATGATGAACCCAAATATCTAAGTTATAAATGCAGTCTGTGAGATTTTGATGTTACATTCTGTCCCCTCAGAACTGTCCAACGGGAGCATTCAATGAAGATTTCTTGAAGGCCATGATGGACATGAACCTTGACGGAGGTGGCAGTGAAGGAGAGCTGGATTTCCTTCCTTTAATGCAGGGATTGATGGAAAACCTCCTGTCCAAGGAGGTTCTTTATCCTGCTTTGAAAGACTTACAAGATAAGGTGAGGCAAGCAGTATTGTACAATTAGTGTGATCTGGAGAGATTATGGCTCAAAACTGCACTAAGCTTTACTTGCTTTCAGACACCAAACATAACATGTCCTTTGACATGTACAGAACTGGAACGGGAACAGTTGTGGGGAGAACTCCAGGCAGAGGGTGGGAGTATTGCTATAATGGCCTTTAGGGGAGGCTCCACCCAAAAGGGGTATCTTTTTCAGGCTTCTTGTATATGAAAGGGTAGGGATTTCACTTGTCGAAGTATATAAAAGGGTAGGGAAATCAGTCATTCCGGTCTGTAAAGAGGACCAAAAGGGCTAACAGATGCATGGCTGTGAAAAAATTGAGAAAATGTGCTTGTTTTAAGACTTATTCAGTGCCTTTCAGAGCAGTTTAAAGGGATGCAAAGTTCTCAACTACGTGTGGGAAAAGGTCAGGGCCTCACCATATAAAACTTCAAGGAGTACACCCCCCCCCCCCCCTTCTCTTCTGAGGGATGTTGTATGAGAGCACAGTGAATGGCTGCATAGGAGACTAACATGTTGGCAGTAACATGTTAGTCATGTTAACCCTTTAAGTACCAATAGTGACCAACATCAATTTTCTGCTAACAAAATCCATACATTGTCAAGAGATTAGGTTATGAGAATTAATAAAATGATCGCAAAGAGAAAATCCTTGACCTTTTCATCAAATTCTCTCAACTAATTCTTTAAGGAAATGTATAGAGATCGGTCAGGAGAATTTGTATGTGGATACTGGGGCTTAAAGGGTAAACATGGACTAACATGTTTTAGTAAAATCCAACTAGTGGTCTATTATCATTGCTGCAGTCTGATTGGTTAAGCTACTACTAGGCTATATGTTATAGCCCGCCAGTAGCAATAAGCACCGGCTTTTTGGCGGCAAAAAAGGATGAAAGTCTAGCTTTAACTAGCTAAAGTTGTTTTGTCTCAATATTTTTTGACCAACTAGTTGGATTTTACTAAAACAGTAAATTCCTCTCACCCTCATGGTCTCTGAGTCAATAGCCCATTCGGCCTTTGGCCTCATTGACTCAGAGCAATAACTGTTAACCCTTTAAGTCCCAATAGTGACCAACAGCAATTTTCTCCTAACGATATCCATACATTATTATGAGATGAGGTTATGAGTTATTAAATGACCACCTAAGAGAAAATACTTTGACCCTTTATCAAATTCTCTCAACTCATTCTTTAGGGAAATATATAGAGATCAGTTTGGAGAACTTGTATGTGGATACTGGGGCTTAAAGGGTTAAATACAGTCAAACCCTGTAAATACAGACACTGATGGGGTCATAGAAAGGTCCGTGGTTAACTAGGTGTCCGTTTTAACCGGGTCATGTTATTTTAAGTCAAAAAACACCTTTTTATATTAAAAAAAAATACTAAAGAAATAAAAGAGGACATTAGCATCATCAAATTAAACATCTCTAACCTTCACGAAGGCGTCATTCTGTGAATAAAATCCCTGGAAACACTAAAAGAAGTCGCTCGTTAACTAAAATCAATCAAGATTGTTCTTTGCGTAACTAGTTTGATGCCAAAATAATCTGAATTTGACATCTACAAATCATCCTATCTGGTGTACTGAAGCACTGGGAACATTGACATGCTGTCAACTGCAGGGTTTTTTACCTTGAAAAAGGGAAGGTTTGTTAGAACACACAGTTGATAATAAAGTGTCTGCATAAGTGAGATTCACTTTCCATATGAATGTGTTCGTTGGGCAAGAAACAAGTGTCTGTCGTCCACATTAACGGGTGTCTGTATGAAGCAGGTTGAATTTAGAGAAAGTGTATGGTCTTTCCCCAGGGACAAAGCAAATTGTCCGTAATAACCAGGTGTCTGTATTAATCCTTTAAGTCTCAATAGTGACCCACATCAATTTTCTCCTAACAATATCCATATGTTGCCAAGAGGAATGGTTCTGAGAGTTAATAAAATGATCACTTAAGAGAAAATGCTTTGATCTACTATCACACTCTCTTAACTAATTCTTTAAAGAAATGTATGAAGATCGGTATGGAGAATTTATATGTGGACATTGGGGCTTAAAGGGTTAAGTGGGTGTCCATAAAGCAGGGTTCAACTGTTATTATAAAATTCTTGGCCAGACATGTAACTACATTGTAATGTCAAGGTAGACTCAACATTACAGTAATTATGTCAAAACTGTGATAGAATATTTTTGTACATAAATCTTCATCTTTTTCCTTACTTTTCTTTATTACTATCAGTACCCAACTTGGCTGGAAGAAAAAAGATCTTCCTTGGGTGCAGAAGAATTAAGCCGATATGAAAGACAACTTAGTTTGGTCTCAGAGGTTTGTTCAGAATATGAGGCTGAGAGGTCAAGTGACTCTGATGAGATCAAGAAAAAACGATTTGAAAAACTCTTGGGCCTTATGCAGAAGGTGAGTCACATACAGTCAAACCTCCATGTGCAACCACTTGTAGTAGGCGATCAGGCGATCAACAGTAATACAACACACCAAAATTTTCTCATGAAAATCGGAACCTCTCGTAAACAAACACTTCTTGTTAGTGAACTCATCCTCGGTTTAATAATTTTCGATTGTTTTCAATCTCAACCACTCGCGACCACTTGACGAATGGTTTGTTCTACATGTTCACTTTATAATTATGTGCTATGCTCTGTTAAGCCGTGTGCAAACGGCTGCAACATTGTTGGCCAACAGCTCCCAGCATTGTTGTATGTTCCATGTTGCATCCCGTTTGCCCACCCTGATTGCGCAAAGTTTGAAACTGGTCAACCTTTTAGCCCCGTGCAAACATATGCAACATTGTTGGGAGTTGTTGCGTGCATTTGCAAGTAGCTTTAGATAGCTGAACTTTTAGTGACAACATGGAAGTACACATATCGTGCCAACCTCGTCCCCAGGGGGCTTTTCCCTGGCTTTGGCCCCACCTCCAAATCCAGGGAAAAGCCCCCTGGGGGCGAGGTTGATATCGTACCGTACTGTAGATATAGCATGCATTACATTATCTACCATAAAGATGATATATCCTGATCTTTTCTTGGAAGAGATCCCCTGTTGTTCGATTCTTGTGAAAGACCACCTCTCTTAAGTAACCAATAAGTCTTCGCAGTTTGGGTGGTAGCTTGAGGGAGACTCAACCTAAATAGCCAGCTATGCCTGTGAAGAGGGTATTATTTTTCTCTAGTGAAAATTTGAGGTCCTAAACTTCTTACATCTGATCAGATTCTCTAGCTGCTGCCTGCTCAATTTTTGTTGAATACCTTTGTTAGTAATGAATATTCGATTGACCAAAAATAACATCCGTTCACCACCAGCTTTGCACTCACAGGTTAGTTGCACTAAGTCCTTACAAAGTCCTCCTTGGAGATTTTCCCTTGGAATCAGCCACACTCAGATTCTAAACAAGAAGTCTTGGAGACAAGTTGGCCTCTTTTACATCATGATAGCCTACATAGCCGGCGCTTGGGAGTAATGGGCGCAAGAAAGAACGGGGCGCGCGAGGGAGACACGCGAGGGGAGAGGGAGCTCCCTCTCCCCTTGCGTGTCTCTCTCGCGAGGGAACCGTTCTTTCCTGCACCCATTACTTCCAAGCAGCGCCGGCTACGCAGGCTAACATTATGAAAATTTGTAATTTTTATCTGTTTTCAATGTTACATCATTTAGATGCAAGAATGCGGACAGCCGCCATCAGAACTGGTTGGAGAAATGGTAAGATGACATTTTTTTTTTTTTTTGGCGATATGTTTTAGTTAGAGTTGATGTTTTTAATTTTGGCTTAGGGGAGGGGTAGGTTAATTGAAGACGTTGGACACAGCTTGCAAAAAGCATGTACAACAACATTTAAGTCACATTATTATCCCCAAAGCTATTCTGGATAGATGCGCTTTGGAAGCATGTGAGGCCATTTCAAAAGCCTATGTTTCCACCTGTCCACATCAAAAACGACGCGTTTTCAACGAACTCCACTTTTGAAACCGTTTTGGAAAGTTTTCTTTTTTATCAGTGTTTTCGGGCGTTTTAGTGTGGATGATAAACGAAAACGCATCAAACCTTTGCAGCTTCAACCGAAAACGCATTAGTGTGGATGGCGCCTCAGACAACGAGTTGTCCCTCAGTTTCCTTGGCAATAGTAGAACAAGCGAATTACGCGTGCGCGTGTGAAGAACGCTACCCGCGAGGAAAGGTGACACGCGCGCGGAGGGAAGGAGGAAGGCGGGTGACGTTAAGTCCTTGGCCTTGTTTTCTCCATCCTTACTTATTAATTGGAAGGAGAGGTAAATGAAACACTTTGCTCTTCGAAAAGAGGAGTAGACGTAGACTCTGGTGGTGTTGTCTATCTCTCATCGGGAGAGGGGAGTGTCACAGGCTTGATGCTTTTGCGGTGGCTGAAAGCTAGAAATTGCGAATGTGTTAAACAACAAAAGCAATTGTTGAACACACAGAAAACGCACCCAAAAGGAGGGTCTACTGGTAAACTATGTTGTGTTGTGTTCAAAAACTGACACAACATTTTTCGAGGTTGTACTGTGTGCACTATTGCACCCTGCGAGCCAGAGCTCATCTTTTGTCTTCTTCTTGAGGAGAAAATGAGACTCTGCGTAAGTTGCGTCAAGCCTATGAAGTCATAGTCTTCTTCGCAGCCGTTATTAGGGGAATATAAGGAGCGTTGCGTGACAACCCTAGAATAGCCTGCAAAGGAGACTATTGAAGTCGAAGCAGACCAAACCTCTGGACTGTGAACATCCGTTAATTACTGACCCCGCTGTACCAAGCGCACGGCTTTTTTTAGGCCTGGGTTCGAAACTGTATCCTAGTAACATGCAACGCATGCGCCAAAGAAAGGCTCCGCTGGCTGGGTACACTTTTGTTATTCCTTTCCTCTTTGAGTCTCAATGTTTTATTCACTCCTTCCCCAGCCCCCAGGTTTTCTTGGTCCTCTTCCTGAGATGCCGGAACCGCCAGAAATGTCAGATGTACCTGATGAACTTAAAAATGAGTGCAAAGTGACGTAGCACTGAGTGTCGTATTCTCAGAATGTGACACAAATTCGATACAACCCGCGAGGGTCAATAACTACTGCACGCAGTCTTGAAGCAATCCAATCTGGTGAAAATAAATGGTGGGCCGTCGCTCTAATAGGAAGATTTGACCGGTGCCACTGATGGATATGAACAATTATCAACTATGTATAATATACAAAAAAATGATGACTTTAAGGGATGTAGTGTTTGAGCTACAATAATACCGTATTTATTCGATTAACCGCCCTGGGCGCTTATTAAATTTTTGGACCTTGAGAGTGGGCGCTTATTCGAGGCTGGGCGCTCATTAAATTTTCACCACTTTCAGCAAGTGAAGTATGTTTATTTTGCAACAAAACAATAAATGCTAATAACAAAATGCGAAGAAGTAACAATGCAAGGTTTCTGTAAAATACTCTGAAGAAAACTCCGTCCTTGGGGAAGTCTCTTATTAGAATTTATTCACTCAAGTGGGTGGAGTGGGAGTGAGCGCTTATTTGAGTTTGATTGGGAGGAGGAGGGGGTGGGCGCTTATTAATTTTTTCTGCCTTTAGGATGGGCGCTTATTCGAGGTGGGCGCTTATTCGAATAAATACGGTATGCTCACTGAGCTCTGCAATAATAAACAATTATTGGATGAGGTTCTTGTGATATCCGGAATAATCAAGGTCGAGGTAAGTGTTATCAGTCGAACCGAAGGCTGAGGCTGATAACACTTACCGAGACCTTGATTATTTAGGATACCACAAAAACCGAGTCTAAAAATTGTTTTATTATACATTGTTTTGAAAAAAATAAAACCAAACACACCGTTGCAAGGAACCTGAATTGATATTGTTATTGGGAATCATGCATTGCGCGTGCGACCTACAGATTAGTTAGTTATAACCGGAGCGATTTATATCCTAGGGGAGCTTATAACCGGGATGAAAGAAAGTGCTTTGAAAAAAGCTATAGCAGTGCTGATTAAAATACGTTTTGCATTTACTGGTTTTTAAGTAATCCTTTAAACCCTAAGATGAAAATTTGAATTCTCATTATTTGCCCCTATTCATTTCCCACAGAAGTAGTAGGGAGAAGTTGATTAACTATCAAGCAGATTCAGCTTGTGTGATCATGTCCATAATTCTCATGACCACGCTGTTTTACAAAATATTGATATTACACTCAGAAATTTGATGCTGATCACTCTTGAGGCTTAAAAGTTAAAATTCAGAAAAAATCGAATTCTTTGGCACTCGTTTACAATACAAGCTAGAGGGGGGCTCATAATTGGGTGTGTGTACGGGAAGCGCATTAAAATTAATAGACTGAGAAAAAACCTCATGTACAGTCTGTTCGCTTGAAACTTGGGGAACCAAAACTCGTTTGGGGCGGGGTTGTTGTTCTCAAGACTGGGTGTACGCCACTTGAGACCGCGGAGGAAACTGGGTCGAGATGACTTACGCAAAGACTTCTATGATCGTTGCTGGGGACGTGCCGGTCAGCTAATAGGCTGATTTAGCAACAGAACGGGGACGTCAGTTGACGACGGCGCGCGCAAATCAAACAACTGGCTTGACCAATTGGCCATTTCGGAGTTGCGTGAGGAACTGGGGCGAGTTTCAAATTTGAACTAATCGATAAACTGACACCACCATATAAAATGTCATGTTGAGATTGGTTATTTGACCAAGTTTGGTGCTCTAAGGTTAAACAAGGATCAAGTTGTGACTCTTGAAACATAGTTAAAGATCCATACAAACGTCTGTAATTTTGTGACAGCGTCCCCCAAAACCATATAGACTCTTAATTTTGACCAAAAGGATCGCAGTCTCTGCGAACAAGATTGGAAGCAAAAAAAAACCTAGAAGGAGGGTACGTTCGTAGGAATTGATTAAGAAGCAGGATATTGACTGATGAATGTCAGGACTACCAGTTTAACACTCGTGAATATTTTAGCAAGCAACAAGAAATCAATATTGGAAAAGGAATCCGTAAAATCAATTCTACATGTCTGGGGAAGACTTGAACATTTGTAACGAAGGCCGTCATTGGTGGTGTCACGAAACAGTCGTTAAAAAAAAGAGCCAAGAATTGCCTCTTATCCCGATACCATTGGGAAGCGCAGGTTATAAGGCCTTTGCCTTCTCAGGCTGCAGGGGGCATGCACTTTAAAAGTGGGGTGCTGAGAAGAAGTGAGAAGTGAAAAGCGAGAAGTCGTAGTGAGAGTCTAGTGAGGCTACCTTCTCAACAGGCTTTCCCAAGACTAAGTGGGGATTGTGGAACTCGCGAGCACCCGAGACAAGCCAGAAGCGCGAGAGAGGGATGATGGAAAAGAGCTTTGCCTCCGCTTTCCTTACTAATCAACTCAAATGTCCCACTGTGATCGCGAGCGACTGGATACAAGGCAGGTAGTGAGGGATTATGAGGACAAGCGAGATCAAAAATAGCCCCCGTTTGACATATTAAAATCCTAACATGACTCCGAGGTTTACAATTTTTTTAAGGCTCCATTGTCGCACAATTGCCAAAAGCGACTTGAGCACGAAGAAAACCAAACCAAATATAGAAAAATGACCAGAAAGCCTTGGAGTCTTGTTAGAATTTTAATCTACCGAAGGTGGGCTATTCCCTTCACCCTCGCTTACCCTTGATGTAAAGTATCCCCAAATAAGCGATCGCGAGCGCCTGGGAACGAGGAAAAAGAAGACCAAACGAAAGTGAAGGTTTAGAAGAGGTGCAGACTGTATATACTGAGACAAACATCACAAGGATGGAGGAGATAAAACTTCCTGGAAATTTACGTTAGTTGACAACTCTCGACTTGCACTATATCTTACGCATTCAAGACACAGTCCCTTTTGGAACTAGCCTTTCATTTCTCAACACGAGTCTACTGCTTCGTTCCCTTGGAAGAAAGGGGAGAATGAATTAAATGGAACTTGGAAAAGGGCAAAGTGGAGGGAGCTTTAATTTCAACCTGAAAGTCACCCCATCTTCTCTCCAGTCCTGAGCAAACCTGTGACTGTTTGGGGAAACATTCCGTTTTTCAGTATGCAGAATCAAATAAACACTTGATTTCCGAGACCCACTAAGATCCTGGCAAAAAATATTCACAACTTTTTGTTGTTCTGATTGAATCGAGATACGTAGACCCACAGGCTCCTATAAAACTTTTGAGGTGCAGATTACCAAGGGAGTTAAAAAGGGAGTTGCTCATAAAAAGGTACTGGAGGGTTTCAACCAAAAAACAACACAGTGTTTCCATGAAATATTATTGTCCTTTAATGTTCAACCTTTTACAAACAGAAAATGGGCAATATCTACAGTCAAAATCCGGTTTAAGTCATACTACTGGATAACAATTTTGTCTTGTCTGAAGACCAAACGAAAAAGAAAAATCAAACTGAGTGAAAAACAAAAAAGAAAATCATCCTGAGTTGGTAAAATAATCTAAGGCCCATCAGGTTGAAGAGGACACACAAGGACTCGATGTCTCTCTAGGAGTCCTTCAGAGTCAGCTTGTCAAACTGGTATTCACCCAGTCCAGGACCAACACGCTTCAGGTTGGTGACATAATCAGAGAACTGTTTGATGGACTCCACCTGCTCCTCAAGGAAGTTCCCTTCAATGAAGTCCATCATCTGCCCGAAAAATAAGAGAGAGGACCGTTGAAGACAGAAAGATAGAAGACAAGTGTTATGTATGTGGTAGGACTCAAGCATAGGGACGCTAATGGATGTACGTAGACATGTGGTATGTTACATTGCCATTTTTGAGTCTGCTATATCACAGCAGGTACTTAGTCAGGGCTAGAAAAAAAAATTTTGAAGCCCATCTTGTCCTTTAATCAAGTAGTTCTCACATTTTGTTTGACCAGGGCCACTTGACAAATATTAGCTAATGATTTTGTTAGAGGATGACTGGCCTAGACAATTTACCATTGTGCATGCAAGCTTTAAAGTAACTTGCCCAGCACAAAAATCTACTTGTTACAGACTAACAGATGGGATTTTTTCGAGCCCTGTTGATAACATTTCAGGAGCATCAAAGACACAGCAAGCATTACTAGGCAGCAAAGGAAATCCATAGAAAGCAGCTACAATGACATTAGCATAATATGCCTACATGACAAAACATCAACAAGGAGAATTACACATGCAGTATTCTTTGAAGATACATTGTCACCGCTTCTACATCTTTCAATACAAGCCTAATTTTTCAAGTCTGTCATTTGTAATCCATGTTTATCTCCTTCATCCTAATAGGCCATGTGAAATCGTTTATGAAAGTTATACGATTTTGCCTTCAAAAAATGATTAGTGGGTCATATCTTTAACAAAATAATAGTGATTTGGTTTTTCAAACCTGCACCATTTTCTTAAAATGAGTAAGTTTTTAGCTGGTCACGTGACCAAAATGTGATTTTTAAAATTATGAATTACCTCTCTCTGAACACAAATTTTGCACTTAAACTTCAAGGTAAGTGTTGAAAAGATGATATGGTAACGTTTAAAACACATCTGAGCATAACTATCGAACGTTTAACAAGAAATAAGCAAAAAGTAGTTTTGGCCACTATGTTGGAGGGCAAGAGTATGCCCTCCAACATGGTTGCCAATACAAATCATACTACTTAGTTGAAAAATCAAAGTGCCATTAAATATCTCCCAATATCTCTCAAATTTCGGGTGTAAAATAATTTTTTTGTGCTCTGTCAATATTACTTTTGGCATCAGCAAGACTTCAACACATTGTTTAAAGGAAGCATTGGTCACGTGACCTCTTAGTGCAAGTGGCCTATTCATCTGTATTTCATTTATGGTTTACCTAACTTTCCTACCATTTTCTGAAGGTATTCTTCCATTCAACACACAATATTTATGGCTAGCCCCCACCCCCACACACTTTCCACCAACTCCAGTATATCGGCAGAAAAATAAAGCTTGTGGCAAAGATCGAGAAATATGAGAATGTGCAAAACAAACCCAGCCTCGCAAGTCATGTCACATCCAGTTTATTTAAAGCATTCAACAAAACAAGCACAAGGCAAGTCATTACATGAGTGTTACAATATAGAATGCTAGTCTTTCAGTCATTTTGATACTGGTGAAAATTAAGACTTAAATTCACAAACAAGAACTTTTTGGATTGTCTGCGTATGATGCAGTTTCTCACAAACAATTATTTACCCCCAGAATGTTTATTCATAAATAGTGAAAAATAAAGTTTTAGTCAACCTTAAATATTGAAACAGAATTATTTTTAAAAAAAACCCAGAAGTTAAATATCTTGGTAAAATGCAAAAAACAATAGTCATTGCTAAGATAATCTTGACTAATGTAAAGTGGTTTTGTCAAACATATGTTCTCCGAGTCCAGGCCCAACACGTTTTAGTTCTGTCACAAACTCTGAAAACTGCTTGATGGATTCAACCTGCTCACTCAAGAGGTCTTCAATCATATCTCCCATCTACAATGAAGAAATGCGTCCAAGATTCCTTTCATTAATTTTGCCAAACCACCCACTCTCCACAGGAGTTTGAGAACAAATTGACTTCCCAACCAATGAAAATAACTAATTCTTTTAAATGTGTGTTTTAGCAAGCAATGGAGTTGAGAATACATAAAGTTACATTAATTACATTCCTGTAAGGAATGACAGTGACACAGAAAGATGCTGAAAGTTTGAACCCAGCCTTTCGAAATAAGAATAGCAGTAATGCAAATTCAGCTCTAGTACAGCACAATGCACTTTGCAGCCGTTGCAGCAGGAAGTTTCTCTAAGTGCCCCCCCAATCATGGTGAAGATGTGTAATGTCAGCATACAATTTGTCACAATGGCCATCAAACAATTTAATTCCTCACAACATTTTACCATGAGACACACAACCTCCCTTGAAAAGCTTTGAGTAGAATAAAACTCACCTGGGGATCACCATTGGAGTCAGCAATCTTATGCAGATCAAGCAAGGCTTGGTTCACATGCTTCTCCAAATCCAAAGCAGCCTGGCATGCTTCCAGTCCACTTCCCCAATTCTGCTTGTCTGGCTTCTACAAAAGGTACATAAAACACATGAATCACATTCATCATTGATAATCAGAGGACACTTACTACAGTCATAATCCTGTTGTTAAAATTCTCTGCAGGGACAGATAATGATGTCCCGACATATTTCCTGTACAGCACTGTATTGCCCCCTTGCCCCACAAAGGCTACTTATTGGGTTGTTTTGTCAAGATTTACTACCACACTTTCCTCACCTTACTTCAAGTCAAACTTACAACTAATATCGTAAAGGATGCAATAGAAAATCACTCACAATTTTCACACAAGAGTTACACTATTTTATCGCACAATTTAATATGATGCGGCTTAATATAGCTCCTATTGTAATGTCACAGCCTAGAGGCGAGTGCGTGTACGTTTCATCTCGTATTCAGAAGGTGTTCGCTGATCCTTCACGCTCCCCACAGCACAAACAGTTCTCACAGTTACCGATAGACACGTCCACTTGTTAAAAATACAAACATTTGTGAAAACAGTAACAATGGGCCCACCCAAAAATCTTAGGGCTCAACACGCTGGTCCTATACTAAACTCCCTCCTCAAAATAGCAGGGAAACACACTGAAAAACCACAAAAGGAACGAACTACAAAAATCGTTTGCATATGCATTTGTACAATAAAAGCGACAGAAAGCCGACCTTCTCTCATGTAATGTTACACCCAGTGGAAAAGCTCTAGCACGTTCCAAAATTCCCGATTGTGTCAAATTTACGCTTACTTCGATTATCATAGACTTTGGCTTACGTAATAGTACAAAGATCATTTCGATTTCTTTTTTCACTCTCACCTTAACATCTTGCAACACAATGCGGCCTCCTCGTTCGTTCTGATACTTCATCAGCTACAAATTAAGTGATAGTGCGGATTAGTAAAACTACGGGGCCACACGACTTAGATGACATTTTGAAAATGATTTCACATCGCGATTAAGTTACCTTGCGAGCGTGTTCACGTTCCTCGTCCGATTGTTCCAGCATGAATTTGTGAAATCCTGGCAGGGCCACATCATCACGATCGAAGTGATAGGCCTAGAGCGAAAAACTCATAAACTTTAGACCACTTGAATCGAAAAATGACAGAGGGAAGAAAGCGAACCTACCATCGAAAGGTACACGTAGCTTGCATACAACTCAAGGTTGATCTGCTTGTTGATGCCAGCTTCGCAATCTTCATGATAATTCTGACGGCACAGAGACATTTTTCTTAGTTGAACAGTAGAAATCGGGGTGAAAAAGACACGTTAAAACTTAAAGTTTGCAAGGAAACTGCCTCGTTCAATCACTGTTGAAGCGAAACAATCCAAAATGGCGGTTCCTTAGAGAATCGAAGGTTTTAATTGCATAGTCACGTGATTCACGTGATTTCCTAATGTCAGGCGTTGATTGGTTCAGCTAACATTGTGTGATGTCGTCATTCACACGTGACTTGGACAAAAATGCTGATTCACATGATCACGCAATCTTTGCTAAAAATAACGTTGTAGTGGACGTGATGGCATGAAAATAAGCAAATACACTGGGTTTTTGTTTAAGAAGGATTCAAAATCGCTGAACCAGTGATATGATTTTAAAGACTTAGCACGTGTGGCTCATATTTTTTTATTTTTATGCATCACCATCCCAAATATTATAAAGTTCAACAGGCTTTCCTTATAAAAAAAGTTGACAGCCTGGTATGACGAAGATGACTGTTTGTGTACTGTATTGAGGCCAAAAAGGAATACACATCCCCCCCCCCTCAAAAAAAAGAAAGAAAACAATACGAACATATTATAACTGCTTATTATATGATGCTGGTGGTTTCCTTGTGATTATTTGATTTGACAACGTCAATCTCCTGCTCCCGCTCATAACTTCTCAAAATGTCCACACCAGGGAGCTTACACAATCTGTGTAACCGTTTCTAATTTTAAGCAAAGTACAAAGCTTTTTGAGAAAAATCCACTTTTCAGCATAAAACAACCGAATCTGACTATTCAATGTAAAATCAGGTGAAAAAATCGGCAAAAGGCAACTTTTAGGTTTTGTGATTAAAACACATTCGCCCCTGAGCCGCCCGTAACCGCCTGTGCGGATCCGCGTCGTTTCTACCGCTTGTGACGTCATCAGATGTAATAATCAGGGATAGCTTTGTTCCTTATAAAAAAGTTGATAGCCTGACATGACGAAGTAAAGAGGAAAAGTTGACTCGAACGATATCTGTTTGTGTCATGTATTGAGGTCAAAAAGGAATAGTGCAGCTTGTTTTAACATCAGCCCCCCCGCCCTAAAAAAAAGAAAGAAAACATTACGAATATACTGCTTATTATATGATGCTGGTGGTTTCCTTGTGATTATTTGATCTGACAACATCTATCTACTTATTTAAAGGGAAGTTATTGTCAATCTCCCGCTCATAACCTCCCAAAATATCCACAGCTGAGCAGAGGGCTTACACAATCTGTGTAACCGTTTCTAATTTCATTAAGCAAAGTACCAAGCTTTTTGAGAAAAATCCACTTTTCAGCATAAAATAACCGAATCTGACTATTTAATGTAAAGTCAGGTCAAAAAATCGGCAAAAGGCGACTTTTAGGTTTTTTGATTAACGGGGCATTCGCCCCCGCCCGTTACCGCGTCCTTGCTACCGCTTGTGACGTCATCAGTTTTAATAGTCAAGGATAACTTTGTCCGTTGGCTTGTGCAGAGTGAAGAAATCTTTCAAACCATACCAGAATGAGCACAATTCCGTCAAGGACACCGGATAAAACGGCAGAAAACCATGTAACAGTGACCCAAAAATTTCCATGAAAATCTTGTTCCATTACCGACCTACCTTTCCTTTCATTTAATCCTAAGATACTAAAATTTTTCCTCCAAACTTTTCCCACCAAAATGAAGCCTACCAAATGCCCAGCAAGAGAGAAAAATGAGGCAAGAAAAGCGAAAAAAGAGGGGAGGAGAGAGAGTGAAAAGTAAAAGTCAAGACTGCTGTGTCACTTTTAACCCAAAAACTCGAAATTTTGCATTCTGCGTATGCCCGAACTTCGCAAGCTAATATTTTGCATCTGGTTTAGAAGGCCGTGAAGTTTACGACCTGTATGCGGCCTGACACGTGGAGATGAGTGAACTAGACAACAAGGCTGACCTGTTACCAGTGTTACGTCCAACGTAAAGTTTCAGCAGGCAACAGCCCCCTTACTGTTTGTACTGTCCCCTTCGGTCGAAAACTATCCCCTCTTCGGGCCTCTTTGCACGGAGGTGGGGGACCCCAGGTAGGTGAGGTAACCCGCTTAGGTGGGGTCACCTGCCTGTCCATATACGGCTCTCATATAGCTACCCGACGTATCATGTAAACTTAAAAAAATTAAAACGAGATATTGTTACCCCAGCAAAGCAGGTTACCTAAACTACCTCACAACCTAAGGTCCCCCACCTCAATGTAAACAGTCCCTTAATTGAGTTAAAAATATCTTGTACGGTTCTTGGTAGGTGTATCACGAAACTTTTCCGGACGTCTATTAATGAAAAACAAATCGGGTGAGGTTTTGTATTTAAGACTCAAGTACTGGGGGCAAATTTTATCCCGCAAAAATTTCACACTACAGAGTAACCGTTTCGAGAGCACAGTTGGAGCGTGAAAACACGAGAGTTATAAGGGGGAGGGGGAAGGTACAGTCGGCGACTGCGCTCGCCATGTGTGGACCTTAAGCTACTTGCAGCAATGTTGGGCCTATAATAACAGGGTTCGTACAGTTCATGGAAAACCTGGAAAGTCATAGAATTTAAGAATTTCATTTTCAAGGCCTGGAAAGTCATGGAATTTAACTGTCGGTCCTTAAATTGGCGTTGTTGCGTCCGTTTCCCCGTTTTGGTGGTGGTGTTGAAACGGATGCGACAACTCCCACCAACTCGCAACAATATGCAACAGGGTGTGCAAACGGACGCAACATGTAACATTCAACAATGTTGCCTTCGTTTGCACAGGGCTTTATATTTAAATTGACGGCCTGGAAAAGAGTTGGTGCTTGGCTTTCATGCAACTTGCAACCCACACAAGTCAAGGAACAAATAAAAAAGTCAATTATGTCTGTTATGCCTCAGATTGCTTCGGAGACATTTATTGATCAAAAAGAGAACAGGAAAGTTACATTTGATCTGATTTGACTATGACGGATATTAAAAACAATCACAAACTAATCACTTCACCCTTGCTAATCAATAAATAATAGGGCCATTTATACGAGGAAAAATAAGACGCGTCTTAGCTAAGACGAGGAAAACTTCGTATAACTGACCTTCGCGTCTTACATAAGACGCGAACGCATAGTACGCATGTGTTAATTTTTGGCGGGAAAATTATCGCTTGCCCCGCGGTGGACTGGCAGGCAACTGGCGGGGAAAAATTGTTTACAAATTACAACGCGTTTTCGTTTTCTTGTCTATTTTGCTTTATTTTTTTCTTCGCTCAAATGCAATGAGCTCGCCGTTAAAGGTAAAAAGAAACACTTGGTCCATCTTGTGGAAGATAACAATAACAATAATACTACTTTTCGTTTTAAAATAAATTTGTCACAAAAGGAATGAAGTATCATGAGCTAAATTCAAAACTAGAGTATAAAATGTTTCAAAAGTAGTTAAACAATAACAAAAAGATAAAAATTGTAAAAAAGACGAAAACTTAAGCCCAGTTTTAATATCTCAGGAAAATCCTAGACGATCGGGGATTTTACTAATGCCGGAACGTTCGAGATTTTACCGCTTTGTCAGTAAAATTTTTAAAATTCTGGCACTATTCTAACCTAGAAATTCTCAATGTTCCAAAAACATTCAAGACCCACTCCAGTACAAAATTCTAATTCAAGTAGTCGTTAAGACTATTCCGTGCTGTTGCCTTTAAGAGTTACTTTATCAAATTGGTATTCACCAAGAGCGTAGTTATCCTTGCTAAGCCGTGTGAGGGTGTTAACGAAGTTTGATAGCTCTTTGATACTTTCAACCTGCCCTTCAAGGAATTCTGATTCCAAAAAGCCTTGCAACTGTGAAGAAAAAACAGTTATGTCACCTTATTGACTGGTGAAGTAGGATTGAGCTATTTAATACCCGTACCCCCATTCTCCCCCTCCCGGTTGAGGAATCATAGAATTCTTCAGGGGTAAGTTATAAAAACTAAGGATCTTCTAGTAGTAGAGTAAAAAAATATGGAATTCTTTGTGGAGCTTTAATTTACACGAATTCGTTCAGGAGTAGACCTATATTCTTCAGGGGTAAATTCATATTTTATGGAAGTCTTCAGGGTACATACAATTTTATTTAATCTTCAGGGGTAAGAAGAAAAGGTTGGCCCTCAACCGGGAGGGAGGGTACGGATATTAAATGCAATAGCCCATTTCAGAATGAGCAGTCTCTTAAGTCCCGTCCACACTAATGTGCTTTCGTATGACAACCCATATATTTCGATGCGTTTAGGCATTCTGTCCACACGCTGAGCGTTTTCATCGAAAACGCATCTAACTGAAAATGCTCTTGAAAATGGATCGAAACGAAAACACATACATATCATAACGGTGTGGACGATAGAGAACGCATCAAGATGAAAAAGATGACCGAAAATATCGCAGGCGCGTGTTTGCACATAGAGTTCAACTTACATCATAACGCACAATTCTATCTTTCTGGAACGTTTTGGTGTGGACAGTCGAAAACGCATTAGAACGTTAGTGTGAACGCGAATTGATTGATGCGTTTCTGATGACAAGGAAAATGCATACTTTTGAAAACGCATTGGTGTAGAGAGGGCCTTTTCACAATGCCCTCAATATACCTTGTTTACCATAACCATTGCTTCCAATTTCTCCTGGGTATTACAGTCTTCCAAGGACAACGCTTATGCAAAATTTTGAGGGATAAACAAGGTGCATTATGGGCAATGTGATAATGATGAATTAACTGAATATTGTGCGAAGTCAAGAGAAAGCAGAAAAAGGAGAGCTTATTTTTTAGCTCGATATCGCCAAGAGATAATCAAACAATAAACCGTGGGAAACTCACAAATAGATTGCTTAAATTTGGCAAGTTATTGCACGAAAGTTAGAGCGGGAGCAAAAAAAGAAAAGATGTAAAGGCGGAGGGGAGAAGGGTTTCCATATCAAAGGCTGAGCACCTACCTTGGTTTTGAAACAGAGGCCCGGGGAAACTCAGAAATGGCCTATTTGAAACCCTTGCAGCAGGAAGTTTCCGTAACCCCCAATCATGGTATAGATGTGCGACTAAGCAACCACAAATTAGCCATAGAGACGGGACGTTATTCGAGACCGTTTAAGAAACCTGAAGAAAGAATTTGCCTAATCTTTAAAATAGAAGTGGAGGACGAATACCATTTTCTAAATATATGCCTTGCTTAACAGGAAAAAAGATGATCGTTACTAGATTATTTGGAAAAAGAATATAGAATAAAAATAAGCAGAATGTCACCTAACAAAATATTTATGTTTCTAATAAACCCCACTAGCGGATATGCTAAAATACAAAAACTAATAGCAAAACATGTAATCGAATGCTTTGAAAAAAGGAAAGGGGAAGACGGTAAAAAGTAAATACTCTAGCCATATTAGCCATATTTGGTTAGAAATTTTTGTTGTTAGTAATTTTAGTTATTTGGAAATAGTTGATATACTATTTATTGTATAAGACTCCAAACAAAAAACATGTATGTATGTATGTGTAGTGTCCGCATACAATTTGTCCCAATGGCCATCAAACAATTTAATTCCTCACAACATTTTACCACGAGAAATACAACCTCACTTGAAGAGCTTTGTGTAGCATAAAACTCACCTGGGGATCACCATTAGAGTCGGCAATCTTATGCAGATCAAGCAAGGCTTGGTTCACATGCTTCTCCAAATCCAAAGCAGCCTGGCACGCTTCCAGTCCACTTCCCCATTTATCCTTTTCTGGCTTCTACAAAAGGTAATACGACACATGAAACACATTCACCACTGATAATCAGAAGACACTAACTACAGTCATAACCCTGTTGTTAAAATTCTCTGCGGGGATAGACAATAGTGTCTGTCCTGTACAGCACTGTACTACCCTCTGCCCCTGCCCCCTGCCCCTGCCCCTGCCCCCTGCCCCTGCCCCCAAACGCTACTTATTGGGTTGTTTTGCCAAGATTTACTACCAAGCTCTTCCTGACTTTCTTCTCCCGGCAAGGAACTCGAACTTACAACTAATAACAAAGAGGATGTAAAAGAGAATCACCCAGAATTTTTACACATGAAACAGTCACACAATTTCATCGCAAAAATTAAAATGATGGGGCTTAGATAAAGCTCTTATTTGTACTGTCACAGCCCACTCAGTCTGAGGCGAGTGCGTGTACGTTTCATCTCGCATTCAGAAGGTGTTCGCTGACCCTTCAAGCTCCCCAGAGAACAAACATTTCTAACAGTTATCGATAGAAAAACCAAAAAAACGAACGATCTACAAAAATTGTTTACATATGAATTTGCACAGTAACAGCGAGAGAAAGGCGACCTCCTCTCATGTAATGTTACACCCAGTTGAAAAGCTCTGGCACTTTCCAAAATTGCCGATTGTGTCAAATTCGATTTTTTTCACCCTTACCTTGATATCTTGCAACACAATGCGGCCTCCTCGTTCATTCTGGTATTTCATCAGCTACAAATTGAGCGATAGTGCGGATTAGTTAAACTACGGGGCCACACGACTTAGATGACATTTTGAAAATGATTTAACATCGCGATTAAGTTACCTTGCGAGCGTGTTCACGTTCCTCGTCCGATTGTTTCAGCATGAATTTCTGAAATCCTGGCAGGGCCACATCATCACGATCGAAGTGATAGGCCTAGAGCGAAAAAACACATAAACTTTAGACCACCTGTATCGAAAAATGACGGCGGGAAGAAAGCGAACCTACCATCGACAAGTACACGTAGCTTGCATACAACTCAAGGTTGATCTGCTTGTTAATGCCAGCTTCGCACTCTTCATGATAATTCTGACGGCACAGAGACATTTTTCTTAGTTGAAACGTAGAAATTGGGGTGAAAAATACACTTTAACAGCTTTAAGACTTAAATTTTGCAAGGAAACTGCCTCGCAATCAATGTTAAAGCGAAACACTCCAAAATGGATTATAAAACAATCAGAATTAAATATACACTGGGTGTTTGTTTAAGAAGGATTAAATATCGCTGAATCAGTGTTATTATTTTAAAGACTTAGCACGTGTGGCTCATATTTTTCGATTTTTATGCATCACCATCCCAAATATTATAAAGCTCAACAGGTATTCCTTATAGAAAAGTTGATAGCCTGGCATGACGAAGTAAAGAGGAAAAGATAACTCGCACGATATCTGTTTGTATCATGTATTGAGGCCAAAAAGGAATAGTGCAGCTTGTTTTCACCCCAGCCCCCTAAAAAAAAGAAAGAAAACATTACGAATATGCTGCTCATTATATGATGCTGGTGGTTTCCTTGTGATTATTTGATCTGACAACATCTATCTACTTATTTAAAGGGAAGTTATTGTCAATCTCCTGCTCATAACCTCCCAAAATATCCACAGCTGAGCAGGGGGCTTACTAGCCTCCCCGCAGACGTCCTTTGGGGTTCGTTTGTCACGCAAGAGAAGAGAGAGAAATGAATGCGTGACAAACGAACCCCAAAGGACGTCTGCGGGGAGGCTAGGGGCTTACACAATCTGTGTGACCATTTGTAATTTCATTCAGCAAAGTACCAAGCTTTTTGAGAAAAATCCACTTTTCAGCATAAAACAACCGAATGTGACTATTCAATGTAAAATCAGGTGAAAAAATCGGCAAAAGGCGACTTTTAGGTTTTTTGATTAAAGGGGCATTCGCCCCCGCCCGTAACCGCGTCCTTGCTACCGCTTGTGACGTCATCAGTTTTACTAATCAAGGATAACTTTGTCCGTTAACTTGTGCAGAGCGAAGAAATCTTTCAAACCATACCAGAATGAGCACAATTCCGTCAAGCACACTGGATAAAACAGCAAAAGACCATGTAACAGTGACCCGAAAATTTCCATGAAAATCTTGTTCCATTACCCACCTACCTTTCCTTTCATTTAATCCTAAGATACTAAAATGTTTCCTCCAAACTTTTCCCACCAAAATGAAGCCTACCAAATGCTCAGCAAGAGAGAAAAATGAGGCAAGAAAAGCGAAAACAGAGGGGAGGAGAGAGAGAGTGAAAAGTAAAAGTCAAGACTGCTGTGTCACTTGTAAACCCAAAAACTCGAAATTTTGCTTTCTGCGTATGCCCGAACTTTTGCATCTGGTTTAGAAATCCGTGAAGTTTACGACCTGTATGCGGCCTGACCCATGAAGATGAGTGAACTAGACAACAAGGCTGACCTGTTACGTCCAACGTAAAGTTTCTGCGGGCAACAGGCCCCATACTGTTTGAACTGTCCTTCGGTCGAAAAACTATCCCCTCTTCGGGCCTCTTAGCATGGAGGTGGGGACCCCAGGTAGGTGAGGTAACACGCTTAGGTGGGGTCATCCGCCTGTCCATATAATCTCTCATATAGCTACCCCACGTATCTTGTAAACGTAAAAAAATTAAAACGAGATATTTGAGTATGGACAGGTGGGTTACCCCAACAAAGCAGGTTACCTCACCTACCTAAGGTCACCCACCTCCTGATGTAAACAGTCCCTTAATTGAGTTAAAAATATCTTGTACGGTTCCTGGTAGGTGTATCATGAAACGTTTTCGAAAGTTTATTAATGAAAAACAAATCGGGTAAGGTTGGATTTAAGACTCAAGTACTGGGGGCAAATTTTATCCCGCAAAAATTTTACACTACAGAGTAACCGTTTCGAGAGCACAGTTGGATCGTGAAAACACGAGAGCTAGGGGGAGGGGAAAGGTACAGCCGGCGACTGCGCACGAAGTGTGTAGACCTTAAGCTACTTGCAACAATGTTGGGCCTATAATAATACAGGGTTCGTACAGGTCATGGAAAACCTTGAAAGTCATGGAATTTCATTTTCGGTTCTCAAAGGCGCGGCTGCCATTTTTGAGTGCGCATATTTATTTATATATCACGCTGTCTTGAATAAAAACTGATCGCCGTATTTAAGTTGCCCTCCTGAAAGGCTCGTGCCTTGAAAGTCATGGAAAATTAAAGTTTCGTTTGGTAGTTTAGACATTGCAGATAACAGAGCAGGGACAATTTATGCACCTATCAATGTAATGCCGGCGGGGGAGTAGGCATGGCAAGGGGTGGGAATTTGACTTTTTGCAAAAATTTACAATCAAATTCCCTGCCCACGGGCAAGTCATTCCAGTCAAATGCAACCAAATTTCCCTACCCCAGGCTGCACATTGCTGTCAATCCCAAGGCAGAATCCAAGAAAAGCACGATAAAAATATTTCCAAATAAAACTCTGCAATCTTTTTTAAACGTTGCTGCATCACCAAAGATACATGTTCCGGTTACAGCTGCAATTATATGTTTTAACCATAATCCGTGTTACACTGCGTAGAATACATAAACCTTTAGAGAAAGTCCACATTTTGTAAGTTTAAATATACCGTTCTTAGTAAAGGGTACAATGAAAGTCAGTTTTATAAGTTTACAGTGATTGTAGCGAATGAGCCATACACTAATCAATTGTACTTGCAAAAATCGACTTGGTTTCTCTTTACTTCCGTTTACTTTGATACCACAGTATTTTAAGAGGTTCAACTGATAAAAAACACGCTAAAACAAACAAAATTTGAAGACAAAACAGTGAAATCCATTCAGCCTTCGCTTGTTCTCATTTGCCTGCATGACTTCCTGATCTTTTCAAACCGTATGGCGCATGCTTGAAGCGTGGAATCGGGAAACACATGTTCGGTCTCAGTCTTTTTCGTCTGAGTCGGCAGTCAAATATCTTCACGTCGGGCGAAGAAAGATTCAAATGTCCCCTCCCCTGGGAGAACAAGATCAGTCAAATGCCCTACCCCAGGGCCAACAAAGACAATCAAATCCCCACCCCATGCCCTGCTCCCCCCCCCGCCCCTTTCACCGGCTTTACATTGATAGGTGCATTAAGATAGAGAGGAGTAATGAAAGAGCGCAAACGGCACGCATTTTGGTGGACGCCTGAGTTTGTGTCTGTTGAACTGTTTAAGGTCAAAAAATACCCCCAAACAACGAAAATTGTGAACATTTTTAAAAGTGACCACTAAACCCAAGGTCTGGGAAAACTTAAAAAGGTCATGGAAAAAGTCACGGAATTTGAAGAGCTCAAACGAGTACGAACCCTGAATAATCGGCATTGTTGCGTCCGTTTTGGCAGTGCTGTTCAAACGGACTGGGATGCGACAACTCCTACCAACTCGCAACAACATGTAACAGGGTGTGCAAACTGGACGCAACAAGTAACATTCAACAATGTTGCCTTCGTTTGCACAGGGCTTTATATTTAAATTAACGGCCTGGTAAAGAGTTGGTTCTTGTCTTTCATGCACCATGCGATCCACACAAGTCAAGGAACAAATAAAAAAGTCCATTATGTCTATCATGCCTCAGATTGCTTCGGAGACATTTATTGTTCAAAAAGTGAACAGGAAAGTTACATTTGATCTGATTCGACTATACCGGATATTAAAAACAATCACAAAATAATCACTTCACCCTTGCTAATCAATAAATAATAAGGCCATTCATACGAGGAAAAATAAGACGCGTCTTAGCTAAGACGAGGAAAACTTCGTATAACTGACCTTCGCGTCTTACATAAGACGCGAACGCATAGTACGCATGTGTTAATTTTTGACGGGAAAATTATCGCTTGCCCCGCGGTGGACTAGCAGGCCACTGGCGGGGAAAAATTGTTTACAAATTACAACGCGTTTTCGTTTCCTTGTCTATTCTGCTTAATTTTTTTCTTCGCTCAAATACAATGAGCTGGACGTTAAAGGTAAAAAGAAACACTTGCTCCATCGCGGAGGAGAAAGATTTTTTGTTATTATGTAAGGAGAAGGCGATAACAGACCTCCGGGACAAATGCGTGACATCTGCTGGTGTAAGTAGACCTATCACAATTTATATTTACTAATCAAATTGCTATCTTCGTATTATAAACTTACACTTTAAAAGTAAGTTTAAGCATACAGAAGACTTAGATAAGACATGCTGGTATAAATGGTCCAGTTCGCGTCTTACGTAAGACGCGTCTTATTTTTCCTCGTATAATGGCCATATTGTCTTGTGGAAGATAACAATAATACTACTTTTCGTTTTAAAATAAATTTGTCACAAAAAGAATGAAGTATCATGGGCTAAATTCAAAACTAGAGTATAAAATATTTCATAGGTAGTTAAACAATAACAAAAAGATAAAAATTGTAAAAAAGAGGAAAACTTAACCCTAGTTTTAATATCTCAGGAACATGCTAGACGATCGCGGATTTTACTAATTCCAGAACGTTCGAGATTTTACCGCTTTGTCAGAAAAATTCTTAAAATTCTGGCATTATTCTAACCTAGAAATTCTCAATGTCCCAGAAACATTCAAGACCTATTCCAGTACAAAATTCTAATTAAAGTAGGCGTTAAGTCTATTCCTTACTGTCGCCTTTAAGAGTTACTTTATCAAACTGGTATTCACCAAGAGCGTAGTTATCCTTGCTAAGCCGTGTGAGGGTGTTGACGAAGTTTGATAGCTCTTTGATACTTTTAACCTGCTCTTCAAGGAATTCTGATTCCAAAAAGTCTTGCAACTGTGAAGAAAAAACAGTTATGCCACCTTATTGACTGGTGAACTAGGATTGAGCTATTTAATACCCGTAGTGTGAACGCAAATTGATTGATGAGTTTTTGATGACAAGGAAAATGCATACTTTTGAAAACGCGTTGGTGTGGACAGGGCCTTTTCACAATTGATCACTCCAGGAAATACCATAACATACCATAATGCTCTTTGTTTGTCACCCCAAAATTTTGCATAAGCATTGTCTTCAGTTTCTCTTGGGAGTTAAAATGGCCCTAAGAGAAACTGAAAACAATGCTTATTGCAAAAATTTGGGGTGACAAACAAAGAGCTTTGTGGTATGTTATGGTATTTTCTGGAGTGGTCAATGCTCATAATATACCTTGTTTACCATAACCGTTGCTTCCAATTTCTCCTGAGGATTACAGTCGTTCCAAGAGAAAGTAAAACAATGCTTATGCAAAATTTTGAGGGATAAACAAGGTGCATCATGGGCAGTATGATAATGGTGAGTTAACTGAATAAAGTGCGAAGTCACGCGAAAGCAGAGAAAGGACAGCTCTTATTTTTTAGCTCGATATCGCCAAGAGATAATCAAGCAATAAACCGTGGGAAACTCACAAATAGATTGCTTAAATTTAGCAAGCATTTCCAATCGAGTTATTGTGCGAAAGTTAGAGCGGGAGAAAAAAAAGAAAAGATATAAAGGGTGAGGGGAGAAGCGTTTCCTTCTTTTCCCTCCCCCCTACCCTGTCATTCCTTTTTTTGCTCTCGTCCCAACTTTCTCGACGAACTCGCGCGGCAACACTTGGTACGCAGGTTAGAAATAAGAATGAGACAAATAGATGCTGAAAGTTTGAATGCAGCCCTTACAAATAAGAATGGGAAAAATGCAAATTAAGCTTTATTACAGCCAAAAGCAATAGGCACTTCCGAGTTCCAAAAACCCTCACTTTCAAAATGAGGCTAGGTGCACAACCTTTCTTGTGAAAATGAGTATTTTGACTCCACTACACAACATCAACAGACAAAACGTAAAGGCAGATAAGTATATTTTGGGACCGCTTGGCGAGAAACAACCCTAAAAAGTACTTATGTAAATACAATAATAGGTGATTACTATTGAATAGGTAATGTACAACACTCGAAAACTGCATTTCACAAAAAGAAAAAACTCGTGCTACAAATGGTCGCTCTTGACCTGAATCCCCCAATTAAGCACGCAGGCTTAGTGTAAGTTAGGCCGCCAGTTAGGCTGGGGAAACTTATTAAAACTCTGACAACGTATAACTGGCACAGGGAACACGGTAGGAGCACAGAGGCTAAGCAAAAAGAAGGAACTGCTACACTAACTGGTCGATCTCGACCTGAATCCCCGAAATAAGCGGGCAGGCTTAGTGTCAGTTAGGCTGGGGGTACTAAATAAAACTCTGGTCAACGGATAACTGGGACTGGGAACAGTTCAGGAACACAGAGGCTGAGTGCCAGGGAAACTGGGAATTATGTTGACTAATGCACCCAAGTGACCCAACAAGGCACGTAGCCCAATAACCAGTAAGGCTGCCAGAAAAGGCTAGGGTGGGACATTGAGGGTAAGCAAATGGATAACAACCCTGGCTATAGGTCTGTAACATTGCCTGCAATCTAACTGCGTCAAACAAGACTTATGTCGCCTCCTAAAGAGCGGTTCCGGGACAGCTGACCTAAGCATACATACAAACTAAATATATCAAGTAAAGGAGCAGGTGTAAAACTGTGATAACTATACAAGGACATGAAATAAGAAACCGGAAAAAAGTTGAAAACTAGCACAGCTGAGCTACCGCTTACAAACTGAAATAAATGCGGTCAGACGGAGGCCAGAAAATCCTGCCCAAAAAAATCCCGAAGGGAAAAAATGCGGGCAGGAAATCTGGATAGGAACCAAGGCTCAAGCTCAAAGCCCTTCATACGGGACTTTACAATGTAATCGAGAATAGCTTGCTCCTAAAAATTAAATAAAACAAAAATGTAAGAAAAACCAAAGAGAAGTTGGTTCGTAAGCCTAGATGACGTACACGTGATACACGCAGCCTTATATACCCCCGATATGGCTACCCATGGTGCACCCGGCTTAGTACCCACGCCCTGTTGTATCTCGTGCGGTCAAAATATTTATTTCTGCCTTCTTCGCGGGCTCATTAGTCAGAAATAACATTTTATTTGCATGACAATGAAAAATGACTTCCAAATCAAAGGCTGAGCACCTACCTTCGTTTTGAAACAGAGGCCTGCGGGAACTCGGAAATGGCCTATTTGAAACCCTTAATTAATTAATAACCTTATTAGCCATATATGGTTAGAAATTTTTGTTGTTAGTAATTTTAGTTATTTGGAAATAGTTGATATACTGTTTATTGTATAAGACTCCAAATAAAAAACATGTATGTATGTATGTGTAGTGTCCGCATACAATTTGTCACAATGGCCATCAAACAATTTAATTCCTCACAACATTTTACCACGAGACATACAACCTCACTTGAAGAGCTTTGAGTAGCATAAAACTCACCTGGGGATCACCATTAGAGTCGGCAATCTTATGCAGATCAAGCAAGGCTTGGTTCACATGCTTCTCTAAATCCAAAGCAGCCTGGCACGCTTCCAGTCCACTTCCCCATTTATCCTTTTCTGGCTTCTACAAAAGGTTATACGACACATGAAACACATTCACCACTGATAATCAGAAGACACTAACTACAGTCATAATCCTGTCGTTAAAATTCTCTGCGGGGACAGACAATAGTGTCTGTCCTGTACAGCACTGTACTACCCCCTGCCCCCCTGCCCCCCAAACGCTACTTATTGGGTTGTTTTGCCAAGATTTACTACCAAGCTCTTCCTGACTTTCTTCTCCCGGCAAGGAACTCGAACTTAAAACTAATAACAAAGAGGATGCAAAAGAGAATCACCCAGAATTTTTACACATGAAACAGTCACACAATTTCATCGCAAAAATTAAAATGATGGGGCTTAGATAAAGCTCTTATTTGGCTGTCACAGCCCACTCAGTCTGAGGCGAGTGCGTGTACGTTTCATCTCGCATTCAGAAGGTGTTCGCTGACCCTTCAAGCTCCCCAGAGAACAAACATTTGTAACAGTTACCGATAGACACTGAAAAACCAAAAAAAAACGAACGATCTACAAAAATTGTTTACATATAAATTTGCACAGTAACAGCGAGAGAAAGCCGACCTCCTCTCATGTAATGTTACACCCAGTTGAAAAGCACTGGCACGTTCCAAAATTGCCGATTGTGTCAAATTTAATTGACTTCGATTAATCATGAACTTTGGCTTGACGTAATATTACCAGGATCATTTCGATTTTTTTCACCCTTACCTTGATATCTTGCAACACAATGCGGCCTCCTCGTTCGTTCTGGTATTTCATGAGCTACAAATTGAGTCATAGTGCGGATTAGTAAAACTACGGGGACACACCACTCACGACTTAGATGACATTTTGAAAATGATTTTAAAGGGCTGTGTCACGGCAGTTCACTTCGTTTTGTGTGATTTTGCCAATTACTCGCCCTCACTCGCTATGGAACTTAAAGTAAGCAAAGAAATTACATGTAACTGACAAAAATCAGAGATCCCAGACAAATAAACAAATATGTCTCCTGAATGGCATTATTTTTGAAGTTGCAAGCAGTAGGGATCAACTTTGAAAAACTGTTAGGGTGAGCAGTTTTCAAAAACCCTATTTTCAATCCGTTTCAATCTTCTTCGGTTTTTCTGCCCATCTGTGGCATCTGTTGTTTCTGTTATGTTATTTAAACCTTCCTTTAAAGTTTTAAGCGGTTATTTTTACGTTTCTCTTAATTTAACGGGCATTTTGTAATTTCCTAATTTGGCTGAATTTCGTGACCCAGTTCCTTTAACACCGCGATTAAGTTACCTTGCAAGAGTGTTCACGTTCCTCGTCCGACTGTTTCAGCATAAATTTGTGAAATCCTGGCAGGGCCACATCATCACGATCGAAGTGATAGGCCTAGAGCGAAAAAAACACATAAACTTTAGATCACTTGAATCGAAAAATGACAGCGGGAAGAAAGCCAACCTACCATCGACAAGTACACGTAGCTTGCATACAACTCAAGGTTGATCTGCTTGTTAATGCCAGCTTCGCACTCTTCATGATAATTCTGACGGCACAGAGACATTTTTCGTAGTTGAAAAGTAGAAAACGGGGTGAAAAATACGCGTTAAAACTTAAATTTTGCAAGGAAACTGCCTCGTTCAATCACTGTTAAGGCGAAACAATCCAAAATGGATTATAAAACAACTATTAAATCACACTGGGTTTTTGTTTAAGAAGGATTAAAAATCGCTGAATCAGTGTTAACACGTGCCAACTCTTCAAAAAGAGTTCGCACGTGTGCCTCATATTTTTCGATTTTATGCATCACCAGCTCAAATATTATAAAGTTCAACAGGTAAATTCCTTATAAAAAAGTTGATAGCCTGGTATGACGAAGTAAAGAGGAAAAGATGACTCGCACGATATCTGTTTGTGTACTGTATTGAGGCCAAAAAGGAATGGTGTTTTAAAACCATTTAGTTCTCCCCGCACCCCCACACCCCCGCCCCCTCCCCCAAAAAAGAAAGAAAACAATACGAATATACTGCTTATGATATGATGCTGGTGGTTTCCTCGTGATTATGTGATTATTTGATCTGACAACATCTATCTACTTATTTAAAGGGAAGTTCGCGCTCATGACCTCCCAAAATATCCGGCACAGCAGGGGACCTACACAATCTGTCTAATTTTAAGCAAAGTACTAAGCTTTTTGAGAAAAATCCTCTTTTCAGCATAAAACGACCGAGTCTGACTATTTAATGTAAAATCAGGTGAAAAAATCGGCAAAAGGCGACTTTCAGGTTTTTTGATTACCACGTTCGCCCCTCAGCCGCCCGTAACCGCCAGTGCAGATTCGCGTCCGTCCTTTCTACCACTTGTGACGTCATCAGTTATTAATAATCAAGGATAACGTTGTCCGTTAGCTTGTGTAGAGTGAAGAGATCTTTCAAGGCATACCAGAATGAGCACAATTCAGTCAAGGACACCGCAGAAAAAGGCAAAAAACTATGTAACAGTCACTCGAAAATTTCCATAAAAATCTTGTTCCATTACCCACCTACCTTTCCTTTCCTTTAATCCTAAGGTACTAAAAGTTTTCCTCCAAACTTTTCCCACCAAAATGAAGCCTAGTAAATGCCCAGCAAGAGAAAAAATGGGGCAAGAAAAGCGAAAAAAGAGTGGAGGAGAGCGAGCGAAAAGTAAAAGTCAATGCTGTGTCACTTTTAAACCCAAAAACTCGAAATTTTGCTTTTAGCGTATTTCCAAACTTCGCAAGCTAATATTTTGCATCTACGGGGTGTTTCAAAAGTTCGTTTCGATTGTAAATTGTATTTTGTGCAAGGAATTTGATGCTTTCTTAGCCAAATGTAAGCTGATTCAGGTAGGAAATTTATTTAAATAACCGTTCAAAGCAATTTCAAACTAAAATTTGAAGAAATTATGATATTTTTTACATGTAAGTTTTTCCCCAAATGTACACGTACGCGAATTTTTTCCTGCCATATTTTCCCTGCCCATTTTGTAGGTTTTCTCTTTCCGTTTTTTTTGGCGTTTTCTTTTGTTTTTTCCACTCTTTTACGAAAATGAAGGCGTACACTGTTCCTGCTAGAGCTCAAGCGTCTATTTTTACGGTACTCCGTCCATTTAGCCAAAGAAATTGTCAAATTGTTGAAGAAGTCTGAACGATGAGAGAACAAGTGGTCAAGAGTAAAGACCTTACAAGACAAACAAAGTTGTAGATGGCCGGGGGTTTTTTTTCACAAACTGTGTGAAAAATGTTATCGAAAAAGCTGTAAGTATATCCGTAATACTGATTCAACAAGACTGCAAGGTAAAAAGAAAACTTCAACTTCGCAATATCAAAGTTTCGAGCACAACGGTATGGAGATATGTGACCAACAAAGGTTGAACAGCCTGAAAAGAAAAAAGGCGGTGCACATTTCATGCAGGCATGGCATCAGAAGAATTTGCAAACTTTATACCAAAGGACGACCGGCTGGTAAACTCACGTGATGCGAATCCTCTAGTAACCATCTGGATTATCGTTGATGAGACAACATACAAAGATCCAGCCCCCAAAACACTGGACTAGCTAAGACAGCGACCACGCTTCACCTGGGAAATTGTGAATTTAGACACGCTATGGGAGCTCGCAAATTCTATACCTCACCGTTTAGAAAATGTCAGAAATCATAAAGGAAGACATTCTGGTTGCTAATATTTCAGTTATTCAATGTTAAATGAATAATGAATAACATGCTTAGGTTTACAAAAGTTATCTTTAATAATCAGTGAAATTTAAGTGAAGAAAAAATCGGAACGAACTTTTGAAACACCCAGGGCCGAGTTGTTCATAGCTGGGTTAATATAACCCAGGGTTAGTGCAAGATTTGAATTCAGATATGAAAGCTTAAAAAGCATTTCAATTTTAATTCCTTTTGTCTACAAGTTGATGATTGAAGGCTCTAAAAATAACTGAGAAAATCACCGGAGAAAATGGTTTTGAACACCAGAAAAAGAAACCCGGGTTAAATTTAACCCCGTGTTAAGAGCTAATCGGCCTTCGAACAACTGGGCTCTGTAGTTTAGAAGGCCGCGAAGTTTAGGACCTGTATGCGGCCTGACCCATGGAGATGAGTGAACCGAGACTACAAGGCTGACCTGTTACCAGTGTTACGTCCAACGTAAAGTTTCAGCGGGCAACAGGCACCATACTGTTTGTACTGTCCCCATCGGTCGAAAAAATATCCCCTCGCCGGGCCTCTTGTATGGAGCTGGGGGACCCCAGGTAGGTGAGGTAACCTGGAGCCCGTTTCTCGAAAGTCCCGATAATTAACGGGCCCGGTAAGCTATCTCCCTTTACATTAAAGATCAAGGTTTCAATAGTTTTGCATCTAACATGATAAAACTATCAGTTAATGAAACAAAATGGAGTAGTTTGCTAGCCAGGACCCGCGCTCTTATTCTTATTCTCTTTATATTTCGACTTGAATATTTGATTTCGGACCCGTAAAGTTACCAGGACTTTCGACAAACGGGCCCCTGCTTAGGTGAGCTCACCCGCCTGTCCATATGATCTCTCATATAGCTACCCCACGTATCATGCAAACGTAAAAAATGAAAACGAGATATTATATGGACAGGTGGGTTACCCCAACAAAGCGAGTAATACCTCACCTACCAAAGGTCCCCACCTAAACGTAAACAGTGCCTTAATTTAGTTTAAAATATCTTGTACGGTTCCTAGTAGGTGTATCATGAAACGTTTTCGGAAGTTTATTAATGAAAAACAATTCGGGTGAGGTTGGATTTAAGACTCAAGTACTGGGGCAAATTTTATCCCGCAAAAATTTTACACTACAGAGTAACCGTTTCGAGAGCACAGTTGGATCGTGAAAACACGAGATCTAGGGGGAGGCGAAAGGAACAGCCGGCGACTGCGCTCGAAGTGTGTGGACCTTAAGCTGCTTGCAACAATGTTGGGCCTATAATAATACAGCGTTTGTACAGGTCATGGAAAACCTGGAAAGTCAGGGAATTTCATTGTCGGTTCTTAAAGGCGCGGCTGCCATTTTTGAGTGCGCATATTTATTTATATATCACGCTGTCTTGAATAAAAACTGATCGCCGTATTTAAGTTGCCCTCCTGAAACGCTCGTGCCTTGAAAGTCATGGAAAATTAAAGTTTCGTTTGGTAGTTTAGATATTGCAGATGACAGAGCAAGGACAATTTATGCACCTATCAATGAAATGCCGGCGGGGGAGTAGGCAGGGCAAGGGGTGGGGATTTGACTCTTTGCAAAAATTTGCAATCAAATTCCCTGCCCACGGGCAAATCATTCCAGTCAAATGCAACCAAATTTCCCTACCCCAGGCTGCACAATAAAAATATTTCCAAATAAAACTCTGCAATCTTTTTTAAACGTTGCTGCATCACCAAACATACATGTTCCGGTTACAGCTGCAATTATAAGCTAATTATATGTTTTAACCATAATCCGTGTTACACTGCGTAGAATACATAAACCTTTAGAGAAAGTCCACATTTTGTAAGTTTAAATATACCGTTCTTAGTAAAGGGTACAATGAAAGTCAGTTTTATAAGTTTACAGTGATTGTAGCGAATGAGCCATACACTAGTCAATTGTACTTGCAAAAATCGACTTGGTTTCTCTTTACTTCCGTTTACTTTGATACCACAGTATTTTAAGAGGTTCAATTGATAAAAAACACGCTAAAACAAACGAAATTTGAAGACAAAACAGTGAAATCCACTCAGCCTTCGCTTGTTTCGCTCATTTGCCTCCATGACTTCCTGATCTTTTCAAACCGTATGGCGCATGCTTGAAGCGTGGAATCGAGAAACACATGTTCGGACTCAGTCTTTTTCGTCTGAGTCGGCAGTCAAATATCTTCACGTCGGGTGAAGAAAGATTCAAATATATCCTCCCCTGGGAGAACAAGATCAGTCAAATGCCCTACCCCAGGGCCAACAAAGACAATCAAATCCCCACCCCATGCCCTGCTCCCCCGCCCCCTTCGCCGGCTTTACATTGATAGGTGCATTAAGATAGAGAGGAGCAATGAAAGAGCGCAAACGGCACGCATTTTGGTGGACACCTGAGTTTGTGTCTGTTGAACTGTTTAAGGTCAAAAAATACCCCCAAACAACGAAAATTGTGAACATTTTTGAAAGTGACAACTAAACCCAAGGTCTTGGAAAACTTAAAAAGGTCATGGAAAAAGTCACGGAATTTGAAGAGCTCAAACGAGTACGAACCCTGAATAATCGGCATTGTTGCGTCCGTTTTGGCAGTGCTGTTCAAACGGACTGGGATGCGACAACTCCCACCAACTCGCAACAACATGTAACAGGGTGTGCAAACTGGACGCAACATGTAACATTCAATAACGTTGCCATCGTTTGCACAGGGCTTTATATTTGAATTGACGGCCTGGAAAAGAGTTGGTTCTTGTCTTTCATGCTCCATGCGATCCACACAAGTCAAGGAACAAATAAAAAAGTCCATTATGTCTATCATGCCTCAGATTGCTTCGGAGACATTTATTGATCATAAAGTGAACAGGAAAGTTACATTTGATCTGATTTGACTATGCCGGATATATAAAAACAATCACAAACTAATCAATTCACCCTTGCTAATCAATAAATATTGTCTTGTGGAAGATAACAATAACAATAATACTAATTTTCCTTTGAAAACTGAATTTGTCACAAAAGGAATGAAGTATCATGGGCTAAATTCAAAACTAGAGTATAAAGTATTTCATAAGTAGTTAAACAATAAACAATAACAAAAAGATAAAAATTGTAAAAAAGACGAAAACTTAAGCCCAGTTTTAATATCTCAGGAAAATCTTAGACGATCGGGGATTTTACTAATTTCAGAACGTTCAAGATTTTACCGCTTTGTCAGAAAAATTGTTAAAATTCTGCCGCTATTCTAAGCTAGAAAATTCTCAATGTCCCAAAAACATTCAAGACCCACTCCAGTACAAAATTCTAATTCAAGTAGTCGTTGAGTCTATTCCTTGCTGTCGCCTTTAAGAGTTACTTTATCAAACTGGTATTCACCAAGAGCGTAGTTATCCTTGCTAAGCCGTTTGAGGGTGTTAACGAAGTTTGATAGCTCTTTGATACTTTCAACCTGCTCTTGAAGGTATTCTGATTCCAAAAAGTCTTGCAACTGTGAAGAAAAAACAGTTATGCCACCTTATTGACTGGTGAACTAGGATTGAGCTATTTAATACCCGTAGTGTGAACGCAAATTGATTGATGAGTTTTTGATGACAAGGAAAATGCATACTTTTGAAAACGTGTTGGTGTGGACAGGGCCTTTTCACAATTGATCACTCCAGGAAATACCATAACATACCATAATGCTCTTTGTTTGTCACCCCAAAATTTTGCATAAGCATTGTCTTCAGTTTCTCTTGGGAGTTAAAATGGCCCAAAGAGAAACTGAAAACAATGCTTATTGCAAAATTTTGGGGTGACAAACAAGGAGCTTTGTGGTATGTTATGGTATTTTCTGGAGTGGTCAATGCCGATAATATACCTTGTTTACCATAACCGTTGCTTCCAATTTCTCCTGAGGATTACAGTCGTTCCAAGAGAAAGTAAAACAATGCTTATGCAAAATTTTGAGGGATAAACAAGGTGCATCATGGGCAGTATGATAATGGTGAGTTAACTGAATATTGTGCGAAGTCACGCGAAAGCAGAGAAAGGAGAGCTTATTTTTTAGCTCGATATCGCCAAGAGATAATCAAGCAATAAACCGTGGGAAACTCACAAATAGATTGCTTAAATTTAGCAAGCATTTCCAATCGAGTTATTGTGCGAAAGTTAGAGCGGGAGAAAAAAAAGAAAAGATGTAAAGGGTGAGGGGAGAAGCGTTTCCTTCTTTTCCCTCCCCCCTACCCTGTCATTCCTTTTTTTGCTCTCGTCCCAACTTTCTCGACGAACTCGCGCGGCAACACTTGGTACGCAGGCTAGAAATAAGAATGAGACAAATAGATGCTGAAAGTTTGAATGCAGCCCTTACAAATAAGAATGGCAAAAATGCAAATTAAGCTTTATTACAGCCAAATGCAATAGGCACTTCCGAGTTCCAAAAACCCTCACTTTCAAAATGAAGCTATGTGCACAACCGTTCTTGTGAAAATGAGTATTTTGACTCCACTACACAACATCAACAGACAAAACGTAAAGGCAGATAAGTATATTTTGGGACCGCTTGGCGAGAAACAACCCTAAAAAGTACTTATGTAAATACAATAATAGGTGATTACTATTGAATAGGTAATGTACAACACTCGAAAACTGCATTTCACAAAAAGAAAAAACTCGTGCTACAAATGGTCGCTCTTGACCTGAATCCCCCAATTAAGCACGCAGGCTTAGTGTAAGTTAGGCCGCCAGTTAGGCTGGGGAAACTTATTAAAACTCTGACAACGTATAACTGGCACAGGGAACACGGTAGGAGCACAGAGGCTAAGCAAAAAGAAGGAACTGCTACACTAACTGGTCGATCTCGACCTGAATCCCCGAAATAAGCGGGCAGGCTTAGTGTCAGTTAGGCTGGGGGTACTAAATAAAACTCTGGTCAACGGATAACTGGGACTGGGAACAGTTCAGGAACACAGAGGCTGAGTGCCAGGGAAACTGGGAATTATGTTGACTAATGCACCCAACAAGGCACGTAGCCCAATAACCAGTAAGGCTGCCAGAAAAGGCTAGGGCGGGACATTGAGGGTAAGCAAATGGATAACAACCCTGGCTAGAGGTCTGTAACATTGCCTGCAATCTAACTGCGTCAAACAAGACTTATGTCGCCTCCTAAAGAGCGGTTCCGGGACAGCTGACCTAAGCATACATACAAACTAAATATATCAAGTAAAAGAGCAGGTGTAAAACTGTGATAACTATACAAGGACATGAAATAAGAAACCGGAAAAAAGTTGAAAACTAGCACAGCTGAGCTAGCGCTTACAAACTGAAATAAATGCGGTCAGACGGAGGCCAGAAAATCCTGCCCAAAAAAATCCCGAAGGGAAAAAATGCGGGCAGAAAATCTGGATAGGAACCAAGGCTCAAGCTCAAAGCCCTTCATACGGGACTTTACAATGTAATCGAGAATAGCTTGCTCCTAAAAATTAAATAAAACAAAAATGTAAGAAAAACCAAAGAGAGGTTGGTTCGTAAGCCTAGATGACGTACACGTGATACACGCAGCCTTATATACCCCCGATATGGCTACCCATGGTGCACCCGGCTTAGTACCCACGCCCTGTTGTATCTCGTGCGGTCAAAATATTTATTTCTGCCTTCTTCGCGGGCTCATTAGTCAGAAATAACATTTTATTTGCATGACAATGAAAAATGACTTCCAAATCAAAGGCTGAGCACCTACCTTCGTTTTGAAACAGAGGCCTGCGGGAACTCGGAAATGGCCTATTTGAAACCCTTGCCACCCCCCCCCCCCCCCAATCATGGTGTAGATGTGCGACTAAGCAACCAAAAATTAGCCGTAGAGACAGGATGCTAATCGAAACCGTTTGAGAAACCTGAAGAAAGAATTTGCCCAATCTGTAAAATAGAAATGGAGGACGAATACCATTTTCTAAATATATGCCCTGCTTAACAGGAAAAAAAATGATCGTTACTAGATTATTTGGAAAAAGAATGTAGAATAAAAATAAGCAGAATGTCACCTAACAAGATATTTATGTTTCTAATAAAACCCCCTAGCGGAAATGCTAAAACACAAAAACTAATAGCAATACATGTACTCGAATGCTTTTAAAAAAGGAAAGGGGAAGACGGCAAAAAGTAAATACTTTAGGCCTTAATTAATTAATAACCTTATTAGCCATATATGGTTAGAAATTTTTGTTGTTAGTAATTTTAGTTATTTGGAAATAGTTGATATACTGTTTATTGTATAAGACTCCAAATAAATGTCCGCATACAATTTGTCACAATGGCCATCAAACAATTTAATTCCTCACAACATTTTACCACGAGACATACAACCTCACTTGAAGAGCTTTGAGTAGCATAAAACTCACCTGGGGATCACCATTAGAGTCGGCAATCTTATGCAGATCAAGCAAGGCTTGGTTCACATGCTTCTCCAAATCCAAAGCAGCCTGGCACGCTTCCAGTCCACTTCCCCATTTATCCTTTTCTGGCTTCTACAAAAGGTTATACGACACATGAAACACATTCACCACTGATAATCAGAAGACACTAACTACAGTCATAATCCTGTCGTTAAAATTCTCTGCGGGGACAGACAATAGTGTCTGTCCTGTACAGCACTGTACTACCCCCTGCCCCCCTGCCCCCCTGCCCCCCTGCCCCCCAAACGCTACTTATTGGGTTGTTTTGCCAAGATTTACTACCAAGCTCTTCCTGACTTTCTTCTCCCGGCAAGGAACTCGAACTTACAACTAATAACAAAGAGGATGCAAAAGAGAATCACCCAGAATTTTTACACATGAAACAGTCACACAATTTCATCGCAAAAATTAAAATGATGGGGCTTAGATAAAGCTCTTATTTGTACTGTCACAGCCCACTCAGTCTGAGGCGAGTGCGTGTACGTTTCATCTCGCATTCAGAGGGTGTTCGCTGACCCTTCAAGCTCCCCAGAGAACAAACATCATAACAGTTACCGATAGATACTGAAAAACCAAAAAAACGAACGATCTACAAAAATTGTTTACATATGAATTTGCACAGTAACGGCGTGAGAAAGGCGACCTCCTCTCAATGTAATGCATGTTACACCCAGTTGAAAAGCTCTGGCACGTTCCAAAATTGCCGATTGTGTCAAATTTCACCCTTACCTTGATATCTTGCAACACAATGCGGCCTCCTCGTTCGTTCTGGTATTTCATCAGCTACAAATTGAGCCATAGTGCGGATTAGTTAAACTACGGGGCCACACGACTTAGATGACATTTTGAAAATGATTTAACATCGCGATTAAGTTACCTGGCGAGCGTGTTCACGTTCCTCGTCCGACTGTTTCAGCATGAATTTGTGAAATCCTGGCAGGGCCACATCATCACGATCGAAGTGATAGGCCTAGAGCGAAAAAACACATAAACTTTAGACCACCCGTATCGAAAAATGACGGCGGGAAGAAAGCGAACCTACCATCGACAAGTACACGTAGCTTGCATACAACTCAAGGTTGATCTGCTTGTTAATGCCAGCTTCACACGCTTCATGATAATTCTGACGGCACAGAGACATTTTTCGTAGTTGAAACGTAGAAATCGGGGTGAAAAATACACTTTAAGACTTAAATTTTGCAAGGAAACTGCCTCGCAATCAATGTTAAAGCCCAAAATGGATTATAAAACAATCAGTATTAAATAATCAGTGTTATTATTTTAAAGACTTAGCACGTGTGGCTCATATTTTTCGATTTTTATGCATCACCATCCCAAATATTATAAAGTTCAACAGGTATTCCTTATAAAAAAGTTGATAACCTGGCATGACGAAGTAAAGAGGAAAAGATGACTCGCACGATATCTGTTTGTGTCATGTATTGAGCCAAAAGGAATAGTGCAGCTTGGCAGCTTGTTTTAACATCAGCCCCTCCTCCCCCCCCCCCCCGACAAAAAGAAAGAAAACATTACGAATATACTGCTTATTATATGATGCTGGTGGTTTCCTTGTGATTATTTGATCTGACAACATCTATCTACTTATCTAAAGGGAAGTTATTGTCAATCTCCCGCTCATAACCTCCCACAATATCCACAGCTGAGCAGGGGGCTTACACAATCTGCTGAATCAGTGTAACCGTTTCTAATTTCATTAAGCAAAGTACTAAGCTTTTTTAGAAAAATCCACTTTTCAGCATAAAACAACCGAATCTGACTATTTAATGTAAAATCAGGTGAAAAAATCGGCAAAAGGCGACTTTTAGATTTTTTGACAGAGGGGGCGTTCGCCCCCGCCCGTAACCGCGTCCTTGCTACCGCTTGTGACGTCATCAGTTTAATAATCAAGGATAACTTTGTCCGTTGGCTTGTGCAGAGTGAAGAAATCTTTCAAACCATACCAGAATGAGCACAATTTCGTCAAGGACACCGGATAAAACGGCAAAAAACCATGTAACAGTGACCCGAAAATTTCCATGAAAATCTTGTTCCATTACCGACCTACCTTTCCTTTAATTTATTTAATCCTAAGATACTAAAATTTTTCCTCCAAACTTTTCCCACCAAAATGAAGCCTACCAAATGCCCAGCAAGAGAGAAAAATGAGGCAAGAAAAGCGAAAAAAGAGGGGAGGAGACAGGGTGAAAAGTAAAAGTCAAGACTGCGGTGTCACTTTTAAACCCAAAAACTCGAAATTTTGGTTTCTGCGTATGCCCGAACTTCGCAAGCTAATATTTTGCATCTGGTTTAGAAAGCCGTGAAGTTTACGACCTGTATGCGGTCTGACCCATAAAGACGAGTGAACTAGACAACAAGGCTGACCCGTTACGTCCAACGTAAAGTTTCAGCGGGCAACAGGTCTCATACTGTTTGAACTGTCCCCTTCGGTCGAAAAAATATCCCCTCTTCGGGCCTCTTAGCATGGAGATGGGGGACCCCAGGTAGGCGAGGTAACACGCTTAGGTGGGGTCACCCGCCTGTCCATATAATCTCTCATATAGCTACCCCACGTATCATGTAAACGTAAAAAAAATAAAACGAGATATTTGAGTATGGACAGGTGGGTTACCCCAACAAAGCAGGTACCTAAGGTCCCCACCTCAATGTAAACAGTCCCTAATTGAGTTAAAAATATCTTGTACGGTTGTTGAAAGGTGTGTCATGAAACTTTTCGGACGTTTATTAATCAAAAACAAATCGGGTGAGTTTGGATGTAAGACTCAAGTACTGGCGGAAATTTTATCCCGCAAAAATTTCTCACAACAGAGTAACCGTTTCGAGAGCACAGTTGGAGCGTGAAAACATGAGAGCTAGGGGGAGGGGAAGGTACAGCCGGCGACTGCGTGCGCCATGTATGAGGACCAGGAAAATAATGATTTGAACACGCCATAGCCCGCACAGCTCGCGTAGATGACAACAACAAAAACACTCACCTCTTTTCCCTACAATCGGTTAGCAAATTCAAAAGTCTTCTCTTCATTAATTTACGTTACAAAACACAGGGTTAACGCTTCATCCTGAACTGTTGAGTTATTGATGCACTTGGGAGATGTCTTGGGAGGACTGCTAAGCTCACAAGAACTCGAGGTGTAGTTTATTGACGTCATAAGCGTGCATGCTCAATGGGAATATGAAGCACGATCGCGCTATTGAAGTTGAAGAGGCGAATATTCTAGCTATGTGATAGAAGTGCTTGATTGTCACTGAAAGTTTCTCATAAACTCTGAAAAGCGTGAAGTATATAAAGGGTTTAGAAGAGGCCACCCCGTAATATACGCTTTATTGGCCAAGCGTGAAGTCGAAATAGGTGGATATTAGCCAAGTTCTTTTTTACCTTTTTATGGTCAGAGACGAAAACGTGATCAACAAGACTCCCATAATGTGGGTACATTGGTCTGTCATTTGCGCGATTCAGTGGCCTATTAAACAGTTTAATTACGGTAGTTTCAAGTCTGTTCGTATTTATCTAAGATGACTATGCCCCTTTCCCCAAAAGTCAAGTAATCGGCCCATTGCAAGAGAGATGGGACACGTGAAGGCCTCTTGGCTATGCATCCGCTTTAAGGTGGCTCGACTGGATTTTTTAGGGAGTATACATAGTTCCTCACTTTGAGCGTTTACTACGTCGGCATTAACAAAGATATCGGAAAAATGTTACCACGACTGTACTACATAAAGATGAAAAATTGCTGTGAAGAATGTTTCATTTACATCGGAGTTGCCATGGCAACGTAATGTAAACGTAAATCGCTTAACGGAGCTTGTACCTCCCTTAATTGCCTCAACCGCTATGAGATGAAACTGCATTTCTAGACCTCATCATTTTCTTAAGATATTAGCCAATTATTTCGATCGCATGTTTAATCACTGTTTTTATAACCCTTAAACTTTGTTTCAAAATATTTCCAAAACGCCCTCATAGAATTTGTTCAAAGTTTGCCATAATTGAGACAACTAAGGGAGACACAAGCTCCGTTAAGCGATTTCTGAAAAACCCTCCTGGTACCGAGAAATACAAGAAATACAAAGGCAAGTTAAAAACGTTATGGCATCATTACGTTGCTATAACATGTCCGATGTCAACAAAACACGGATCGTAGCAAATTTTCATCTTTACACAGTCCAGCTGTGTTAATCATTTCCTAATGGAGCGATTTTCGTATGACCTTGAAATAAAAACGCGCGAACAAAACAGAAACAACAGACGAACAGAAATAGAGCGATATGATTGGTTTATCGAACGGCTACAAACGCACGTGGCTTTTGTCGCCCCATGTAAGGTAATCCAAGAGAGTCCTGGATTCCGGATTCCACGCTGTGGATTCCGGATTCCATGCCTGTGGATTCCGGATTCCATATCCGTGGATTCCGGATTCCATAAGTGGCTGGATTCCAGATTTCAAAATTCTATTTTCTGGTTTTCAACGTTTCCTTTGTACTTTGTTTTCACCAAAAAAGCTTGTTCTTTTTTTACCCGAAGTGTACATTGTCTTATATAAAATATAAGTATAAAATATAATTCTTGGCCTTACCCGAGAGGATTATGAATATAGGAGCGGTTTCTGAAGTCCACTGAGTCCACATCGTTGAAGAAATACTAACGAGGAAGGGCTATTCTTATTTTAATAATAACAACGGCGTCAACAATAACAAAAGAGGTACACATTGACAAAATCAGTGCTTTTCAGGTTCAAACATAATTCGTCTCCGAATTGTTTAATTGCCACACAGAAATGTAAAACTTCAGTTACAGCTTAACAACAAATAGCTTGAAGATAGTCCAATTACTATACTACAAGCTACGCAGGCAACGGAAACGTTTATCTTAGAATAAACCGTGTCGTTCTCCGTCCTGATAAACTAACTCCCGGCAGTCTTATCGGGAGGGATACTTCTCCCTCATCCTCTGCAGTTGGTGGTGCAGTTTCATTCTCATTGTCATCATCGTCACCGTGGTCCCCATTAGCAATTCGACAGAGCCTGTTATCCTCCTCTGTTGTTAAAATGATGTCTGATCCATCGGAAGAAAAGTCGAGTACTCGGGTTAGAATGCACTTGGGGGAATTCCCATCACAGACATCACCGGAGGTGTATGTTAGTGAATCACTTGTTTGGTTTAGCCACTTTAGGGATACTCTTTGCTGCACAAAATTTCCACCATTCACTTCTATTTGTACATCCTCCAGAAGAACTGCTAGCCAGAAGGGTGAGATCTCTCTTCTACGGTTGTGTCTTACTCCCAATATGTCGTCTTTCTGGTAAATGGTTTGCACCCGTACAGCCGTACTCCGCAATGCCACATTAGCATCCACAACTTGGCAAGCTGTTGTTACGTCTTCGCTTTCCCCTAATGAGGCTGTGATGGTAGTGGGACACATACTAAGGGCATAAGGAAGGGTGCCAGTTAGCTCTTTCGTTTTTGAGCGGACATTTTCCTGTCTTACGCCTCTTCCATACTCCTTAGCAAATTCTCGCATCACAGTTTCTCGCCTTGTGTCTTCTTCTTTGCTACCTGTTCCTTCAGTGATTGCTGACAGCTTGTTTGGTTGCGTCTTGATGTTTGGGGGTTCACCTTTGATAATTTTCTCCAGATAATATGAATTGGGTCCAGTGAAATATGAGAAATTCTTCTGGTAAATGCGCAGCATATCGTCTTCCACGCAGCGCGCTCTTCTGTAAGCGTAGTTAGCCACTGTAGGCATGTCGTGGTCTGCTCGCATTCCTTTGAAATAGCATTCCACGCCCAAAGTTGTCATACTTTCGAAACAGATCCTGTCCAGAAGGTGACTATGCCCAATCTCCGTTAGCGTGTTGGTAAGGCTGGTCAGCGATTCTAGCACTATGAGGAAGGACTGTCGGGTGCATCGAGGTATGGTCATGTCGGGACCGTTGGTATTTCGCTTGCCCGTCCTCTCCAGGGCTTCCTGTTCGTGGTTAGAGAGAAATGCAACCAACTCCTCTACAGATTTCACATGATCTTCAAATGTACGTGGTAGGTCTTCTTCTTTGGCTTTCTTGTCGAGTCGGAACACGTTTGCATATTGGGCCATCTTACTTTGCAGGGGGATCAGTCCCTTTGCTGACGTCAACATTCTTATTGCTACGTTACCGGTATCGCATACGAAAACAGTGTTTCGATATACGCATAAAGAAGTAGGCTTGTTCCATCGACTTTGGACACCATCACGATGGCCTGCAGTTTCTCCACATACTTTTGTTAGGGTTTCTTTACCCCCAAGCATCTCTTCTTCCTTCAAACTGAACAGTGCGTGTTCTTTGCTGGAGGACAAGAACACGGTTCCACCATCTGTCACTGCAATACCCATGAGGCCTGGAATATTCGAAATTGTTCTCAGTTTCAATCGTCCTCTCACTTGACAAAGATGAATACATGAACCATTCCAGTCTCCAACTAACAAGTATTGCTCGTCACGTGTTAAGGCTAATGAAGTTAATAAACTATATCGATCAAAACAAAACAATTAATTTAACTACCCGACGCAGTTAGTTTCCTCATCGTCTACAACACCAGAAATTGAAAAAATCTTGCCAAGACCAACGTCTTGACACAAACAGTTCAACGCTACCCTTTGCAGACGCACATATGGCAAATGGTGACACCAGATCCGGTACATTACCTTCAGAAATAAGGGAAAGATCGTGTACATGGACTTTACGGATACGTCTACCGGCGCAATTCTTTCGGCGCAATTCTTCCTCACTTTGGCTTTCTTCGGCGCTCCCTTGTACAATCTGGGAAGCGTGACAGAAAAGCGTTCGCAAATTGACTACTCTAACTCTTCCGTTTCCTTGGTCACAGATGTACAGCTTCCCGCTCTCTTTCACCGCAATACCAGCTGGGTTTCTAAATCTGGCCTTGTTGCCATATCCATTAGTGTGCCTGGGCTCACCACCACCAGCGATTAATGTGACATTTGCTGGACAGTGCATGTCAACCATGAAGACTGCATGGAGATGTCTATCGATAATCAACAGCCTCCTATGCTTTGGGGAGAATGCCAATCCTACCGGGTAGCTTAAAAGAGAGGCCCCGTTCTTTTTCCAGTGCTTGAATTCCAGTTCTGGAACTAATGTTGTGCTCACTCTTTCATCTGGAATGGAATCTTGAATCGCTTTCCGGTGAATCTCCACTGCTGTTTCTACATCCATCCGATCTTTGTTTCGAACTGCTTTCAATGAAACTGATTTCTTGATGTCTTCGTATTCTCTACGTAGCACCAAAAGCAGCCTTACATTCACTAGGTATCCATCAATGTCAATCCAATGCCAAAACTCTGCAGAACGTACTGACTTGATGTTGTGTGGGCAGTCAGGAATAGGGACTTGGTAGGGGTACTTCGCCCTGTCTGCTAGCATGGAATTCATAAAGCTCTTTTGCTTGGGATCGCAGTCAGCGAATTTATAGACGTACGTACCTTTCCGAGTCATGCTTTTTCTTGTGCTTCCCCATGCTGACAAAGATTGATAACGATCGATTGAGAAAAAAATTCAAAGTGATCTCTCGAGATGTCTGATTTCGACTGATTGAATCTGGACTGAATGAAAGACACCACGTGACACCACGTGCAGCGTGTCATTCTTTGAGTGACACTGATGACATGTGCCTGAAATTAAAGAAGCCAGTAACTGCAACCACGGCGACTACTGATACTACGGCCAAGAATAAGGATACTTTATATTATTATTCTTTTGACGTTACCCGAAATCCAAAAATTAGTTCCAATTGCGCCCAAACAGGAAAAGAATCTAAACCTCCGACTCCAAAAGCGCAACGGGGAAAAAGGTCGAAAGGCCCGGTCGAAAGGGTGTCTTATAAAGAGCGATAATATACAGTAATATGAATCACTCCCTGGGATTCTGTCACGTCATTATAATGTGACCATTGTTTCAAATTGATACCCGATATGTCACAATGACAAGGGATGTTCCTGCGAGGGAAACACGCGTGAACATGCCTGTTGCGCGTCCTTGCGACATGAGATTTTCACGCAACAGTCGCTAAAGGAAAAGAAGAGGCCCTGGAACCATCACCACAGAGTGGATTCCAGCAACCTGGATTCTGGATTACGATGCTTGGATTCCGGATTCCATTAGCTGGATTCCGGATTCCAAAGCCGTGGATTCCGGATTCCACAGACCAAAATTACCTGGATTCCGGATTCCGGATTACCTTACATGGGGCGACTTTTGGTTGGTTAAGCGAACGCTCGGGTGAAAAAACTTCATGCCCAAGAACTCTCTAGAAATAAGCGATACTTCGCTTTGACGTCATACTACAACACGATCGGCCAATCGAACAATGCCTTCCCCATATTAGGGTTTTCTTCGGCGAGAAAACGAAGAGTCTACCTTTTGATTTTTCATCCATTGGTTGGTAAAACAAATAACGAACACTTACCGAAACCATTTTTCAAGCTCATACGAAAATCGCTCTATCTTTGTTTATTGCGAGTTAGTAAACGTTGAAAGTGGGGAAGTATACCCACTAAAAAATCCAGTCGAGCTACCTTAATGTTGTCTTTTTTCGACCTACTCAGAACTTTGTCGGGCTTTGCCACAGGCAGCCCGATAATAAAAACGCAAAAAGGAACAAGGCCAATATCCAACCATCTTGACCGAACAAGCTTGGCCGGAAAAGGATTCATTAAATGGGCAAAAAGAGAACTTTATCCAGCGGGACCCACGCGGGAAAATATAAGTCAACCATGTCTGCCACGATATTGAGGCATTTATTGATCAAACAGTGAACGTGAAAGTTACACTTGATCTGACTTGACAACGCCGGATATATAAGAAGAATCACAAACTAATCAAATTACCCTTGCTAATCAATAAATACTGTTTTGTGGATTAATAATAATAGTGATAATCATACTTTTCGTTTCAAAATATATTTGTCACAAAAGTGCTATTAGGGACTAAGTGAAAACTAGTGTAAATGTTCTTTTCATAAGAGGTTAAACAATACCAAAACAATAATAAAAGGTTAAAAAACTTAAGTCTGATTGTAAAATGCCCTGAGAATCCCAGACGATCAGGGATTCCGCTGTTTCCCGATCAGCCAGATTTCACCGCCCGCGGATATGTCAGGAAAAACCCGAACGGACGCCATTGGATACCCGACATCATTGACAGAATAAGCTTGAGTTTTCATATGTCGAGAATGACCGCCGACCATCGCACAAATCTCGAACGTGTCGGAAAAATCGATCATCCAAGACGATGGCGAATGACTACGAGTTCGAGTTTTCATAATGCCGCCAAATAGGGGAAGGTCAGGAAACAGTAAAATCCCTGATCGTTTGGGATTTTTCCAACCTAACCTGCCATAACTTCACGATTTTACAGGGCTGAAATTTTTCAAAAATATTATTTTAAATTTCTGCCACGATTCTAAAGTAGGAATTTTCAATGTTCTACAAAAATTCAAGACCCACTGCATTACAAAATTCTAATTCAATAAAATCATTAAGTCTATTCCTTGCTTTCGCCTCCGAGAGTTACTTTATCAAACTGATATTCGCCAAGAGCGTAGTTTTGTTCGGAAAACCGTTTGAGGGTGTTAATGTGGTTTGATAGTTCTTTGATACTTTCAACCTGCTCGCCAAGAAATTCTGACTCCAAAAAGTCTTGAAACTGTGGAGAAAAAAAAACATTATGTCATTATCTGTCTGCCCGACTTCTTGACTAGTGAAGGAGTGGTTTTCACACTGAGCAGTCTCTAAGCTGATAACCTGCGAGCAGGCTCTCCATTTGGCGGGAAAAAAGTCACGCAAGAGAGAAGGCGGGGGAAAGAGATCTTTTTTCTCCTTCGATGTCGCCAAGAGATAAAAACCAGTAAATCGCTACTTCTCAAAGCTTAAGATTTTTGACTTCATTTAACGACGTGCATTGGTTTCTGACTTAACTAAGAACCGCAGGCTGCGATGGCTTGGTCATGTCCTAAGGATGCCCAATGACGGGAGAATCAAATTTTTATGAAATGGACCCCAACTGAAAAGAGGAAAAGAGGCCAAAAACCACCTGGGGGAGAACAGTGATGAAAGAGCTGGAGGAGTGGGGTCCAACACGGGCTAAAGCACAGGCCAAAGATCAGAACAGGGAAGACTAAGCAGTTTCAGACTACCCTGTATGCTTTTACCTTGTCATGGAGGGGGAGCTTGGGTACATTAATGACGCTGTGAACTATACTGCAGGGGTATTTAAACTACAGCGAGGACAACCCTTGCCGGATAGGTTAGGGAGGACAGACTAACAGCAGCACCTGGTCCCCCTTGTTAGGGGTTGGGCGTGAGGCTAACAACCCTACCCAGAAAAAAACAACATGTTGCCAGATCTGCGCGGCCTCCCAGACAGGATGATGAAATTGAGTGAGTGAGTGAGTGAGTAGACTGACTAGCAGGCGTTCGAAAGGGAATTTGGGCTCGAGACCGCGCGCGAGGGAGAAGGGAGGAGGGGAACCCTCGCGTGTCCTTGACGTTTCTCGCGCGCCTGTAATCCTCTTTCCCTTCTCTTTTAAACGCCTGCTAGACAGGCTAGTTAGTGAGCCGTGAGTGAGTGAGTGGTTTCAGAGAAACTAAGTTCTTTACCTGAGGATCATCCGATGCCTTCTTATGGATGTCTACTAATGCTTGGTATACCTCCAATTCAAGGTGATAGGCGTGCGTCATAGCGCCTAAACCATTTCCCCAGTGATTCTCATAAGGTTTCTGTTAAAAAGAAAAAACACCATTTTTAAGACAGCAGAGCTTCTGGTGTCGATGGAGAATAGACCTTGTCACGGTTTAGAAGCCATCTTGACGAGCAGGAAACCGCGTGAGAAATAACAGTGTTTGTATGAGAATCTAATGTCGAATAATTTCCGTAAACCGGTTGTTCTGAAAAAAATAAAATGAATTGTCAACTGAAGCTACACAGCAAAGAATTCTACAAACAAATTTTTGGGGCCGTACCATTTCTCCAGACAGTCGCTTTCTCGAGGAGTCAAGCGAATGTTTGAAACTCAGGAAAGAAGAGTTTTTTTTTTCTCTCCACTGCGTCCAAGAATTGATTCTCGGAGATGGCGGCATGTGTGCGTTTACTTTGTTTGTTGTTGTTCTCCCTTGGGAGTTGCACTGAAAACTTTTTTCTGAGTACATCGGTTTGTCAGTTTCCTTAAAAACCTTTAAATCCCGATAACAAATTATGAGTTCCCCGACCCGAGTGTTTTGAGAGTAAACAAACTACAATTACCCCTTGCACTCTCTAAAGCAGCTTAAGTAAAAAATATTCAACAAAATTGTCAAGTTTCACTTTGCCAAATGCTGAAACACAAATAGAACAATGTTTAAGTATTATTAAAGAGGTTTCATTTGAATGGTTACAGTACAAACATTTGGTCCACAGACTCAAACAGAACTATCCAAGATATCACCTTCAATCATTCAGGCGATTACTTCCTTTGCTGACAGTTTAAGAGGAAAACCGCGCTCGTTCGCTCATTTTGGAAGGCACTGAGCAAATTGATGTCTTTAGCTTTTTGACTGACGGCGATGGATATAATAGCCAGCCTATCCATAGAGAGGCAGGGTGGCCGAGTGGTCAGAGAGCTGGACTTGTAATTCGGAAGCCCCGAGTCCAAGTGCCGATGCCCTGACCGCAAGCTGGATTTGTTCTCGATAAATAGCCAGCTGCCTTGCCTCCGGCCAGTTGGAATTCTTGACCCCATTATGTTTGATTAAAATTATTTGTTTCAAGAATTTGCTCGGCCTTACTAGCATAAGCGCAATAAAACTGCCGAGGGTAAATAACGGGAACTTTTTTTTAGTGGTGATGTTTTAGAAAGCTTTGTTGTTGTTGTCTCCTTTTTTGCGCTGAAGAATAGCAAATATCTTACCATTATGTGATGCAACTTAACACGTCCTCCACGCATGTTCTGATATTTCATAAACTGTGTGCAAATATAAGAAAGTTCAATTAGTATATCAATTTGACTTAGGCCCCGTCTACACGTATCCGGATATTTTTTCAAAACGGAAATATGCGTCCATACGAAGCGTGTTCGATTCGTTTTCGCAGTCCATACTAAAACGCTAAACCGATGGAAATTTTATTGGACAGGGCCTTAATGGTTGAAAACACGCTTATACTGTTCCAGCCTTTCCACTTACTCGTCCCTTACCCTTCTAGTCTGTTTTTGAGCGTGCCGCCAAATTCGCATTTAAGCCTAGTTTCCATCATTCTCTTCTTACCCTACGTGGCGCGCTGTTTTTGGGGTTTGTTTTTAATTTGTGTTTTGTAAGGGAGGGAGCAAGGGTGGCGCAGTGGTGAGAGCACTCACCTCCCACCAATGTGGCCCGGGTTCGAATCCTGGCGTCGACGCCATGTGTGGGTTGAGCTTGTTGTTGGTTCTCTCCCTTGCTCCGAGAGGTTTTTCTCCGGGTACTCCGGTTTTCCTCTCTCCTTAAAAACCAACACTTTCAAATTCCAATTCGATCTGGAACGCACGGACACGTTTCAACGAGTTCTCATGAACTCCTTAGTGCTCCGTGGGTAAACAAATTACAATTTACATTTTTTTTTTTCTTTTGTAAAGTACGTAAGTCGTCAAACGAAGAAACGATGGGGAGGGGGCGAAAGAAATAAGGCATTTTCTCTGCCTTTTCGCTTCGTTTCTTCAAATTCTCTATTTTCCAATTGCCCATAATACACTCTGTTTGCCCCCCAAATTCTGCATAAACCATTGTTTTTAAATGCTCCTGGGAGTATTGCATTTTCCCAAGAGCATTTTAAGACAATAAGTTATGCAAAATTTGGGGGGCAAATAGAGTGTATTATGGGCAATTGGAAAATAGTCAATACGAAAGGAAGACTTTATGAAAAAAAGATGTGATGTACCATCTGAGTTACATAAAGGAATGTCAAAGATCATTATAACCGTTGAAAAGTAAATCTCGGATCAGTTCAGTTTAGCTTGTTGTAACTATAATTTCCGTTATTTCAAGCAAGAAAGGAAATCACTTTTGAAGTCGCTACTTTCGAAGGGTCGCTACTTTTGGCATTTGCTAACACCTGTGAAATTTTATCGCTACTTTCGAAGGATCGCTACTTTAAAGGGGTCGTTACTTTGGTAACTTTACGGTAAGAGTTCAAAAAGTAAAAAAAGTAAGTCAAAATAACCTTCTGAGCATGCTTCATCTCTTCCTCTGCCGACTCCAAGAAGAACTTGTGGAATCCAGGAAGGTTGATGTCGTCACGGTTAAAGTGCATGGCCTGAATAAGAAGCAGAGGATTTACAGTCGAACTTCTACTAAGAAACACAGAGACCTCTATATAACCAACAGACACCAGAACTTAACGGACAGAAACCTCTGTATAACGAACAGACACCTCTATATAACGGACAGACATATCTGTATTACTGACAGACACCTCTATATGAGGGACAGGCATCTGTACATAACGGACAGAAAACTGTACATAATGAACAGACACATATACATAGCGGCAGACACCACTATATAACGGACAGACACTTCTATAAAACGGACAGACATCTCTATATAAGGGACAGGCATCTGTACATAACGAACAGACACCTATGTATAGCGGCAGACACCTCTATATAACGGACACACACCTCTGAACTGGTGCTAAACAATCCAATCTATAATGCAGACACGTCTGTAATGCGGACACTCGACTCTTGATTTCGGTATCAAGGAGGTGCGTTGTTTAATCCTTTAAGTCACAATATCCACATAGAAATCCTCCAGAGTGATCTCCATACATTTCTTGAAACATTAGTTGAGAGAATTTGTTAAAAGATCAAAGTATTTTGTCCTTTGGTGATCATTTTATTAATTCTCGTAACATTTCCTCTTGATCAAGTATGGATATTGTTCGGAGAAAATTGATTTTGGTCACCATTGGACTCGCCTGGAACGCGTGACGAAGTTCTAAAGCAACGCGCTGACGGACGCAACGTACAACTTCCAATATTGTTGGGTCAACAATGTTGGCAGTTGTTGCGTCCGTGTTGGCGATGTTGTGCAAACTGATGCAACAACTTCCAACAATGTTGGGACCTGCAGTGCATCGTGGGAAGGATACATCCCATAAGACGTTGAAGACTATGTTTGATGCGCGTGCGTGGCCCCAACAATGTTAGAAGAGCTGTGCCAAAGGGGCCAACATTGTTGCGCGACGCATTGGCGATCACGGAACAAAAGAAATGTTGGTAGTTGTTGGCGCTAAAGTTTGACCGGGTTTCAAACTTTGCGCAACAACTCCTAACAACAACAACGTTCAAAAGGGTGTGACAACGGACGTAACATATAACATCCAACAATGCTCAAAGTTGTTGGCCAACGATTTCAATGTTGCGTCCGTTTGCAATGGGCTTAAGAATGTCTGAGTGGGAGGCAACCTTGCCAAGCAAGACCACTTGCGTGTGAATCAGGAGTATTTTACGTCAATACATCCTATATTTTCAGTCTTACCATGGACAAGTAGGTGTAATGGGCGAACAGCTCTCTGTTAATCTGCTTGTTAATCTCCGCCTCGCTTATCTTATTGAACGGAGACACATTCGGCAAAGGAGAGTGAGTAGTATCGTTTCCTGTGGAAGAAATCATGGAGTATTAGCGTTTTTTATCCCGATAGAGACACCTAAGACAACATGAGTCTCCAAAAATTTTTATTGTTATATTTTATTTCATTTCTTTTTATTAAACCGATAACTACCTTCACAAAGCACCGGACAAATTTTCGACTGGCTAAAAATTTTGACCGGACACTTCGTTCACACGAAACCGTTCAATATTTTCGCTCTGTTCACACGTGACCGTCGAATCTGGTTGAATATAAACGTCTCTCCGAGGTTTTACCATCTGCCCATGCGCAGAGAGCTACTTAACCAAATCCAAAATAGCGCCTTCTAGCTCAGTTACCAAGTATCCATGCAATCGCGCCTTTACCGTACAAAAAAATTTAGACGGTTATGGTGTTCACATTGCGCTCGTGAAATATTGTTCCAACATTGCCAAGCCGTGTTGTGCTAAAAGTCGTCGTTGCGAATCGTCCCGTGCAACATCACCTATAGTCAGACAAAGTAAATTCACTGCGGTAAGTAAATTCTTCCTCTTCTTTCACTTTCTATTTGGGAGATTTGGGGAGACCGCGTAAGAAGCAACGACGTCGGCGACGGCAACGAGAACGTCAAAAAAGCAATAGGTTTAGACTGGCAAAACAACAACTCTGCACGTGCATTACGCCTTCACGTCGTAATCGGGCAACGACGGCAAAGAAATGTACAAAAAAACGTGCACGTGAAAAGTTGTTGTTTTGCTGATCTTAACGATGCGAACTCACCATACGGGTCCTTGTCGGTAGCATAACGCCACGTGGTGTGAGCCTGAAAAAATTGTCAGGTGAAATAGAAATCCCTGTAAGCCAACGATATGTTTTGTTTTCGCGTTCATTACATGAAATTTGTGTCCAAAAATCCGAAAAAAGTTCTTTCATAATCACATTACACGTCTTCAGCAGAACTATTGCAGACCTATAGCATTTTACGAAATTCTGAATTTCTTGGATCGCAGGGTTCGTACACTGTCTTCCCAAATAAAATCCAGGAACTTTTCAAGGATTTTCAAGGACCACACTTTTAAACTTCAAAGACCTAATTAATTACTTTTAACACACGTTCCACATAAACTATCAGTATATATATTCCGATAATAATGGCCATTTTTCAGGGATTTTTATGAAAATTCGTCTGTGAGTCTATACTTGACTTTCATTTCCTCAATGCCGATTTTATTAAGTTGGCTTCAAACTGGTATTTACCAAAGTTTTTTGGAGGTTTGAACGTTCCTCAATTAAAATTCAAGGTCGTTGAAGGACCAAAATGAATGAAGGAGCAATTCAAGGATTTTCAAGGCCTCGAAAAAGGACTCTTCAAATTCAAGGGCTTTCAACAACCTCGTCCCCAGGGCTTTTCCCTCAAAAAATGGGTGGGGCGGGAAAAGGCCCTGGCATCGGCTGGTCACGTGCAAAGCCTAAATATTCCTGAGAAGCTAATTTATATGCAACACGCTGGTTTTGCGCTGACAGAAGGGAGTAACAATGGAAAATAATAACATCGCGAACCATGTCGCGTGTGTGCGATTCAAAAGCTTAAGATTCATTTAATTGAGCATTATTCAAATGCTACAAGTTCATGAAAGGGCATACCGGCTCTACGTTTTCGCGTACAAAATATGTCAAATGCTTCAGAGTTGAGACAAGCTGTTCTCGGCTGGTACTTCAACTAAACACTTCATCGTGACTGTGGAATTAAGCGATCAAGCGGAAAGTGATTTTGTCCAATGTCAAACAAAAATGCGGGCCTTCGCCTCCAGGATCTGCAGTGAATTTAAACAAATTGAACTTAATTGAAATAGAATTGTTCATCAAAATGCTTTATGGAGTCTGGTCTTCTCTAAAACTCGACCATGAAACAAACAAATCTCCTCGCCGGATGCAAATCAGCCCTCCAGCCAGGAACGATGACAGGTCACCGATCTCACACACTTTTCTCTTCCGAGGATAAATACAAAGGATTTTCCTTATGTTAAAGAGAATATTGACTGATCGATTGGAATCAACTACAGCTCTGTCGATTTTAAAGGGACCCAAGTCTTTCTTGTTGCCAGTCGTTTGATCGCAGAGGTCAATGAATTTTTCGGGTCATACAGGATAATTATAAACCAACGCGTATCGCTATGATATGGCTGAGAGTTAAGGTGAATAGAACTAGGCTGTGTACGGCGGCCCACTTCGCAAGAAATGAAATAAAATATCAGAAGGGTCGAGAAAGCGGACTTTTCCAGTACAACCTTTAAGCATGTGCGACCCGGGATGTATGATAGCTTGTTTGTCATTTATACCTCTTTATAAACAGAAGTTTTACAAATGTTACTCGCTGTCCCCTTCATAGAAATCGGAGGAAAGCAAAAATTTACCATAGCCGGTATCTGTGACAAAAAGGAAACTTTGTAAAACCTTTCGTTAATCGTCAAGAGATATAAAAGGTCGCCCAAGATCGCACGCTGTGAGGTTACGCATAATTTTAGCTTTTCACATGGCGCTAATTTATTACACCCAGGATTTTAGGGTGTACGAGGAGACACGTGACCAGCCGATGCCAGGGCCTTTTCCCGCCCCACCCAGTTTTTGAGGGAAAAGCCCTGGGGACGAGGTTGGGGCTTTCAAGGGTTTTCAAGACGTGTACGAACTCTGAGATCTCGATTTTGGACAATATATTGGGAATGAAATGATATGCTAGAGACGTTAACGTCTAGTATAGAGACTGTAAATAAGACAGACGTATTTAACGTCTGACGACATTTAAGTCTTCTGTTAAGTGCGTCGTTCAGATGCACTTCACAGACGACTTAAACGTCTCAGATGCTAAATGCCCATAGTATAAAAACGGGACACCGTAAAATCGGACGCTTTTTGACCAACTCGTCCAGAGACGACGGAGAAGAGCCAAGGTTGTGTATTTTTCTAGAAAACCTTTTTTCAATGTTATCGTCAACTTTTATGCGTCCCGTTTTTACACCAGTCGACTTAAAAGTCTCAGAAGTTGAATGCGTCTAGCATAAAAACGGCCATTCATATATATATCATGTTATAGAATCAACACTACAGAGAAAAAAAAAAACAAGCAAAAAGACTCCTTCGACTCTGACTCTCGCTGAGGACCTCAGTTTAAGTTATTTTTTGAAAAGGATGTATTATCTACAGCTGGTCAAATTGGGAGAGGGGGAAGGAACGGCGGAGACTTTTTGAGATTCAGCATTTTCAAATAGACCATAATGCACCTTGTTTACCCCCACAAATTTTGCATTATTATTGTTTTCGATTTGTCTTGGGACGACTGTAATGCCCAGGAGAAATGAATGATTTTCCAGTAATGTGAGACTTAGTTATGCACACAGGATTATGGGATCGCCAGGGGGCAAACATTGCGAGTCGCTACAAAGAAATGTATGGCATTGAGCTGTTTCTCCGTTAAAAGCAGTGTCTTTGGACAGAGAATACCGCATTTTGCCGTAATTTTATGAGAAGCGGAGGTGACTAATGTTGGTGCTTTGAAATCGTAAGTTTTTGTGGGATCAATGCGATGAAATCTATCGATAAACACTCCTCGCGTAAGGCTGCGTAAGGTCGACTGTGAAATTTACTAAATGGTCTCGAAATACAGAGTACTAACTTAGGTATAAATGAGCGGGGAATGCGAACTCATTTAAGCCTTTCCAGTTGTACTTACATGTGCGCACATTTAAAAGGAGTGTAATTTCGCTCGGCGGAGCTCGGTGATCACAATTTGCCGTGCCGGTTTGTGACAACGATCGAAGGTAAGCTTAATATGTATTGTCGAATTTGATATGTATTAACTTTAAAAACAAAAACAACTTCCCCACATGAGTATATTGATTTCTTCTCGCCAAAAAAAAAAACACACGCGAAATGTTTTGTCATGATCCAGAGCACCAATGAGTTCTAATGCCTTTTCCAATCATTTTTAGGGAAGATATTGAATCTCTGAATTTCGCACATCAGCTTGCTATTTATTTACACAATCTGACTGCTTTGGTATCGGAAGTCTTACTCGTTCGTACAATTTCTGCCTCATCTACTAATGGTTAAATACCATGTACTTTCCATGAAATATTTCGCAAATGTCACTTTGTTTTTACCAAAGTAAAGGAGGATTTTTTATTTTTATGGCCACGTACATACCAGCGATTGTTGTCTTGTCATAACCCGCACAGGGCCGCACAGCTCTGATCACGGCCGAAAGTAGTTACACTCGTCGTAAATATCACCACACGTAATTATAACTTTAACGTTAAATGAGCCAATCCCCCTACATGTATACCTAAATTTGCACTATATATTTCGAGACCTTATCTTCATGTAGATCACTGCTGTGTAAATTCAGAAGACATAAATTTCACACTCAAACTCGCGCAAGGAGTGTTTATCGATAGAATGTATCGCATTAATCGCAAAGAAACCTGAAATTTCAACGCACCAACATTAGCCACCTCCGCTTCTCATAAAATCACTGCAAAATGCGGCATTCTATGTCCAAAGACACTGCTTTTAACGGAGAAACAACTCCACGCCATACATTTCTTTGCAGCGACTCGCAATGTTTTCCCCCTGGCGATCCCAGAATTCTGTGCGCAAAACACGGGTCTCCGATTACTGGAAAATCATTCCTTGGAAACATTATAGTTTTGCAAAATTGCGGGGGTAAACAAGGTGCATTATGGTCTATGCGAAAATGTTGAAAGGTCAGAAAAAAATTTTTAGCTTTAGAATCATAACTTACAATAATAATTTCACTTCCAAATTTTTCGTTTACATGCTGACCTCTCTATAAACCTTCCCTTAACTTCTTTCTTTGTTTGCCCTCTTTCATAACAAGTCTCCTCTACTAACTACCGTTATAGCCCATGGCAATACAATAATTGAAAACTTAGAGCATTACTATTATTGAATGATAATAGTTTTGACGGCACCTGCCATGTTTGCCATGGTAGCAAAATGTCTGGATCTCAA